AAGAACATCTTAAAATCGCTATTTTTCTTGATGATATAATTTGCTCCGGGGTGAACCTCGGGGCCGTTCTGTACGAGTTGCTGCAGCTTCTGTTTGTTATAGCGGGATACTTTCTCGGGATATGTTAAATTCTTTGCTACCAAGACTGGAACTGCGACCTGGTCGATGGAAAGATTTGGATCCGGTGAAATAACAGTTCGCCCTGAAAAATCGACACGTTTTCCAGATAAATTACCACGGAAACGACCTTGTTTACCCTTTAACCGTTGACAGAAACCGCGGATTGGTTTAAGATCACTATAAGAACGCTGGAGGGATGGAAGGGATGAGTCAATGTACATTGCGATTTGGGCTTGAAGATAGTCCCAACGTTCCTATTTCGAGTCAGAATACCACAAGATTGTATTTATAGGGGAAATTTACCATGAGCGTTAAAATCGGAGTTCCTTCTTGAAGACCTGCTCGGATGAGAGAGTTCATGAAAATTATCTCCGTCAACTTGACAGTCAAATCATCCTCGTTGCTTGCCGAGTCCTGCTGAACCGATGGACGAATACACACCGGCGGAGCCGGAACATACTGCCAGATGAACATTTCTGGACGTCCCTCCAATGGGTTCATTCCCAGTAACTCACAATCCGTCGGAAGCACTTGCTTAAATAAATTCAATACTTTCAGCGGGTTAAGATCGTCCATTGCCTTCTTCACGTGCTTCTCCAAATCGTGATTTGTTCTTTTAGCTTCTGCAAAACTCTTATCAAACGCAATTTTCTCGTCTGGTGGGATTTTCTTTTGTGCAGTACTGCTATTAAATGCCCTGAATTTGTCGTGAGACAGCTTCAACGGGCCTGTCTTCTTAATCACACCGTTGATGGATCCACAGTGAAAGCACGTTCGTGTCTTCTTGCATTGTTCGTTAATCTTCTTGCAAATCTGTGTACGGCGAAGGTTATCGATCCCTGGCGTGCGAAGCTGTTTGAGAAATATACGACGTTGATTGTCGTCTAAGAGTACTCGAGCGCAATCTTTGCAGATATTTTGGAGCATCGTTATTATCGCCTTGAAGTATCCAATATGGAACGCCGGGAGTGCTAGTTTGACGTGTCCAAAATGTCCATTGCAGTTCTGGAGGCCTTCGCCACAAGTCTCACAGATTCCGGTTTTCGAGGATATACCCTATGCAGCACAAACCAACCCAATCAGCCCAGTCCATCCAAGGCGCAGAATACAATCTTGATTGAGACGGCGACAAATACGTAGACTCACTACGTAGCCAGACCCGGTCAGATCAGACACCTTATTCAAAATTGTACACTGTCGCCGCTCTCCTCCATACGTACCATTCTCGGGTCCAGGGCGCCATTGGGTTTTGGACGTCGCCCACCATCAAATTCGAATAGCTCACGTGTAGCGACCTCGATAACACCCTGCTTCACAACGTCGTTCGGGGACCTAATAATCAACCAATGTTAATGGGCATGAGCGGGAGGTCGGGGGTGCCGATTCAACGAGCATACGTACATAATCCCAAACTTCACCTGCTTAATCCGCTTCGGCAGGTTATCCACCACCTGCTCCTTCATCCCCTCTATCGTCGCCGTAGAAAGCATTTTTTTCGGTTTGTTTCTGTCCGAGTTACAGCAATTGTTCGTCTCGAAGGTAGGTAGGGTAGGTCCGAAAGAAATCTTCTTTTTGCGCGCCTAGAGTTAACCACTAGAAACAAAGAAGGACCTATTAAACACACCTCCGCGAAATCAAGTGCTACCGCTGAAATTGCATGAGTGTAAGTATGAAGTAGTGGCGCCTGTGGTGGATGGTGTGTGGTAAGATTTGAAGGTTGAAGTTGTATTCAGATAAATGTGTCACCACCGATGGGATGAGTGGAGGGGCAAAATCGACGTTAGTGTTGACCAATCAGTGCTAGGGTAGGGTTTGAAGAACAGAGCCGCATCCTTGGCTCACATTATACAGGCATTTAAAGTTTTTGTTGATACTCACATGTACACTCTACCTCATATACAGTATCAGAAATGGGGGGAAAACTGATACCGCATCAGTACTACTACGGCATTGTGAGAATATGCCGATTTATCTCACGAACTACATGTAGTTATACGGCATTGCCAAAGACCGCGGTAGTCATTTTATCCGTGTAGGACAAACCTCAACCTTGGCCAATGTAAATTCTAGTGGTCAGAGTACAAGTAAGTACATGTAGATGTGTAAGCACCCAGATTTCTTCACCATCTCTAACCATACATCATGATCATTCGGATAAAAACTGTCCCCGCTCGACTCCCCCCAAAAAGATAGCATCCAATACCCTCATTTTCTTACTTCTAAACTTGGTCTGACAACTGCTCGGCCGCTGGGACGACCGAACACCGAAATGGTCTAGACAGAAAGCGAACAGCCCCTTTTATCAATCTTATCTACTACATATCACTGCCAAGAATACTGCGACGCGTCCTTTCTAGGCGAAACGGATGCGGTGTACTAAGTGAAATGAAAGTATTGCTGACGCGGCAAGAGAATTGAGATAGGACGATATGTGCATACAAGCGGAGTAATTGGATAAGCCCTCACTTTGAGAGTACTACATGTACATACATGTATGGACTCTGTAACGCTCAATTAGGTAGTAGGTATTGTAGCGGTGGTAGACTGAGCTAACGAGATTATCAAGGACTAGGCGCCGAGGTATGTCTAACTTGATATTAACCAATTGTTAAAGTAAGTACAACCACATTCAAGTAAGTACTGCATGTAGTAACTGCGTTCTGATCGCACGAGGGACAACTGCCTTTTTGAAGCCAACATCACTGAGTGATTATCCGTGATGGAAACTGACCCCGTCCTAATCCTGGCAACGTTGTTCCCTGTCAAGAGCGGACTGACGGCACAAATAATCTTGTAGCAATGCCTCGCTGGTTTCATCGTGGTTACAGCTTTCAAGGTGTGGCGCAGCTGCCCAGCTTTGTATTCTGTTTGAAGGGTTTGAAGGATGAAACCTAACGATGGTAACGGGATAGCCAGTGTTACCATGGCCCAAGAAAAAAGAATACCATAATAGCCGCATTTCAATATTTTACCTTCTGGTAATGGAGATACCTTTTGTGCTGAATCCAGCTATTGGGAGGAAAGAAAGAGAAAACAAATGAAGAGTTCTAGAAGTGATTGGCCTGAGTGATTACATGTAAGTAATAACTATTTCATGTATAGATGTCTCCTGCCAAAGATTCTAGGTTTAGAAACGAGAACAAAAGCGTCTATATTGAAACATTAAAGATGGTAAACAGCTAAGCGTGTACTTTGTATATAAGGAAAAGAAAGAACCCTACGTATACTGCAGGATCTTGACCTGAGAATAAGCTCAGGAGGAACAGGTGTTCATGGGGGATCAATAGATCTAGATTCGTTGATCACCCAGGAATGTTGTCATGAGCGAATTGCTCGCGGCCAATGCCCTCTGGCGTTTCGACACAGTCCGCCTTAGCGACAAGAATGGCTCAGGTACGTACCTAGATATTACATAACTGGTAGCAGAAGGGAGAAGGGTTGCCGTTCGGACCGTGATACAGTTTAAAAGACCGGACTTTTTCCCGAAAAAAGGAATGATCAAGCTTTCCCATGCAGAAATGACGACGCAGTTGTGGCGCAACTGCGACAGATCCTGCCTAAGCCACAATTGACTGTACAATAGGATCGGATGGATATTCACGGAGGAACCCTCTAATTAGATGCGCCTCATATTAGTTGGTTAGGTCCACGCGTCCCGAGACTGCCGGGGGAGCTTCTTAGGCCTCTACATGATCTGATTATTACTGCCACAAAAAACAACCTCCCCCCTCCTATCCTTCAGAACTTATTCAACCGCCGCCGCACCCCGCGCACCCCCAGCTTAGCTGTCCTGGACGACAAGCTTCACAATGTTCACTGCAACTTGTAACTCCACGCTTTCAGAAACCCATTGTTAGTGCTTCTTCTATCACCCTCAGCCTTGAATGGTCGCGTGCTGCAGATAGTTAACATTTATCTGTCTTAGGGAATACCGACACAATCGTCGGGAATTTGACTTTACATACTTTAGGATGGTTAATATGCGGTGTAGGTTCTTGCTCTGTGTTTTTGTTTTAATACATTCAAGAGGAAGGATAACATAATTTTTGGATGCTCACGAGTCTAATTTTGAACGAGTATGTTAATAGGGATGCGCTATAATAGCTACAATCATTTCGCTATTCTTGATCCATCAACATGCGGGTCACTACACGAATCCAGGTGAACAGCGACAGTGAGTGTTTCTTTAATATTCTTCCTTCCTAGACTCGCCTACTGCGCTATGCATATACGGCAATCATGGACCGACCTGCGGCAAGATTCCGACAACTAGATCAATTAACGTCAAGTAAGCCTATACGAAGTTCCCACTGGGAATCCACGCTCAGCCGTCCCACGGGAAGAAAGGAACTACTATTTGCCATGAATTCAGAATAATTATGAGCCGCACAGTAGGCGAGCTAGATATCGGAAAATTGGGGACTAATAATATTTAACAAAAACAGTATTATTCGTATTCTTCTTATGGTACCGATCTACGCTATCACTTCTTGGCTATCATACGTCTGGTATTGGCATGCGATTTATTGGGAAGTAGCACGGGTATATCCGCCTTAGCATTCGCATATCTTCATAATCTTTATCTAATTCAGATTTGTCTAGGACTGTTATGAAGCCTTCGCAATAGCTGGGTTTTTCGCACTCATGTGCAGCTATATTCACCCAACGCTTCGAGGTCAAAAGAACTTTTTCGCAATATTAACAGTAAAACCATGGCCATGGCCTTGCGGTAGAATGGCGCAGCCGCGCAGTGGCTTAACTTGGTTTAATGTCAGTACTGATCAACCCCACACATTCCAACCTGATCGATCGAGTTTTTAATATCCTGGGTGTAGATCATTTGGATCGGGATATTCCAGTACGTTTTTATCCGTGTCGCAATGACAATTACCGCAACAGTTACCCAAGCAAAAGGTCTTTACTGCGAGGAATCATTGCACCCAAAATACGCGCATCTCTGGACCATGTTTTTCAATATGGTTGCCGTAACCATTGCAATGTACTGCCTCATTGCTTTTTACCTGGGAGTCAAAGAGAAACTAGCGCCCAACAAGCCCTTCTTCAAACTTCTCTGTATCAAGCTGGTCATCTTCTTCTCCTTCTGGCAGATGGTACACTCCTCTTCTTCCTCTTACATCCCTCAGACCTACTCACATGCATTTGTAGATTCTCCTTGACCTTCTCACCTCCGCCGGCGCAATTAAATCTTCAAAATACATGTCACTCGGCGATATATCTGTGGGCTTCAACTCACTCCTCATCTGTTTCGAAATGATAATATTTGCTATCCTCCACCTGTTTGCATTTACCTGGAAAGACTATGATAAGGGTCCAACAAACATGACTCCTGTGATGACTTCCCTCTTAGACGCTTTCAACCCATGGGATATTGTCCGCGGCATTGCCCGCGGTACTCGTTGGCTTATTTGTGGCATTGGTCGCCGCGAACGCGATCATGAGAAGATCCGGAAGCGCCTGGAGCTAGAAGAAGAGGCATCTGGTCTTGTCGGTGCCGCCGCTTCTTTCGCCGGTGCAGGCAACTACACCCCCCCGCCACCACCACAGCCTACGGGACCAGACGCACTACCTGTTCATCCGGCGCCTCAGAAATCACAGCAACTTAAGGTACAGACAGCAGGCTATGGTGGATACTCTCCTGAGCCGGTGGAAATGCACAACTCGCCGGCAAGATCACCCGCGAGTTACTCGCAGCAGGTGGCGGTATCAGGGTATGGTAATGCGTTGGCCTCGCCACATGAATGGCATGGAAGGTATCGGGACCAGAGCCCATCGCCCGTGGAGTTGAGTTATCCCACAACAAATTATATGCCGAGTGCGACAGCGCATCAGCTCCAAGGGAGCCCAGTGTATCTGCACAGTCCGAATGATAGTGCTGGGGTAGGGCTGCTGCCAATAGTGGGTGGGCAGAGTCCAAGGCCGAGTTATAAGCCATATGAGCAGCAGGGCGGGGGCCAACAAGGCGGTGGGGACTACCACCAACCATTTTAGAGAACTACATATTTTAATCTTTTTGGACTGTTTTTGAACGCTGGGTTGCGGGTGTAACGGTGATTATCTCTCTCTTCTGTTGCGCGGGATTTTGTTTATATCATTTGCATTTGGCGGCATCTTTGGAATAGAATATGGATGGGTGCTGGTATTTCCTTTTTTTTTTTTATCGTTGGCTCATTTCTGGTCTGTCGATCATTTTTTTCTTTTGTAGATACCGTGGTTTTGGTTGGTGGAGCATCGAATGGTGGAATTTGGAACATTCCCTGCATTAATGAGATCGGTTTAATCGGGTACCGGTGTTCTGCATGTGACTGCACAAGTATGTCATACCGTCCATGATGTCTCACTCGGGGATGATGAGTGATCGACAAGAGTGGCTCAGGCACGATTCCCCATCATAAACTATCACTCGAATACATTGATTCGCGGAGTGTTGAGATTGATTGATTGATTGATTATGTACGTAGCAGCGTGTTGCTTCTGAAATTTAATCGGTACTACGGGTTCTCTCCATGTACATACGGTTCGAGTTATACCTGGGATAAGAAATAGGTGTGTAAAGGGCAGACTACGATGTCGTAGTTAATTAGGTCTCTTTCTCACACTCTCACTTCCTGCCACATTCCTTCTTATAGTTGCCCCAATTAATCAATTTCTCCAAAATCTTCGAATCAATATTCAGCATTTCATCCGGATTTTGGGTAGAAAGGCGGCTATGAATGCATGAGAGGTTATTCACCCCACCTTAACCCCACTTCTACAACGCTTCTCTTTCTCTAGCTCTCTCTACGCAGCGGGTGCAACGTTTTTGGTGAATCGAGACCTCATACTTTCTTCTAGAGTGTGGTAAAGTTAGAGTTAAGCTAGGATCAAGAGGTGTTTGATATTGACGGCTGAAAGGGGCTTTTCGGCAGTATGGGGGTGGGGATGGTCAGTCTTAATTCTCTGTTGCATGGTTATGTCAGATATGCCACGTACACAGAAACAATCGTTACTAGACAGTTGGTATGGCATCTGCTAGAGAGCCGAATTCTTCATTTTCGGAGGTTTATATTACAATAAAAGCACTTATTAATCAGCGCCTCCGGGCCAATCTACCCAGGATTAAAGCTAGTAGCTTATATATTGGGGGGTTCACAAGAGACCACCCAGCACCACTCGCAGAACCAGGGAGTTCTGGATGGAAAAAGGGACGGAACTTGAATGTGGGGGAATAATAAACATGGGTCAAAACTCAGACGAGCAGGAATGGGAGTTGGAGAAACATGTAAGCCCGCATCTCAAGGCCTTCGAAGCCATTAGTCCTGACAATCCCTCCTCTGTGAAGCTGAGTAGACATGCATGCATGTCTGTACGCACTCCTAAGAAGATGCCAGTTATGAAGACTTTCATTTCGAGTACTATACTCCGCATAGTACATTATAGTAGCATTGGCGGAATTCTCGCGGGAGAAATAGGAGGCTCTGTCTCTCTTACACAAATACAAGTGGAATGCGGCCTCCGGCCGCAAACTCACATATACATGTAGTGGACAAATAGAAGTTGTCAACGTCGCCATCTTTAGATAGAGTAGTCCGAGTACTTTCCAAGAGCGACTGGGTGAGGAATTCGAAAGTGTGTTTGCTTTATCATCTGGCATAGGTCTTTCGGACATGTAGTACGTCCAGTCCATGGTTGATTGATAATTTGCTGATTTAGATAGTTAAGATCTGTGTATGTGACATGAGTAATCCTGTAGTTATATCAGTTCTTCATTCTCAATAAAGGGCTCACAATCGGGGTCGGGTGCCGCTGCGCGGCACACCGACCCCTCCTTGCTCGCACGAGTTCCTAATATTAATATGTAGTTCACAAAAGGATATTCTGGTAGTTCAAGGCCGATATATAAGACTATATACCTGCAATTAATTCTACCTGCCAGTGTTTGCCCTTTCGATGTCACGTCAGCTCCCTTCCCGGCATTCCCGGGTCCTATACCGGGAGCAGTTCTTTGTCTGTACACATATATGTGCTTCTATCTGTGTTATGCAGACTATATATTTTAACCAATAGAAATACTTCGTGATGACAATGAGAAAGCTTATACCGTTTAGATAGATAGACATGAATCATATAGCCGAGTTACGTATGCTTCCGCCTTATTTGTGACCAGAGCTCAAGCCGGGTTTCTAATCACGCGAGCAGTACCTGTCCCACAGCCATACTAGCGCTAGACTAGTAGAATTAAAGGCCAGCATATACTTCGTTTCAACTTGATTCTTCTTCCATTCCTGTCATTTTATGCGTTTAACGTTTCTCAGTTCGTTTATCTCCCCATTTGATCGATTAGAGTGCGTAAATGAATGCATTGTACATGCTGGAGGATGTCATGCGTGCTTCCACAATTTAAAGTTTCGTGATAGTGTTGGTTATGGTTGAAGTTTTCGGTGCGTTTCCCTTGAACAGTCAGGATTACAGATCCATACTGAATTCTGTACATGGGTCACAGGTTCAATGACGAGATAAGATAGCTAGAGAATTCACAACGTCCACATATACGCAGGCTGAATGGGATATAGGGGTATCCTAGCTAAAGTGCATGCAAGGAAAAAAGAAACCCAAGATTCTCCGATATAAAGCCTTACTTGTTAGCCTCGCTCCTTCAATATCATTATTATGCAATTCAGGTGCTCTCAGACGTCGTCACCTACAGCGCCAAGAAATAGTTAAAATGTCTGTAACAGTGCAACCCGAATCCGTACCTGCTTCTAGATCGACTGCCTACTTCTGCACCTCCAGGTAGGAACCAACCAACGGAAGGAATTCCGAGTTCTATAAAATAAAATAGATGAAGAGGCAGCTTTTACCCAAATAGCGCGTAAGAGGCCACCCCTGTCCCCAAACGCCAAGAACACCGACTTCACCCGTCACGGACCGACAGCTCCGATTTCGTCAATTAACCTTAATTTTTCCTGATGAATCTTTCCCTAGGAACAGCCCAACATAAACATTCGGGTTTATCTCCTATCCCTGCTGGTTGTGAAAACACGGAGTTGTGAAAGTCCGAGCACAGCGAAAAGTTCCCATCTGGAGTATGGTATGACCAGCCTTATATTGATTCCAAGACCGGATGATTGTTAACGCGTGATGACACCCAGGTATATACGGGAGGTATTGAAGGTGAATCTAAGGTTCCTGCGGATACCCACCCGCAACCTCCGTATGCATCCCCGCATTATGGGGGAATCAGGAACAGAAAGGGGGGAATTAGCAACTTGTAATATGGATTACGGGATAAAGAACTAGTTAGTATGCGCGGGTTTGGTGGGGTCGTCAGCTCATCTCCCGCCATAATTATTAAATCCTAAATAAAATGCTGCAATACAGTGTTTTTGCAGCTAAGTATATAAGGGGGTAATAGTAGACCACGACGATGATAGATTGATCGACCAACCTTCCGTCATAACAGAAGAAACTCGCCCACCATGATTTTCTCCGGCCGGAATGCTGGCCTTGTTCTGACTTTAGCTGCTTCACTGCTCCCGTCGATTTTCGCACAAACGGTCACCTATCAAGCTGAGGATGCTACCCTGACCGGTGTGACTGTTGCCACTGCTTCTGCTGGCTACTCTGGTACGTTGGTGGTTTTATGTGTCTTTGAGAAATCATGCTGATTGTATCATTTCCTCATCACAGGTACTGGGTATGTCGAGAGCTTTGATGAGAGCACTGATCAAGTCACTTTCACCATCACAAGTGCGGAGACGAAGCTCTATGACCTGGGTATCATCTACATGGGCCCATATGGTGCAAAGTATACACGTGTCTCCCTCAACGGCGGTGCAGGCAGTGATGTTAGTCTCCCGGAGACAACAGCGTGGACCACTGCCAGTGCCGGCCAGGTGTTGTTGAACGCAGGCACAAACACCATCTCCATTCAAACCAACTGGGGCTGGTAGATCACCCACTCTCACTCGATCTTGATCCCGAGCAAATAATCTAACCAGCGGAAACATGGTAGGTACCTTATCGACGCACTCACAGTCACTCCGTCTACTCCCCGCGGCGCCCACCAGGTCACAACTGCCCTCGTAAACTCTAATGCCACACCTGCTACAAAGGCGCTCATGAGCTTCCTGGTTAAGAACTACGGGACATCATACATCTCCGGCCAGCAAGACACAACCTCATATGCATGGGTTGAGTCCAACATTGGGAAATCCCCTGCCATCCTTGGTCTCGACTTCATCGAGTACAGTCCCAGCCGTGTCGAGCGTGGATCCACCTCCACCGCCGTCGAAGACGCCATCGCCTTCAACGCCCGCGGCGGTATCGTGACTTTCTGCTGGCGTACGTCCCCTACCTCTATTCCATCCCCTAGCCTCGCTAATGAATCTCCGTAGATTGGAACGCACCGTCCGGTCTCATCGATGTTGCAGGTCAAGAGTGGTGGCGCGGCTTCTACACCGACTCCGTCACCTTCGATGTCGAGGCAGCACTCGCCGACACCTCCAGCGCCGACTATGCCCTCCTCATCCGCGATATTGACGCTATTGCTGTGCAGATCCAGCGCTTGGCTGACGCCGACATCCCGATCCTCTGGAGGCCTCTGCACGAGGCCGAAGGTGGCTGGTTCTGGTGGGGAGCAAAGGGTCCAGAGCCCTGCAAGCAGCTTTACCAGATCGTGTATGACCGTCTTACTAACTACCATGGGCTCAACAACTTGATCTGGATATGGAACTCGGTGGCTGCCGACTGGTACCCCGGTGATGCTACGGTCGATGTCCTCTCATATGACTCGTACCCATCTACGCCCGGCGACCACGGTGTTAGTACCTTCTGTCCTCCTCTTTGCAATGTCTGCTAATTATCATATAACAGCCGCTGTCCGCAACATACAACGCCCTTCTTTCTCTCGGGAACGACAAAAAGCTAATCGCGACCACCGAGGTCGGCACCATCCCCGACCCCGAGCTCCTCGATCTGTATGACGCAGACTGGAGCTGGTTCGTGACCTGGAACAGCTTTGTCGAGGACGCCACCGCGAACTCGCTCGACTTTCTCAACAGGATCTACTACTCTGACTACGTCCTCACCCTTGACGAGATCCTCGGCTGGAGGGGCACTTCGGCTTCTTCTTCTACTACTGCCGCCCCGGTTACTACCAGTGCGACATCTACTACTAGGGTTTCAACCACCATCGTGACAAGCACAACATCGTCGAGTGCGGCTGCGTCTAGCACTGGAGCGGTCGCATCAAAGTACCAGCAGTGGTGAGTTTTGGTTCTTGAAAGAGGTTGAGAATGTTTACTGACTGTGTGTGCGTAGTGGTGGTGTTAATTGGACTGGACCTACCACATGTGTTAGTGGCACTACTTGCACTGCCGTTTCGGCGCCGTACTATTATCAGTGCCTGTAAATTAAAGTGGGCAGGGGAGAAGTGGAATGAGGAGAGCGGGTAATGTGTTGTATATAGAAAAGATATTAGTAAAATGTTTGGTTCTGGAAGATATCTGAGAGTTGCAACTGCATGATAATGCGGCCAGTGCTGTCGATTACTCCGTATGGCTCCCCAAACTCTTGATTCTAGTGGGTCGAGTAGTGAAAGTAGATCCAGGTACGCGAGTTTGTCTCGCAGTATACCGGGCGGGCGTGGTTTTGGTATTTACCTAAACCCCGTGCCAAGTTATCCTCTACTGAACCAAGTATAAGAGCACCGGTATGGCTTATCCATCAGCCTAGGTTCGTGCAGATTCATTCAAATGTCCCCGCAGATGTTGTTCTTCGGTCAACGGTATTGCGTCGTATTGTGAGAAATTGCTTGTTCTCGGCGGCCGAGTGAGCGGCTGTGCGCCAAGACACACCGATGATGTGAAAAGGGAACAGCATACGAGAACAAGCTCCGGCTCAATACTCTGCGCTGATATGATCGTGTGTGTATTAACCTCAAAGCGCTAAACTCAGCTACACAGGTCTATTGCCACCTCGTCTGTTAGTAGTTGGGCTTAGTTATTCGGGTGCCATCCGTAGCCAGAATTACTACGATCCGATCCATTCAACACCGCGGAGGGCTTGGGGGCAACTAGTGGCCTTCGTTGTCTCTGTTTGGTTGAGCGTTTGCAGTTGGGTATACTGCTGTAAGCTCCTCATATACACTTTCCATAGATATAGGAAAAGCAGATGAGACATTCCAAGAGTTCCCCAGACGCTAGGTCTTATGTTGTACACCTGTTTTCGCGCCCCCGGACCGGATCAGCGCCCTTTGAATCTAATGGATGGCCTTGTCCATAACTGGATGAGGACTGGTTAGTAGAGAAGCGCTCGAATTAGCGTTCCTGGTAGATCAATGCTAGGTGTGCTTTTCTCGGGTTAGAGCGTGCTGTTTGTGTAGAGACAGACTTTCAGGTCTTCTTTCCAACAGCTCACCACCCGGGTCAGTCTCGGCGTACTTTTATTGATAATTATCATTTTTGTCTTTAAATTAGGTTTGGGCGACTATAGGTTAGTAGCCAGAGGTAGTGCAGAGGGTAGCACTGGTAGCGTTAATTGCAGAAACTGGGTGATATAGGAGAGGTGATAGAATAATCCAGACAAGTGTATCTGCTACTAGCGGGAGCGGGTAACATGCATGCTAAGCGGGCCGCACTAGCCTGCATAGCAGTAGAGTTATGTGTATGCAACTGACCTCTGCGACTTGTATCAAAGAGGCGCGTACTGCAGAAAGAGTACTCCCTAGCTCGTACTGTGAGGTTCACACTTCATGGCGTACACGTTAGTAGTTCTAAAACAACGGCATCTCATTGAGCCGCCATCAAATGCCATTTCCAGTCGAGGTAAAATGTAGACGATCGAGCAGTCACTCAGACTGTTCGTAAGGTAGGGTTAGACACCCTACCGTGTGTTTGAGGCCAAGGTCCTGCCTGGGTTTTAAACCGGGGGTGGGAGTAGTATCTCTCGGTGCAATACTGTTTGCAGAATATTGCAACTAGATATAGAGCCCTGTTTTCCAGGACTGTAGCAGTGGTTAGTCCCGCGTAGTGATGAGCACGAGATGAGCGGGCTCGAAGAGATCGAGCTCTCTCGCTAATGAGACTAGGCCAAACTCTACGCAACCTGCCCTGGATACTTCGAGTCTATTTATACCTTCAAGTGTAAATGACCAGCTCGAGTTTTGAAGGGAACAAATATATTTTGTGGGACCTCCGGCCCGGCGGTTGTCTGGGGGCTCATTTGTAAGTCCATTTCCTCATCTCAGGCCGACAGGTGCAGACGCAGGTACAATTACGGGATCTTCTCCCACACCGGCACAGCCCATTTTTCCAGTAATGAAACCGGCGCTGGAGTTATTGAGAGCGACGCAGGTCCCGTCTTGATGATACTCGGCCCATGCACCCTGATATTAGACCTGTATTCACCGTGTATCACTCGGAGGGCTTGGCGCTCCTCTCGAGTTGCATTCCGCCTTGGATCCCGCTTGGGAGATTGGAGAGGTTTCAATTGACCGTGTATAGAACCTTTAAGGAGCGAAAGGTTCCTTCCTCACAGCTGCAGCACAGTATGATTCGCCGCCTCATATCCACAATAGTCATTGACAAAGTAGTGACTACACCTAGGCTAGGAAGCTACGTCTTGCCAAACAATATTTTGTTCACACCGCCGTGCTTATATCACGAGTCCGTGTTTGGTGGTTTGGTGGATAGAAAGTAAAGCAGTGCCTCCAATTTTAAGAAACTCGAGACTCGCAGTCTACAGAGCAGATGTCTCCTCAAGCCACCAACTATATGGATAGACGCCTTAGCCTTTAGGCCGGCCAGCAGCAGATCCTTGATTGTCACTTAGTTAGCACGGGAACCACTCGGCGGGTTCAACGATAAGTTCAAACAAAGCCAATCCTAAGGTAGGCCGAGACGCCTCTCCGTCTCGCTCCTGACATCGTCATTCATCAAGTAGAGATGAGAAATCACGGTTGCGCCGGTAGTGGCAGTCATAGATTTCCTGCTTTGGGGTTCTTTATTCTTTAACAGTGCAGCCTGACATTATCTAAATCAACCCAACGGTCATCGGGTGAATAGAGTCATGATTTCAGCGCTACTGTAAGATAGATATCAATTTTCGGGTATGAGCTTGCGAGCAGGTGTCGCTCCTCAATCTCGAAGTTTCCTTGTAAATCATAGAGATTATATCCATGCATCTATTGCCATCCAGAACCCAGGACCCGTTGCTCTATGAGCTTGAAGTAAATAGTAAAGCCATCTGTCTATCTAGTCATTCCGGATCCCATGACCGCCATTGATAAATCATAAAGTCATTTACTATGAATTGACATTGCCGTTAAAGCGACGGACGAGATTTCACTGTTTTGAGATACGGTGACCCTGGAATTGAACCCGCTTCAGCTGTTAAAAACATGCCGTTATGGTCCAAACCTCAGAGGAAGATCGACAAGAAGTGTCCTTTTGTGGCCTGAGGAGGAGAATCGGGGGAGTAAATTGTCCTACGAAGATAGATTTCATAATGAATTCCGTGGAAGCTGTAAAATTAATCAGCTGCATCAAAGATAACAATTATCTTAGACATCGCGCTGTAGAGTTAGTGAGCGTCATTAAAATACGACTGACTTGTTTGCCAGTCGAGTTGTGAGCATGCAAACATGAAGTTACAACCGCCGATCCCTCCCCATACCCTTGTTACCCGGTCTCGAAACCAGTCTAGGGCCAAACCCTCGCGCACAACCAGCAGTCCCTCGAGTTCACGGTGGCCCACACAGCAACGCGGAGATTAACATTCAACCACACTCAAAAAATTCACGCCCAACCGAACAATCGACAATCACCAAAGAAACCCTTTTTCGGCCCTAATTTCGCGACAACCCAAATAAGATGGCCCCCAAAGCTCCTACCAAGGGTAACAAAACGCTCCATCCTGCTTGTTTTCCGAGGCCGAAATTGCTGGGGTTTGGGACGGGAGGGAAAGAAAAGAGGAGGATGGCAATTCAAAAAAAAAATAGTCGGGAAAAAGACAGGAGAAGGACGAAAAATGGATGGAATGGCAGAGCGGATTTATGGGAATTTTGAGCTTGGGAAATTGGACGAGAGAGAGACAGACACTAACATATATACCAAAACTTAGGTCCCAAGACCCCCGCCAACAAGAAGGCTGCCGATGCGAAGAAGGCCGCCCTCAAGGGTACTCACTCCAAGATTGCCCGCAAGGTCCGTCTCTCGACCACCTTCCACCGCCCAAAGACCCTCTCTTTGGCCCGCGACCCCAAGTACCCCCGCAAGAGCGTTCCCCACGTTCCCCGGCTCGACCAGTACAAGGTCATTGTCCACCCCTTGAATACCGAGTCCGCCATGAAGAAGATTGAGGAGAACAACACCCTCGTCTTCATTGTCGACATCAAGGCAAACAAGAGGCAGATCAAGGAGGCGATCAAGAAGCTCTACGACGTTGACTGTGTCAAGGTCAACACCTTGATCAGGTTAGTTTTCCCCCATTCCCCCGGATATATAGCTCTGTCGTCCTGTGCTGACAGCTCTCCTCTTTTCTAGGCCCGACGGAACCAAGAAGGCCTTCGCCAGGCTGACTCCCGACGTCGACGCTCTCGATATCGCTGCCACCAAGCTCGCCATCGTATAAACGGCGAATTTGGTTGTTGGGAATCGTTTCTTTCTCCTGGGTGTCTGTTTTTTTTTTTTCTTTCCTAATGTTTGCTCATTCCGGGATGTTGGGTAAAAAAAAAGAAGGAATTTCGAACAGAATCAAAAAAAAGCAATGGGATTTATGTTGATACATTGCGGTGGCTTTGGTGGTTCTTTAAAAAATGGGATGGGGCTTCTTTTTTTTTTTTCCTGTATCGAAATCCTTTTTCAACGAGTGAGTGAATTGGCGTTTTTTTGGTCCTTAATTGGTTTTCGGGAGAGAATGATTCCAGGTTGTGCAATTCTTCCCCCTCGGCCGGTGCGAACTGCCATGCGATGCCAGTGCCGTGCCAGTAGATTTCGATCACGTTTCTAGAGGAGATTGAGTGCGGAAACATGTAGATTTGGAGCACTACAATAATTATTATATCCAAACAAACATCTTGATCTGCAACAGAGGCGGAAACTCTTTTGCGAAAGCTCTGGAGCTCTGAAAGTTTTAGAGCTGTGAAAACTTGGCATTGCGTAGAGCGCTTTCAGGTGGAGGCGATTTTGGGCGTGAGTACAGGAAGAAGTTTGACGCATTGGTAGAAGCTCGTCTGTATAAAAGAGGTGGAAAAGAATAAATTTGTTTATCGTAATAAGACATTTCTTTCTCGGAAGAACACATTGGAATTTGATCGGAGGAACACATCGATTTATCGGACGAACACATTGATCTCATTGAAACTTCTCGTGACCTCCAACAACCACTGCAATGGCCAAGACGTCACAAACCACCACTCAGAGCCCTATCGCACAATTGCTATCAGTGCTATCGCTAATCGATCACCCTCTTGCGAGCCAATGAATACAAAGCCCTGAACTCACCATTAGCTCCCGTCAGACCCTGGCTGGTCTAGACGTTTACAGCTGGACACAATCACGGCCTCTCACTCGGCATGTCTCCGCTACACAGACAGACCTACACACACCCAGCGCAGCGGGGATACAAACACGACAGGGACCTCGGCACCTCGGTTGAGCCTCACATCCCTGGGATCTGCATGTAGCTGTTTATCCATATATCTGTCTCCACACTATATTCATAGCTACATGTAGCTGTCTATCGATAGCTAAGCTCTCCCTCCCTCCACACCCAATCCCCTCCTCCACCTCTCCCACCACCGCCGCAATGACCAAAGACCGCCGCACCCTCGACCTAACTCTCACCGGCCCCGCCCGCTTCCGCGCCTTCCTGACGAGCTACACCGCCCTCAACCCAACCTACCAAGCAAGCCCCCCTCCCTCCCCTCCCCTCCCTCCTCTCCAATGCGCAGAGCTAACACGCCACAGGGCTTCGACCGCGAGATCCTCGAATCCCTCGTCCTCGTCTCCACAACATCCACAACCACCGTCTTCGAGCTCACCATAAAAGCCGCCTACACCAACGGCCTCAACAGCCTGCACGGCGGGTGCGCAGCGCTCATCTACGACATCTGCACCTCGGCGGCGCTGATGGTTATCGCGCGGGAGGGCTTCTGGGAGTCTACGTACGGCCCCCGGGTTCCGGTTCGAGTATTTGGTGCTAATGTGCAGAGACAAGCAGCGGCGTGTCCCGGAACCTAAACATCACCTACATCCGCCCCGTGCCATGCGGCACAAAAGTCCGGATCGAGTCGGAGGTAGTGCATGCCGGGCTGCGGTTGGCGACAATTAGAGGCGTCATGAAGACGGAGGATGGGAAGATTGTGAGCACGGCGGAGCACACGAAGGTGAATCTTACGAATGTGCCGGGGAAGAGCCAGCTGTAGATTTGGCTTTGTGGTTTTGTGTGGGAGGATTGGTGCAGTGGTAATGGGGTGGAGATATGTAGATAGGGCGAGGGCAGGGAGTGTCAATGATACAGTGGAAAGTATTTCAAACGCGACTGGGCTGGTCCGGATTGAAATCTAGACTGGCGGATTGTGAATCGGGCTTAAGAAACATGCGAAACACGGTTCTGCTCAACACCATGAAGGTTTTTCCGAATAAAGCACGTCTGGGAAGTATCGTGGAGCTTCTGCGATTCTGTTGGTGCTTTTATGCCGTGGAAAGACCACGGGGGTGGACGAGCGGCCGGGTAGAATGGTAGCGGCGAGTGATAGTATGTGATGGAAGGTTACAGGGAGTTGCAACCTAGAACCGGGGCGACGGCGAAGCAGAGAAGAACACGCTGCCGAGAACAGGACCAGAGGGCCAATCGATAACCCGGCGGCGGCAGCGGCGGCGGTTAGGCTGCGGTCCGGGGCCAATGATTAAATCAAACCTCCTCCGACCCGGCCCCCAGATAGATCCGGAGCTATAGATATATATATACATAGCTAGGCCACTACTAAACACCATCGAGAGAGAGGATTCTAGAAAGCAGGCAGTGGCGTGTATAGGTATTGTCTCTGCTCTTGATTTGGAGAGAAGAAAAGGGCTTGGATCGGAAGCCGATTAATATTGGATGGGTTCTAGTTACATGTAGTGATCGGCAGTCACAGTTTGGAATTGATATATGCCTAGGGTTGTAACTATAGAAGAAAGAAAGCAAGTTATATAAGGGAGGGAAAGCCTTCTCTTCTCCTCGTGCTCTATCTCTGCCTCATGTCTCATGATCATCTATATAGCTGTAATACACAACCGGCTTCTATCTTGCTGCGCCGCCGCCGCCGCCAATAGGGTCATGGTTTATCACTCTCATTATCACCACCATCTACACGTAGCACATCCAAGCCCAATATCTAGAAAGCACTGCATTTATTCTTAAGCCTTCATTCATCATAATAATAATAATAACAATAACGACGATAATAACAATAATCATATCACACACTCACATACTCCATTCAAATACGCTTCAAAAACCAAATTCAATTCTGCTCGACGCCCCCCTTCTAAAGTATACCAAATTTTTAAGAACACAAGACAAAAATAAAAACGTAACTACCTCGCTCCCCACCTCTATCTACCCCCCGCGAAACCCTACCTGACCTGTCGTAAACGTACGTCCTTTTTCAATGATGATGATGATGCTGAAGATAACAATGCACGCAGAAATAGAAGTAAAAGAGGATATAAAAAAAACACACCAAAAAGCATACTAAAAAGAAGAAAAAACCTCATCATAAAAGAAAACCACTACCTGATACTAAGACGAGTAAAAAAAAAAAAAACCACAAAAGAAGAAACCTACAAAAACCCCGCCCACCCCCTACCCCAAACTCAACCCCCCAAACCCGCCCCTGCCCCCCCTCGCGCCCTCCGCGCTGCCCCCTCGTCTCCTCGCCTCCTTCTCCTCCTCAATCCCCCTCCTCCGCTCCTCCTCATAAAACCTCCTCGCCCGCCCCCTCTGCATCCTCATGAGCACGCCCCAAACCTCCATCACCACCGCCACCACCACGGCCCCCACCGCCCCCTTCTTCACCCGCCCTCCTCCCACCCCCGCCATCGCCATCGCCACCAACACACCCACGACACCCACCTCCACCATCCCCACCCCCGACCTCACCCCCGCACCCAGCCTCCACGCCACCACGCCCAACACACCCAGCAACCCACACCTCACCCCCACCTCCCCACCATACACCACCGCCGCCGCACACACCATCAGCCCCCCCACCCTCGCCGCAACAGCCCCCCACCCCTCCTCCCCCCTCCCCTCCGCCACCACCTCCGGCTCATCCTCCAGCCGAAACCCCCCCGCCATAAGCACCTCCAACCCCGTCGCCTCATCCGCCACAAAGAACCTCTGCGGCGCCATCGGCGGATACTGCGGGCTCCCCAAGCGATACCCCGGCGCCGCCACCCTCCCAAACTCCTCCCCCATCGGCGGCGCCGCCCCGCCCGGATTCACCCGATGCGCAAAGAACTGCTCGCGCGAGACCTGGCTCGGCGGCGTGGCGCGCTGCGGCTGCTGCATGAGCGCCGACACGATACGCTGCGCTGGCGCGCGCGGCGCGGGCGGGAGAGTCCCCGTGAACGGGGATGGCGAGGGCGAGCGGGTGTTGGTGGTGTTGTATTGGCTCTGGCGCTGCAGCTGTGCGGACGATGATGGGAGCGTGAATGACGGTGGCGGGAGGCGGTGGGACGAGATCTCCCATTTTGTTTCCTGTGCTGTTGTCGGGTTCCAGTCCATTGCGTCTGGCGATGCGGGTGTGTTGCGGCGCGGGAGCGGGGTGGGCGAGGCGGCGCGGACGCGCTTGACGGGGGAGTAGAATGTTGATCCGCCGGTTGAGGGCGGGGGGTTTCCTGCGCCGGGGCGCATCGGTGTTGTCGGTGACATTGGGTGGCGCGGGACGGCGGACAGCATCATTTGTGGCGGGGGGGACTCGGGGGGGCTGGGGGTGCCCGGGACCGGCTGCGGTTCGCGCAGGGAGATGGACGGCGGGTCTTCCAGTTTGAGGCAGGTGATTGAGAACAATGTAGACTATCACACACACACACGTTAGTATATATAGCGCCTGGAAATGATCAAAGACGCAACATACCAGGAACGACAGGAAGAACAGGCCCAGATGCACCATCGTGAACGCCTCCTCCGTCAGGGCCACTCCGCCGGGGGTCACAAAGTACCAGCACAGCATGCGGAACACATAGATGCCCATCTCGAGCATGAAATACTCTTTGGAGCCGACCAACTTCTTATGCGGCTGCCCCTGCAGCCCGCGCTCCCGGTAGATCCAAAAGAAGCCCAACAAGCTCCACGGAATCCACCTCGCCTGCTGCGCCGCCACACCATAACAGTGCACATCAGGCTCCCCGGCCACCAAGCTCCTCAGCGCGCAGCTCCCCCACGACGCCACCTCCGTCTCCATCTCCATCGCCACCGCCGGCTGCACCAGCGCGGCCCCATGCCACACAATCATCAGTGCATGGAAGTAGCACCACACGGCACCCCTCGCCACCCAGACTGCCGTCTCCAGCCTCTTCTTCCCGCCGCCCTTCACCTCGCCGCCCTTCTTCGCCGCCTCATACCCGCTCGTCCTCGCCAGCATCTGCCCCAGCGACGCCACCTTGACCTGATAATTACTCGTTCTGATCCTCTCGTTGACCCGCGGCGCACAGCGAGCACACACCTGCGGCCAGCGCTCCTCGAGCGTCGCGCGGTACTTGGGAAACTGGACGCTGACGACCTCGTCGTAGTCCGGGTGGTCCTCGGGGGGCAGCGGGTATGCGGCGATTGCGTCTGTGACGACGCGCTGGTTGTTGACGCAGGTGCGGCAGAAGGGCCTCTCCTCCGTTGTCGGGGAGGTGGCGGCGGGGGAGTCGGGGGTGGAGGAGCGCGTGGCGGAGGAGAAGGAGTGGATGTTTGCGCGCGGGGAGGTGCGGCGGCGGGCGTAGATGGGGGCGGGCTTGGGGGGCGAGTCGGGGACGTAGTCTAGGATCTCGCCGTTCTGCTTGTGGGGTTAGCTAGCTGACGGGGAAGAAGAAATAGAAAGATGAGGGCCCAAGAAGAGGTTGGTAGAATGGAATGGGAGGGGAGGGAGGGAGGGATGTAGTACCTCGTCGAGATGGTTGTCCGCGCAGCACTCCGGGCAAGTGAACTGGCGGGTGCGGCCACTCGGATAGCTGTGGACCGAGCCCTCGGGCAGCGAGTCGACAAAGAGCAGCTGCTGGCAGTAGAAGCACACGATCTTCTTCCGGCCGATTCGTCCTAGGAATGACATTGTATTGTTTTAATTGTTCGCCGCCGGGGGGTCATTCAGCGCGTTGCAAGATAGATCTGTCAACTAACGACCGGGATATTCTTTCTTTATGGATTTATGAAGTGATAATAGAATGGTATAGCAGTTGTAGAATGTGCAATAGCTGTGAACCGTTGTTGGTCGCACTTGTCCTTGTCAGTCACACCTCCGCCACTTAGCCAGGTAGCCAGATAGCCAGATAGCCCGATCGATCTTGTTCCCAGTCCGGTCGGTCCGTGTCAGGGTGATTCGATCCTAACAAGCCGCTAGCTGACTTTTTCCCGTTGCGTCACGTCGTTTGTGTTGCTGACAGCTGTGTCTCCCGAGCGGGAAAGAGAGAAGAGCGAAGAGCGAAGAGCGAAGAGCGAAGAGCGAAGAGCGAAGAAAGAGCCGGGCGGGAGCGACACAACAGCGAACCACGCAACAGAGAAAAAAAATACTCTACACGCGATGAGGCTGACACGCATCCGGACGGATTGGGGACGCGTGTGCACGTGCCACGAGCCCCATCACGAACATCCAGCAAGTCTGATACTTTACAGAATCCCAAATCGAAAACACCAAACACCCCCCCAACCCCCCCCCCCCACCCCCTCACCCACAGGCAGGTACCAGCCATACCTTATGTACCCTACTTACCAAACGCACTAGATGGACCAGATCCAGCAGTCATCCATCCATCGCTTATCCTTATCACCACGCTCACCACTCTACATAGAGAGCTGTAAGGCCCACCACTCGCCTACAGAGCAGCTGTAAGATTCGCCTAGGTACATACAACACTGTAAGCCCCGCCCTGCACCAGCCCTCCCTACCGCCTGCTGTTTGACCTCGAAACGACAAACCGCCAACCCTTACCACGTGGTCCCTACATCGTTGGGCGAATCACAAACACTCACTCGCGGGGGTGTGATCACAACCCTACACCGACAAGGCGCCCCCCCCCCTGCCGGTGCTGGTACACCCACGAGTATGGGTAAGGTGAGGTTGGTTTAGGATTTGCCTGGGCCCTTTGAGTGTGCGTGCCTTTCTTTCTAGGTAGTGAAGTTGTGGCCGCAAACTGTGGCTCTGGGATACCATGCCAAGACGGTATTTCGCTTCAGCCTGACCTGACCTGACCTGACCTTTGCCTTGGGCTGCAGGTAAGGTACTGGCGTTGAAAGCTTTCTAGCTGGGGGGTTTATCGATTGGTCGAAACCGGAGTTGTTGGGGCTATTAAAAAAGGTAGCTATTATATAGCTCATAATGCTTCATGGCAGGACTTGGGACAGAGATCCTTGTGGGGCGGAATCGCCGTGATAAGATTACAACTGGTCAAAATAGAAGGAAGAATATATAGAGGGTACCGCGTGTGCACAATGACACAATGAAATCTTCATGGCCGGGCACTTCTGTATGCAGCTGGCGATTTGTCCTCGCGACACTGATTAGTAGCATTATATTTATGCCATTCCTCCACAACAAAATTGATACCTTTCGCAAAAGATGATATCGTAATACAAGATTATAGGAACAAGATCTCGTAAAGGCTATATACATAACGCAGAAATTTAGCGAATGAAACAATCATGACAGGTATAATCAACGTACTGGCTCGTCACAGCCTCTCACTCACCACCCAGTTACCCTGTCCACATAGGGCACAACCCCGCCCCAGACCGTCACACCCACACCCCAAGAACCAACCACACATCCTCAAGCGGCCCTACGATACCGACAATTTCCATCACCACACCGACGACGACGACCCTACCGACCGACCGACTAAAAATCGCCCTTACGACTTCACGTATGAATCCCTCCCCCCTGGAAATCACGATACCCGCCCAGACTAATTGACTGACCGAGATTTGTTTTGGGCAAAAATTAGTTACGACACTTCGTAAAACTCTCCACAAGTAATCATGGCCCACGAAACTGTCTGGTACTCGCGCCCGCGCAACTACGGAAAGGGAAGCAGGTCCTGGTATGTTTGAGCTCGAAAACTTCCCAGTCAGAAGCTAGCGGATGGAGAGATGGAGAGAGAGCAAGGGGGAGGGGAATGAAATCAGGTGTGGAGGCTGGACGTGATGCTGATTGTGTGGTCGATAGCCGCGTCTGCGCCCACAAGGCTGGTCTCATCCGCAAGTACGGCCTTAACATCTGCCGTCAGTGCTTCAGGGAGAAGTCTACCGATATTGGTTTCGTCAAGGTACAGATAGCTCCATTTCCCCTTCAATCCAGCTCCATTCATACTGACACGGCTGGGGGGACAACTAGAACCGATAAGCGTATCGCAACGGGGACCTTTCCGGGGGGATGCTATGGTAATGGGGCACTGGGAGGGAATAAGAAGACAGGAGGGAGTTTCCTTCTTTCCTGTAAAAATATTCTCGACCACGACATAAAAAAAACCAAAAAATTCATGGGATTTCCTTTTTTTTTGCTCAACATTTTTTTTCTTTCATTCGGGATACGGATCGTAGCGTGGAGAACCGGGGGAAAAGGAAGAATAGAAGCTTGCTTTGTTCTGGCGTTATCTTTGGGAGCTTGGTTGTTTGACTTTTCTCAGTGGAGATTTTGGTGATTCCTATGACTGCAGCTGGGGCTCATCGTCCGGTGATGTGGCCGCATTCGATTACAACAAACGGTGGATGATATACCGTATCGTGCTACCTTTTCCGGACTCAATCACCCACCTCCGGTCAACTGGGGATATTCGGAGATTCCTCCCTCATTCAACAGGGAGAGACAGGCTCGTCAGATTTGCGAATTCACGACGTCATAGCCATAGGCACCCAGGTGCTTGGGAATGAAGGCTGTTCTAGCGACGAAATGCTTTTATAACAACTTGATCATTTAGCAGATAGCTGTACTCTCGTCTATCCCCCAAGGTGTCCTATTTTATATCGCCTAACAACGTAGCTGAATTACATGTATGTGTATGTACACACCTTTGTTTATGAGAGCTATGCGTTATATGAATACATGTATTTCAAGAAACCCCTAAATGGCCTTTCAATGTAAAAATGCGGTCTAAATCTACAGAGTCAAATCCCAGAGCTCCATCCTACGATTCGTAGGATTTCTCGCCAATTCCCTCTTTCCCACAAACCTGTAGGCCCATTCAGGAGAGAAATAAAGTCCCACTATGGCTCCAACAAGACAAGCGGGAGCTTGTGTGGTCTCGAAGTCCTTAAATCCACGCATTCCCGGCCGGCCATTGGTTCTGGTTTTTTGGGCTCTGTTGGTCTAGGGTGGATTGGACGATCTCGGGCTGAAGATGTTGTGGGTCTTTCTCAATATCTCCCTATCACAAGAAGAGCTCGTTGCTCCGAGATATGAAGCTTCTGGTCCCTGATATATCACCCAGCAGAGCGCCAAGATCGAGTGATTGTATATGAGTGAGCGGACGCCCGAGTTGCTCTTCCTAGAGCTATTTGTCTGAACTTGACTCTGTCCTTATCGAGAGCACTCATAAAACATCCGCCAACTGCGGTTTTAAAGCCCAAAGCCGGCACGGTATCAACAACCGGGCAAGCTGGTATGTACATAAACTCGGGAGAGCTATACTGCCGGATCGAGTCCACGTTGCTGTTTGGTTATTCCAGCTTCGTGGGGTTTGAACACCTTCGTGCGGCCACGTGCGCGCGTTTATAAGGCCACGTTGGACAGACCGAACTAATTTTGCAGGAAAGGATCCCAATTCCAATATTGCTCGTCTGTTCCTGTTCTTATTGATCGAATCCAGTGATGCCAGTACCCAGTGCAAAGACGAGCATGTGCCGGCCCCTAACGTTTTCTCTCTCACCTGGCGTGGCCTAGATCTTATGAATAGAGGTCTAGTCAAGTATGAAAGGCCTGGAAAATGAATAGAAATACGAGTAAGGGCTTTCTGTGATCCCCGTCCTCAAGAAAGTCCACAAATTAGACCTATATTCAGGGAATCTAGAGCTTTATTAATCCGGAGCTTGAGCAGCTTGGGCCACCACATTACCTTTCGAGAACCCACGTCTTAAGACGATAGGCTGAGCGACAGGCTCTGTTGGTGTCGAGTCAGACATATGCAGGAAAGTCAGAAACAAGAGGGGGCTGTTGCTTAGGTTGGGGATTCCATTTCAAATCCACCTACACGCTGAAATCCCGGCTTATGCTAAGAGCAAGGTAAGCTATATGTAGCCAAGTAAAAGAAAAGCCCACAGCCAACGAGCTCTGTAGACATAAAAATCACAATTCTATAGCCATGGGTAGAGATCGAGGGCTAACGAGAACTGGGACAAGTCTATAGCTAGCTAGTAGCCAGAAAGCCGCACAGAAGATGAGAATAATCTTAGGTTCATTTATTTGGTTTCAAACCCTCGCCCCAGAAATTCTGGCGGCCGGGTGTTCGAAACGGAAACAATGAACCAAGATAGAACTCATAAGACCCTAGACGCGCGAGTTAGAAAAGTGGAACAATAATAGACCAGATTGAAGAAAAATTTGCGGGGAGGGCTATTTACTTATCTCCCTGGGCACTGTGGATGGGGGTCGAGGGAAGATTTTTGTGGTCATTATATTTTGAGCAAGAATTGGATTCCGGAGAGGATGAAGAGTTTGGTCCTTAGATACATGTAATTGGGAGGTTGCTGCCAAGTGAAATTTGGCCGCTGCTACCAACGAGGAGATTCCGTACCTGGATCTCTACAGTACATAGCGATTTTAAAGCTGGTGGCTGTACTATGTACTACCAGGAGTGGTTGCTACATGTGCATGTACACCTTCAACGTTGCTTCCTACTTCAATGTAGAAACGCTACATTTATGTATATCAGTCATGTATGTATGCATGCATTCGTCATATAATCAGCCAGTGTGTTGCCAATGGGCAAAGAACTGCGGATAAATGTTAAATTTACTCGACTTATATAATTGTACTCTGTAACATGGTAGTGCTTGAAAAGGGACCTTCAATCCTTCTCACTCTCGCCTTCATCTCTCCCTTCATCCTTGTATTCCACAAATCTTTCCCGATAAATATCTATACCTACAATACCACTTGAACTACATAGTTCAAGGGTTGAGATAATGGCCGTGAGTGGACTCTTGAGCCCCAGCCTGCTTTAATCCAATTCTTGTAGGGCATGAGTACTGTGGCCATTTAATGTCAAAATTCTAAGAAAATTGCATTGGCTTCTTTCGGTCTACGTGTTCTTATAGGGCATGAGTACTGCCAGATCAACATAGCGCTCGGGGGACAAATTAGTCGATTCAATCGATTTGTTCGTTGGGTATGTGTAATCTTTCGTGTGTATTCCTCTCGTGGTTGGTGGATTATTCTAATAGAATGACTCTTTTAGCTGGCTCCATACAGTACCGGTTTTCAAAACTTGTGTTGACTAGGAGCTCCACAAAGCCGGCTACAATTAGCCAAAAAGGTATTTCCCTTTAAGTACACATAATCCTCCATAAATAACCTTGCTGGCTAATCATTATTTGTCTGCAAAATTAAGGGTTATTGTGCCTCTCAGGGGGCCAATATAGATATTACTATCTCTGGGGCCTTCTCTTGGAGGGGCTACTGTGAAGGAGAGGTATGAGCGATTCATTTTATGCCCTCGTTCTAATAAGATATCTAACTCCTTTCTCCACAGTCTTCAAAACCATAGCTCCTGCAGGATCGAGATCTTGCCTGCCTGGATATCGCTTTCAAATTTGCACAACTGAAGCCATACATGGGCTCTGTAGCACCTGTACCAGGAGAATTTATTTCGCTCTACGACAGGATGACAATGACTTGCCAATTGGTATTGATTGCCCGTTCTGTCGCAGGCTAGTGAAATGGGTTAAAGCCGATAACGACGCCGGAAGATCTAGGAGATTACCACTGTGGGCTATAAGGTGGATGGAGATGTCCACGACGCAGTGGAAAAAGATGAGGCAGGTGATAAAGAGATATTGGAGGGCAGGATCTATCTGATATTTGTTACCGTATATTACCCCTTACTTATTTATTGATTTTGCCCGCATGGGGGTTGGAATATTATAAAATTCATTTTCAATTTCCTTGATCATCGACTAGTAACTAATACGAATCATATAATTCTCATAGGCTCACCATCCCGCTTCTTCGACACGAGAATTTCATTCCCAGCTACCAGACTGGCTCGTAGAATAGACCAGATTACGAGCCGTTCTGCAAGGGGTGATACTAGCCTGGATTAGGAAGTGGCATTTTCGGAAACTGAAGATGCACACCCATGACACTCCTGGTCGTGAGGGCTGCAGTATTTCGGAGGAGGGCGAACTGTTTCTAGGCGGTATTACAGAACATTCCCCTATCATTAGTGTTATTTGTGGCTACTCATTACATTAAAATACCAAGTAAAAGAAGTTGGGGTACAACTATATTCCAACATTGATATCGCTGCGGACAGTTTGGACGTTGTTCTAAATAGTCGTACGTTGGTTTAAAGAACGCGCGCTCGCGATTAAAAGGCTGACATTATCCGCTTCTCTTTGTTAGCTGTCTACCATATATATATTGTAAAGAATAATAAAAGTGTGCTAATAATTTTCTCTTTTGGACTAATGGGATCTAGTTCAATAGTGTAATAGCTAGCCCGCTTATGGTAACCGTCGTGTCGACGAAGGCTTTAGTGTGGCCAGTGGTTGGAATGCTCGAGGTTCTATCCCTTAGGCGGTTAGGCCGAATCGCAATGTATTACCGAACCTGATATGGTTAATGTGCTCTTTTGAACTCTGTTACTGTTCGTTCTATCATTGTGGCGATAGAGCTCTCTAGTCTCTAGCTAGCGTATTGTAATAAACTCGAGGAGAGAGTGAACACTGAGAGCGTTTATCAGAGAACATTAACCATATCAAGTTCGGTAACACCTCATTCTCAATATCGGATAGATATCATGTGACTCGTACGCTACTTATATATAGAAATGACATTATGGTGACCACAGCATCCTGTACCAGAGGCTCGGAGTTCGTAACACTGCAGATAATTATATGTATTCCAAGCCCTAACTACTACGTACTGTATCCAATCCAGGCCCGTTCCTACAGTTTCATGGTAGATAATCAAATTACAAAAGAAGTGAATCTAGTCCACGACAAACAATTGGCTAGTTATCGGTGGCGAAATCCTTTGGTGACAATATCTTGCCAGGGAACCAACCAACCAATACCCAAGTAATATGCCGAATTTTACCGCCCCTGCCTTAATACGCCAAATGAACAAACCCTGTTGAAAGAAGGATCCTCGCCGCCACGTTTCAGGTTGTAGCGATTTACCCCGATCTCGGCTTCCTGCTGTGTTGAGTAGTGACCTAAGTGTGTCAGAAAACGAGCTCGGAGTCAGAGATGTAAGGGGTGAACGTACAACTTGGTCTTCCTCAATTGTGGGTTGGTATTGCTTGTTCGCGTAATCATCGGCATGTACGAAGCTCAGAGCGTCCATGCCAGATGGAGAATCCACGCTATAGCCCTTGATGATGTCTGTAGGAAATGTTTGCCTTAGTAAGATACATGGTGAGCATGTTTATAGAGTGAGGGGTAGCTACGGTATCTGTGAGTGATGATCGCACCCTATCACTCGACGTTAGCTATATCAAGAGAAGGTATATGTGGGGATAAGTACATACATTCTCTTTGGCTTCCGCGATATCTTGATCTACAACGCTGTCTGGAGTGTCGGGGTTGTACGTGACGACATAGCTAGTGTACTCGCGTTCGACGGGAGCAGAAGCTATAGCAGCACCGCTGGCAGCAAGGAGAAGGAGGGCAGTCAAAGAGAACTTCATTTTCAGTTTTGTTTTTTTATTTGATGTATGCCGTAGGCTGAATAAGTTGTTGAGTTTGAGAGTTGGGGTTGGGGGTTGAAGGTTGAAGGTGGAGGTTGGGGGTTGAAGGTTGAAGGTGGAGGTTGGAGGTTGAGGTCGAGGTCGAGGTCGTTGAGGGTGTGAAGGGAGGATGATGAAACAAATGGTGGGTAATTAAAGAAATAGACTGGTTTGTCCACTAGGAGGTACCCGAGAAAGGCGCAGCTCCGGTGATCAGACGGTAGCTTGTTGCCTCTTTGGGTATGGCGCGTAACATTTGTGTAATACCCTAGGTACTCGCAGCAGGTAACAAGTACCCGAAAATGCACATCCTAATCTGCAATTTCCATTGGAGTAGAAGTCAAAAATACACCAAAAACTTGCAGCTGCATATTCGGGTACTTCATGCCCGTCGCGAGTAGTGGCACCTTAGTTAGGCTTGGAAGTTCATGGTCGCTCTGAACTTTTTAGAGCTTGTCCTCTGGGCCCGTGTAGTGCCGATAGTAAAAAATCCGAGGGAAGAAACGTCTAGAACGGAGATCGTGATTTTCTTCAAGGTTTAGACGGGTTGCCGCATGTGGCGCAGGTTTGCGAGTGATTTATAGTGATTACACCTGTTACAGGATTTCTTTAATGCAGGAGTATCTATTGATTGATTGATAATTCATTAATTGTATGCAGCCATGCAGGAGTATCTAGATCTCTAGCTGTGGGAATAAATTCATAAAAACCAGTTAATGAGGAAAGCTTAGGCAGTACGTATAATGACTATCCCTTATACTCGCTCTTGTGCTGCACTGTGAAATTGAAGTGATCTTCAATGGTAAATGGTACTTATCCGTGACAGATAAAACGTCCTAACTTAAATAAATGAAACCAACCATACCGCTTTATGCATCATTCAATTCATAAACTGTTATGAGTTGTGTGAAATGGCATGATTCGTTTTCAGTAACAAATCTACTGCGTGATTTCCCATTCACATCGTACCGCGTGCAGTTGGATCCATGGAGTGAATAAAGGTGTTGTAAAAAGAGACTTTACGAGATAGATTTGCCGATGCATATATAACATGTACCGATACATGACAAAACAGGTGCACATACTCATACAACATACAGCACGAGACAGTTTTGCCAGCTATATGCGAGTATATACGGATACACTTACATAATATTGATCATACAACCCTATAGCTACGTAATCAATAGAGATTGATTAACTGACCTTTCTAGAAGCACTGTTTCAATAGCTTTATAGCCAAACAAGCCAAACAAGCTAAACATTAAGAGAGTAAATTCAGAATGAAACTATGATTATAATTATTCCATCACTAGATGATCTGGACGACGAGTATACTATAGCTACTGCAGATTGCAAAGGGTGGCCAATGAAGCCGACGATCGAAGAATCTTTTTATGTAGGCAAAACTCACCTGACAGATTGATTGACTCTTTAAGTTTACCGCCTGTTCGAACCACAGCCAGAGGCGATATGAGCAAACCTGCTGTATAATAATCTAAGCATGTCTGAGATCAAATGTACCCTGAGTGGTCTGCACAGGCGTTACTCTCATCACAGTTTCCATATCGCGTGAATTAAATGCCTCCAATTAAAATTACAATTTAGACCGGCGATTTGGAGGGTACTTTTGTCAGCCATAGAAAGGGGGTTTGGCCGGTACCTAAATAGGGGTTTTCGCTATTTTCTTCTGCATCGTGGAATCGAGGCAACCGGAAGGTAAAGCAGTAAACCCTCGACGATACAGATCTAGAGCTCGGTATTTCTTTTTATCGGCTAGCTGTGACATGAAGCACCTACCTATAGATTTACATATAGCTACATGTAGCTCGTATTTGAATTCATCAATTCGACGTGATACATATGTGCATGTTTGCTGTAAGACAGCAACGCCTAAGTGGGCAGTTTACCATTAATTGTGAGTACTTCGTATGTAACGTATGTATATACCGCAAAAACACGACAGGCTGGCTCTCTCGACCAGGGATGGTCTCAACTGATTGAAGCGTATCGATTAGCCCTAGAAGTGTCCATTAGGATGTTATGCAATGGCAGTTTCTTTTTGAAATGTCAGGAAAATAGGAGTATAATGTCTCCGAGATTTACCTTTTTACAGGGTATTTGAGTATTAGGGATAGCTACCTCGCCGCAAGACCGCGAGTTCCTACCTCTAGCTCAGTACGGACCTCAAAGTCTTCCAATTGATGGGGGCCTTGCGGTACCCGCCCCCCCCCCCAAAAAAAAAAAAAAAAAAAAAAAAAAAAACCCCCCCAGTCCCTAGACCCCGATCCCGTCTTCCAGTTTATGGGATTCTAGACCAATTGATTTTAGATTTCCAGTTAATGGAACTTCCTCCCACACATGAATGACACATTGAAAATTTTACCTTTACCCCCCCAGTTGAAAGTACATTATCTCTTCTAGTTGTGCCTCAGATCAGTTAGGGCGCCCCTTTTATTAATAATAAAAGTACTTATCAGATGTACGCATGCCGGATCAGTACATGTATGTATTTCTGTCAGTAGTCAATATATAGTGATGCATGCGCCCCACGAGGTTTTCAACCCCGGCCACAATCTGGGGCACGGGCAAATCAGACAGATCGAAGAGCTTTAAACCCCTTGCTGCGATTCAGGATGAATTACCTCATGAGTACGCATCGCAACTCAAGTGAAACGCTGATTACTTAGATCAGTGATTAGTCTTCCTGCTAGAAACGTTATGAGGTCTCACAGAATTTTGATTAGGGTTATATTCTAATGCAGGGCCTGGCCTATGTAGGGACCAACACGTATCTCATATTATCACTCCCTAGTATAAGTTCTTACCAATATGCGTCATGAAGCTGCAATTCTCGAATATTCTTCGGTATTCTTAGGCTACATTAGATTTAATGTTATTTGCCTTGCTGTTTCATATGTGAACGTTGATGGGATGATAAGTGGCGCGGAAGAGGGCTCAGGAGATCTTACTCAAAAGGAATGGTGTTTTTGGCGCTTTAACAGACATAACTGGCTACAGACATAACTGGCTACACATACATACTAAGTATGTCTCATGTCGACAGACTGCAAATAGTTCTTAGGGTTGGTCGTGGATGAGGGCTAGGGGGCTATACCCTGATTAAGCAGGAACCCTTTTCATGAGGAATATATCCGCTCAACGTCAAAGACGTATACGTATTGTCGGGTTACAAAATTAACCGATCACTCACGACAACGTCGAATTAACCTAACTTCAGGTGAGAAATATAACTCAACAACTAGGAGAGCAATTGAGTAATTTTGGCACTCATAAATGGAGTTAGATGCTTGCCAGGAATAGGTTTATCTTTTCGACCTTGAAGGTCTCGATGTGAGATTTCTTCGCAGGACGGTTTTGGTTGCTATGAGTCTCACGAGGGTGCCAGTGATCGATCAGTTAATTTTGTAACCCTACAATACTACGTACATATTGCTAGCTATTGTATATACATTTAGTTTACAAAAACAGCCGGTCTAGATATTTAGGCGGCAGCAGATATGTGCACATACCACGTACAACATTCACTGCACGATGAATGGCTCTACACAAGAAGGCAGCCGCGAGCTTTATGGGGTCTTCATGTTTATTTTTCTTGCATTAGAGCTTTGCTCCATGATTAGAATAACTCAATGCAATTGGTTTCTCTAAGAATACAAATTGGTATATCGTATCTGAACAATGTGCTAGATAAGGACAACATCAGAGTCCATAGGCACCTCAGAAATATTAAAAGTCACCAAGTTGGTAGTGAACTGTGGAACGGGGGTATCATCGTCTCCCGTATCCCTCACAAGACCGTAACGCTTGATAGTCAAATTATCAGGCTTTTGGTTAATATCGTCCACAACCTGCTGCCAAGTTCTGTTTGCTATTGTTTTGAAGTCCAATCAGTACTTCATCTATACTTCGACATTGATGGAATCTTAACATAACCAAGATTATAATCCGCCCCACTCTCATGGTTTGTCAACGATACCTTGCCGTCCAGATAATAAAACTCGTTCTGCCACATCTGTTGGTATCCCTCTGGCAGCGTCGTTCTATTCGTTAAGGGCCCCATCCAAGTTGAGTTAGGATTAGTCGTAGGATCATGTGCATCATCCATTCTCCTTCCACCTCCAGAGGCGACATAGAATAATTTTCCTGTGAGGCCAGTCCATGTTGGAAGAATCAGTGCGCCGTATGTATTGAACCACGCAACCTCCCAGCGGACTTGAAAGTAACCTTTGCCGGTTATATTGAGGTAGTTACCTCTATAAAACTAGACCGAAGATAAGTATCGGCCCCAGAAATGTAGTGGGCAGACCTACTAGTAGCTTGGTACCCCCCAGGGAACCAGTGAAGGGCTCGACATACTCCCCGTCGACGGCTAGGGTTCCAGAATCGCGTAAGGGGAGAGCGCTGGGTGCAACATACATTGCTAGTGCAACGTCGAATGCGTCTATAACAGAGCCATAAACTGCCGTTGTCACTGTAGGAATTGCGGATAGTACAGTGTCATTGGTTTGGGATTCTAGAGCCAATTGAGTTGATGATGCGGGCGATACGAGTGTTTCAGTGGTTGTGAAACTCGAAATATTTCCGAGCGACAACGTCGAAGTTGGAGCTCCGGCTATTTGACTCTGACTCGTAGCGTTGGGCATGGATGAGACTTCCGAGGTCGCCGTTACCCTCTGCGTCTTAGAGACTTGAGGCCGGTCTGTATGACTGCTTTATATCAATGATGATTCTGGGGTTTTCTTGGGTCATGGAACGAATCATTTCTTACTACATGTTTCCCCCATGTCCGTGACCGTAGGGCCGATATCCATCGTGACCATGTCCAGGCACGGCTGCAGTCACAGACTGCAAAAGGAAAAGAGAGAGTATCGAGAATTGAATCTTCCTGTTAATAAAGTCAACTCGATGTATATTTTCAGTGGTTCGTACTTGTGCATGTAGTATTAATATCGATTACTTATCCTTACATCTTTAATTGAGGATTGGTGGTTCGGAATTTTAAAGTGGAGAGTGAAAGAATTAAAAGGATTGACTGGGGCTTCAGGTAGCCAGAAAAGAACGAATATTGAGGCAATAAACCCCTATGATAATCTGGTACGTACCTCCTATGGATTCAACGAAGACTTGGTTTGGCAAGTACCTACAGACCTCAAGGCCATGTATTTAAAATATTCGTACTTCGCTTAAGCCGTCCTCACATTCAACATTTTTAGGAGCTGGGTTTCAAATAAACAATTTTTTGCTCTATGCCCTGTAGCAGTAATAGGTTTTAACACTAAAACGGACACTTACTAAATTGTAGTCCAACCGCTAGTCTCGAATTGCCTCTCCTTTCACTTGGAGAAGTAGCGCTAGTTAGTTGCTCCGTGCAGTACTCGTATCTTCCTGACGTTTGTAAAAGGAACCACTATTGCATACCATACAAATACGTGCCAAGTCCACAATTTAGTATGGTATGCAATAGCGGTTCCTTTTACAAACGTCAGGAAAATACGAGTACTCTAGTGCCCTGAAATGCGGGTAACTAGTACATGTACATACAGTTTTTCGGGAAAAGAGTACAGTATCAGAAATGGGGGTAAAACTGATACCGCATCAGTACGGCATTGTGAGAATATGCCGCTTTATCTCCGTATTTTGACGAAGTAAACGGTAGTGTTACCGCAGTGGTACGGCATTGCCAAAGACTGCGGTAGTCATTTTATCCATGTTTCTGTCACTGTATGTAGACAGCTAGTTCGACTGCAACGAAGTAAAAAACGAGGTTCTGCTCATCCTTAAACTGTCCTTTTGGGCCTGACGATCGTCCCAAATAGGAAATAAGAACTCCCGGAGAGTGGTTTGTTAAAGATCGCAGCGCTTCACGGCTAGACATAGAGAGCTGGTGATGGTGATATTCAGAGTGGTGTTAGCAACTGATTGAAGTTTGATGACTAAACAGTCGTATCTTGAAAATAGAGGAAGGGATCGTTCGCATTATCAATCAGCGGATTTGTTTATACTTTGGTATGGATCAACTCTCACTTTTCGGAAGTGGTCTTTACGTAAGGCCCTCAATGGTTTATTGCCACTCAAGTTGACACACCCACCCCCCATAGTGAATCGGGCTATTATTATCTTTTATCGTCGAATTCCGACCGTTGCTGTAGAAACACCTTTAGTAATACATACTCGCTGTAGAACCTCTAAACAGTGTCTGGCGACGGATACACATATGGAACCATCCGGACCCCCTCGTACCTATGAAATGGATCAGGTTTATTAAAAGAATAATACTTGCCCGGATATAGCCAATTTATTGAGTTTTGTTATTAGGATTTTTGGTTCATGTAATATCACTCGACATCACTCAATATTTTCAAAATCAGAGCAGGAAGGCCTGTAGTTCTGGCGAGCAAAAATCAGGGTGAAGAGGGAAATAAAGAAGAAAAAACCACACACTAAAAGAGGAGAGAATTTATAGGATCTTATTGAATTTTAGAGCCGGTAAGGCCGTACGTACATAGAACTTAAAGTGGTGATATATATGTTGCTTTTGCGTAGTGCATACATCTAATTTCTCGAAATTCTCATATCTCCGGTTGGACAGATCATCTAAAAAGAAAGTCTACGGCCCAGCAAAAACAGCACCCTCCCAGGTGACCCCATCAACCCTCCACTTGACGTTATCCGCTTCGAAATCCCCCCTGCTCCAACCCATACTACCTATCAAATCATCGCAGACAAACTCGCAGCAATGTGCCACGCCCACAAATTCGCTCCCTTTCCAGACAACAAACCACGCAAAATCCTTCGTGGTCTTGCTCCACATACCTTGCTCACGTTTCTTCTGAATAATTGGACTACCGCTCACGGCATACACGTTCCACGTTAACTTTGCGCTTATATTATCACCATCAGTGTAAGTTGGAATTACGCTGCTAATAGAGGAGCCCTGGTTCTCATGCTCCGTGTCCAGCGTGGTAAGTAATAATTCACCGAGGGTTGCTATATGTATTGGAATCCCTGGCCTAGGAAATGAGTCTGAAATTACTCTGGCTGTATGCGAATTTGCGACTGGTGCGCGATAGAATAGTCCGACTTCTACAACGCGACAGCCAATCGTATCTTTGAAACCAGGGAAGACTGAAGAGTATGCAGTAATCCATCCCCCGGACTCCTCGATTGGTATTGCGTCGACTAGATCATATCTCTGTCTTCTTTGCTCTCCTTGATCTGTAATAATGTCGCAGTAAAGGCCGGTAGTCTCTCCAATGCTTACAGGTAGTTGGTAGGAGAACTGTATGACCAGTTCTTGGGTTACTTTGACACCAAGCTTGAAGAGAGGACAGGAGAACTCGGGATAACCGCCCTCAAGTAGAGGTTCTGGAAGAGTTGCAGTGATGGAAAGAGACCAATTTCCTGTGTAAGCGAGTTTACTGGTGTACGCCCACTTTAAGACATCGTTCCTCTTGTGATGATAAGAAGGCAGGATCGATTGGGTTCCTAGGTGAACCCATGGCAAATCCAAGATTTTCTGGATTTGGTCAGTATTTGATAAGAAGTAGGTAAAACACCAAGATAGTCATGCCTCTCCCTTCAACCACAAGGCATTCCCAAAGCCTCGGTTGAAGTTGGTATAGAAATAATACTCAGAGCCGCTTTCTTTCACTTCTATATAATCTGCCAAGGGTCCAGGAACAGTAGGATCAGAAATCTCATCACCAAGCCAGAACCGTTTATCAATGGCCTGGAAATCCTTCCCGTCAAAATTCTCAAAGGTCCATCCAGGTGCAAACAACGCCGCTGATAGGCAATGATCCCGGATCGCTGCAAGCGCCTTTTAAAAAGAAAGATATCAGATATCACGTGCACGAGTGGTATCAACTACACAATATAAAGCGAACGAACCGTACCAACCCCAAACCCGCCGTCTCCCAGAGAGCCACGGCCGTAGCAGTCTATACCGGCATATATATCGGAAATCCGAAACATTGCACGAGCCATCGCTGCTGTATGATAAAGATCTTGTTCACGCCAGCCGTAGTTTGTGAATAATGAATCCGAGGCGGCGAAGAAGGGAGCATTGAGGAGGGTGAGGCCGTTCTGCCAGTGGACTTCATTGAGGATTGTGAGTGCATCGTACCTAAATTTTTAAATAAGACAAGTTAAAATCCGATGTGATACGGTCTCCAGCTTGCAAAGATATTGGCTAGAAAGATATCTCTATATAAAGACATGTGTATCCATGATGCGCACAGACTATACTCAGATAGCCAGCTTTAGAGTACCATTCATGCTAACGAGCGTAGAACGCTGGTAATATAAAACTGGTTACAGGAGTATGTACGGATCTCCACCCGGTAAGAGTATCGGGTTTAGTTCCGACCACATCTTATATCAGGAGAATCTACTCTGTAGTAAAAGGAAATCATAATCGACTGAAGAGATATATTTACCAAATGATCTCACTTTGGGGAATAAGTGCATGAGTAGCGCTCTTTAATTCTCTCAGAAAATTCTGCACTTGTAACGGGCTGAACTTTGTAGTGGGGAAGCTAGACTCAAAGTTTATCAACCAACCGTCAAAGCCATATGTTTCCGCTACCCTCGCGAGTTGAGTTGCAAATAGAAATTCACCCTCCGACCCCTTCTCTAATACTCTTGCAATCTCTTCCTTGCCGTCATCATTCTCCAACAGGAACGTTCCTAGGATTTTAATCCCATTGCGATGCATCAAGTTTATCCAAGACGCTGGTGGAATTGTGACCCGCTTGTGCGAGAAATACACGAATGTTGAGACATATTGGAGGTATTCTGTCGTGTAAACTGTATCGCTAAAGGGACAGCGACCTTGAGAAGATTCTGATGGGTGATAACCCCCCTTGAAGTCGTGGCATACCAAAACCCTCGGGACAGTGACTGCGGAGGCTTGTACTGACGGTAAACCCGATGCTAAGGTGGGGCGACGTTGAAGCGGGGTATTGGAGATATTGGTGAGATGCTTGAATGAAAGTTCGGGGTTCCAATCAGCGAGTTCCTGCATGGAGTCGAGATGGATAAAATAATGAGAAGCCATTAGGATTTCTCGCTACCAGGAATTCAATGGGGGATTTTTTTTGTACGTAGCTGCCTAGACCCCATATTATCGATGTGTTGTACTACCGCAAAAACATGACAAGGCCGGGCTGCAGGTGGGATAGGCGCTGAGCCTCAATCGCCAAAAGATGGTCTGAGCCGGCCCCTTAGTTATTGTCAGCCTACATGTAGAACCAATACATAACAGACTGCAGTCTGCAAGTGCCGAGCCTCGCTCACCTCCGGATCCTGTTGCATACGTACTCGCACCTACAATGGCCTTACCTACTTACATAATTTACAAACTGAATTCTGTCACTAGTTACGTATACTGTACGTAGTTGAGTACCGCAAAAACTCGAATAATTCATTAGCTCCGTGAGATCAAAGTTTTTTGCGGTAGTACGGTATTATATAATACTAGAGCCAGGGATTGATCGTTAGTATCTACATGCATACATGTATCTATCCTACGTTACTACATGTAGTTGATATGTAGCTGGCGGTATAATGTTGTCTTAGCCCCTTAATGGTAGAGGAGATCTCTGAGCATGAGCCACATCTTGGCACTAAAGTTTTTTTTAAAAGCTGTTCAATTCATGTCTTATGTACTCTTACTTTCGACTCGAGCCCTTCTGGCGTTTATTCTGTCTCAGAATAGGCAGCAATATCCGAGTATCGAATTATGGAGCCCACTCCTAGCTAGGAGATTTCGATAATCCCTTAGTCTGTCAATGCTCTTTAAAAGCCACAGCAAATCCGAGCATGTAAGATCACCGGCTGGAGATTAATTTGCCTGAAATACTAAAGGATAATCCATTGGGATTTCCATAATTTAGCTGATTAGGATAGGTCGAAAAGATGGTAGCCAGTTGTAAAGAAAATATTTAAACAGGTATTCTCCTTTACATTTTCGAAACCTGAATAATTATACTTCATGTGTATACGTACAGACTTACTGACTTAAGAGATAAACAAGATTTGCGTTTGGTAAAACCTAGGCCTGCCTATTACACAGTATTTAAATTTTGTTCGTACGTTCGACTCACACTAGACTCGCGTTTGGGGGTATGCCGAAGTTGGGGCAATGCCAAATTGCACTAGAACTCGACGTTGCAATCAACTACAGTACCTGTTTTCTCTCCCAAATAATCCTGTTCGGCATTCCCCCAACTTCGGCATACCCCCAAACGCGAGTCTACCTATTCATTTACCGATTATCAAAGATATCTGTGATTTGCTGCGCAGTGAGTCCTCCCGCACTGAGTATATCAATCCTAAATCGACTAGCTACTCAGCTCAGGGCTAGAGCAGCGCTTAATTCTTTAGTATACGGAGCTTTGCATTGGGCTTATGTACGTATTATATGCGATAATATAATGCTAATAGACCTAAACGAGACACACACGACTCAGGTTTCCGGGTTCAATCATGTTCACTCGAGATCTCGTGGTGCTTAAGTGTGCATCCTGTAGTAAGGATTTCTCATTGATTAGAATACGGAAGATCATGTCGAGATCGCACATTCGCCTTGTTGGGTCTTCTGTGTATCCCTTGGGCCGTCAGGCCGCCAATATAAATCGTGTAAGCTAGCTAGGAACTTGTAATAAAAGAAACACCTATGGCTCAACTCACTCTGATGGGTAGGTATGTCAACTTGTTCTCATTGGCAGAAATGGGCTTTTAGCTCAAAGGAAGCGGTAGTTTAAGATTTATCTTAATATTAGAGCGTATTTACTAACTGTTAATTCTGATAATTGATAATTCGCTACTCTCTAAAGCGATATCCGCAAGTGTCAATTTTGGACGGGGTTGCTTGCCAGGCTGTGAAATGCGTTAAAGGTACAAAATAAAGCATATCCCGTCAGCGTATATCACAGATAGCGTGAGGAATTATTAATTTAGATCTTTAGATTACCGGCCCAATCGCACCTTCCTTGTGCCGCTAGCCTCTGTGGAGGGGAAAAAGTGTCAATTATCAGAAATGACACCTGGTAAATACGCTCTATTGCCACCCAACTTGCAATTGACACACAAGCGCGCGCGCGCCGAGGTGAATCGATTAGTATAGGAAGAGGGGATAATATATCTTACGTTATTTTCTTATATATCGGATCTAGATCTTTCGAACTAGCAGCAAGCCATAAGTTAACTTCTATGTTTGGTTGGTTACATGTACTACATGGTACTTCACCTTTCACATCCAGCTGGATACATATGTAGCCCAGCCAAAACACTTTCAATTCTTTCCCACAACGAAAACTTTGGGATAAAAAAGCTAAGAGTATATATTCATCGAGTCGTAAATCTGGGATTTAGGCTTTTGCCAAGACCCCATACAAATTCGAGGTCTTGGCATATTTTTAAGAACAATCGAACGAAACGCTATGATCAATGCTACAGTGATTAACTTTGAAATTTAAGACTTCCAGGTGATTATACTGACTATTAGATTGTACTGTACTACATGTAACTTAAGTTGCTGGTTGTGTCCTTGTTGGTGCCAAGATTGTGGCTTATGCTAAGAGATATCTATAATATATATATATATGTACCATTCCTATCAATTAATTGCAGTATATCTACAATGCCACAGGTACAACCAGCATGTGCACACAAAATCTTACAGCTTTCCAACCAAAAAAAAAAACCAAAAACGCGTGCATATTATTGCTTATACCCTCCGAGAACTTCCACAAATTTTTCAAATTCAATAACCCCCAAAATTTAACCAAAATGCCACAAGAAAATTCAAAAAAATAATAATAAGGACAACCAGAAGCTGAAATATTTTTATAATTTTATTTCAAAGTCACAAATGGAAATTTGAAGTCATGGTAGCAGTTATGGTATTGCAAGAGGTGTTGCCCGCTGGTTGTGGTGGCATTAATGTAGATATTTACAGGGGTTTTCGAATTCCGTGGCATTGATTCTTTTACCGTTAATTGATCTCACAATTTCTGTCCCTCCATTATGGTGGCCAGACGAAATATCACGCCGAAAATATTATTCGACTAATTATTCTGAAGGCTACGCACTAGATATACGGGCTCACATGACTAATAATATTGTTGGCTTGACTGGTTATTGATTTGGGTTATTGAAATAAATCGTGTGACCTATTTATAGTTTAGTGGGTATATGTATGTATAACATGTACATACATGTACTTACTTATGTTTTCTCGGTAATCGTCCTCTTGGCTTTAATTTCATTAGTACATGTACTTATAAGTAACGGCTCTATTTGGCTAGATCACAAGAGTGTTGGGTCTACTCGGGAAAATCACTCTGTTTTGGTTCAGCTCGATTTACTGGAGCGGATTAGCTATCATATTAATTGGATATTTGCTTTATTTCCAAAAGTGCAGAGAACTTTACTTGTGCCAGCACTGGTATACATGGGGCTAGGCGTCGGTCGATAGGGGTGTGCAAATTTAAAAGCATTTCGAATGAAATGCATGTGCGTGGATAAAATTCGCCTCAGCTGAGGCGAGAGTCTCGCTACGCGTCTCCCCTAGATACGCAAGACCTAGGTCTCGAATTTTGGGTTTCAATTGTAAGGAAAAAAGGAGTTCATACACACGCATATAATGTGCATGATATTAATTGATGCGGTTCGATTATCCTAGCTACTTCAACGTACATACGTCGAAGCCTAAGAATATACCCTGATAATATGAGTTTATGCACCCATTCCGCCACGATTAGGGTCCAGTGCTTTGACATAGTCTATCACAAATCTTTATCTATTGAACTTCCTCGATTCCTCGCCGGTCTTCCTGCATAGCGGAAAGAACGAATCACGGTTGAACGGTTAGCACTGGCGCTCGATGGTGGTATACTGTCGTGGATTACACATCGAATGAATCCTCCTACCTACAATTTATTGCTCGGATGGTGGCTGCGTACTAACTAGATCTTCAGTCAATACAAAAATTGTGATACAGTCTAGCATGCAGTTTTGTGTCTGGCTTTTGCCCTCAGTTGGAGAAAAATAAATAATAATCATATACTGCATGATACAGGGGATGGCCGTGGATTTAAATACTATCTTCATCCGTCTCAAGTTTTATCAGGGTCCTATCGGTACGAATCCATAACGCCTCTACCGTGAGATGAGCGTACTACAGTCTTCAGAGGGCAACAGCATCAGCATCAAGTCTGAGCGCCCCAAGGTTCCCATTCCGCGCTGGGGAAAGTCAAAAACCGGTCAAGATATTTCTTATCATGGGAAGATTGAGAGAAGAAGGGTTACACATGCGTGTGAGCCCTGTCGAGAGAAGAAAACAAAGGTCTGTCCTAACATTCAACATTATGCTACTTGACATTTGTATAGTTTGGGAAACAGCTCCTATATGTATTCATCGAAATTTCTCGGGAGTTAGCTGACACTTGATATTTCATGTTTAATTTTACAGTGTGATGGAGGCAGGTTCGATTACCTGATCGGTGCGAGTGCTTTCAAGCTCCAATAATGGACAGCTTGGTAAATACGAAAACCAGGGCATTCATCACTAATAATCGCTCGGGGAATAACCAGCAGACCAATGTGTTACCATTGTCGAATATCCGGGATAGCATGTTACTATGGCGATGGAAAGAGGGAACGGGCAAGAAAGTGAGCATACAACCCTCCAGATCTCTGTAACCATCGTCTATTGTTGTAACAGGATGTTACGGACAGGATGTTACTGGGGATGGGCGGATTTGTCTCCTGGCCACAAAAACATCAGATGTCAAGGTTACAGCTGGACATTTTATTTGGACTAATACCAAATGATTCAGGAACCTGAGAACGCTCGAGAACAGGATTGTGGATCTTGAAGGTTTAATACAAGATATCCAGCCATATCTAAACAACGCTGGGAAGTTGGTAGTTAAGGAGATACTTGCACAGGTTACTAAACTACTAGAATATATACCCCCTCTAGACTAGACCTAACAGATAACAGAACCCAGTTCCATCGCCACCAAACAATGATTCTCCGGGGCAAGTATCTACTAGTAGTGATACAACAAGCAATTATCACTTCTCCCGGCGAGACTCCACAAACAGTCTAAGCCAATCATTTATGTCAACTGATATAGGTTCTGTAAGCCCAGTGGGCCGCCAAGTTAAGGACGTCCATACCGAATTTGTTATTAGCCGGGGTGAGCGTGTTGAAAGTGACAGCGATCCTGTTTGGGTATGTCATGGGGATGAAGGGCTCGAAAATGATGACAACAATGCGCCCGCCAGCAATCTTGGTTTAGTGCCTTCATATCGAACCACTGGGGCAAGTGCAGGTTGTATGGGGATGAGGACTTCAATTCAAAGAAATGCTCAAGGAATGTTTCACCACATGATCTCAAATAAGGCTACCTGAGCTAATAGTGCCTTCAATTCTAGACCTCTCAATTGGACATCGAGAAACACAAAGCCGTAGTCGTCAGGTAGACACATTTAGTCTTCCTCCCAGACTAGTGGCAGAAAGACTTATCGATTTATATTTCACCACCGTACACCCACTTTTCCCCATAATCTGCAAGTCGCATTTTATGATGCAGTTTAACAAGTATTACTGCTCATTGGAAAACTCATTAGAACCAATAGCCTATCAAAATTCGAGAAAATGGCTTACAATTTTGAATCTCGTATTTGCAATTGCTGAAAAATATCTCCAGCCAGAATTGAGCATGAACACCAGTGGTCAGGGAAGAGATGCAGATTACTTCGCCAGGTCGAGAATCTTAGGAGCTTTGGACGGAGGCTCTGTGTTTCAGATACCTGATTTAGGGAAGATTCAAGCTTTGGGGTTGACAGGCATGTACCTGCTTGCCAGCATTCAAACAAATCGGTTTGTTTCCTTAGTTCTATAGATTGTATCACGAATGATGCTTACTGCATACGCATACAGCGCATGGAACGTTGCTGGCCTAGCTATACGATTAGCCCATGGAATTGGCCTACACCTACGTGGAGATAGTGTTTCAGGCGATTTAGAAGCAAAAATGCGCGTTCGCATCTGGTATTGTCTTTATTGCCTCGAAACCACCCTGTGCCTTATTACCGGACGTCCTTGTGCCATTCAAGATAGGATTTGCAGTGCGCCGTACCCATCAGCCCTAAACGATGAGATATTGCCAGCTCAATACAGTGACGTCGCAGTGCTTGATGCGTATTTCTCCAAACACCAAACGCTTATGGCCATTTCTGCGGATATGCTGTTCATTCTATATTCTGAGAAGAGTTTTCGCGATAAAAGTTGGTCTCAAGTACAAGACCTGATAGTAAGACTGTCAACAAGCTTACAAAATTGGAGGATTCAATTGCCACTTGCCCTCGATTTCTTCAAAGAAGAGACTGATACGGTTTTCAGGCGTCAGGTTAGTACTAGTACTCCATTGAATATATCACTACTCTTGAATATATATAGCTGTCCAGTGAAAGCTTATCTTCCGACAGAGATTAAACCTAGCTTTTCAGTACTATACAATTCTTATGCTCACCAACAGGCCATGTCTCTCAAAGACTTCCGCTCGTAAAGATAGTACGCCTAACGAGTCCCTGGAGTTTAGAGAATTCAGCAAAACGTCAGCAGAAACATGTATCAACTCCGCCCGTGCTATCATTCATCTGATTGTCAAGGAGTACAGAAGTCAGGATCTAATTCCCAACTCGCCGTGGTGGTGCCTTATACATCACCTCATACCCGCAAATAAGATTATTATGCTAGAGATGGCCGACGAAAATCTACATACCCCCGAATATAGAGCTGCTTTACTTGAAGACTGTAAAATGGTGCTTGTTTGGCTGAGGAGTATGTCAAAAGTGAACGCGGCCCTCCGGAGACACAGCTTGGAGCTTTCAGACCAGCTCAAACAAGTCGTGCCTGGAATCGATGCACAACTTGAGGAAGAAATAGTTGAATCTGGGACTCAAGACGTTACAACTCAATCTATTTCATCTTCTGCGGAGTATACAGCTTCTACTTTACCTCAAGCTACGGGATTCGGAGATATGCGGTTTGACATATATGGAAAGACCTGCTACACTACCGAGTATCAATACTTCAATTCTGCGAGCGCATTATTATGTTCTTCGTCGTACCAACCAGATCGAGACTCGATAATGATCGAATCACCTAGTTCAGGACATTCCCGTCCACGAAATAGCCCCCGGGTTGATAATATGAGTTTGTGGCTAGATACATAAGGCACGTCACGTATTATTTCTTAGTGGATGGATAATCGTTTGGGCACGATTTTTCTTAATTTCTTTTCTGTGACAAACATACACTTGTTATGGTTATTTCTTCTCGGAGCGTTTCTTTCGTCCTATTACCGTTGAGATCTTGTGCGATTTTAGTTTGTAGTAACTATCATGTATGATCATTCATATCACTCAATCTATGGATTTAAGATAACGAATTCGATTTGGTTTGAAAGCTATCCCAGTAAGAACTAAAATATTTTAAAAAAACCTAAACGCCATAACCTCCTTTTTGCATAGACCTCATCTCAGGCCCTTTTCTTTAGAAGCTCGGACAGCTTCCCATAGTTGTGTGTTATCTCCTTTTTCTTCGTCGGGTAAATCAATATCCGCTTTTTCGTTATCCTCTTTACCCTCTTCGGCCTCATCATCATCATCGTCTTCGTCCGCTTCGTCCTCCCTACTCTCTTCTTGACTATCCTCATTATCATCGTTAAGGGGCGTAACTTCTTTCATATATTTCTCTAACTCCTTCCATTGCTTTTTTGAGAAACCACTGGCCTGTACCTCAATATCCAACTTTCCAACCCTCTTCACGTCGCTCCAATGCGGACCATCATCATCAGAAGTGTATCTAAACCTTCGCTCGAAAAAGGTCTTGATGCACTGTACATCACGATCGAAGTAGTCTTTCGCGTTGGGATGGTCTGTGCTGATCATCTGAGGGAAATCAATGACGATAGGCTTTAAGCTATCCTCATAGACAAGAATGTTAAACTCGTTGAAGTCACCATGAATCAGTCCCATCGATGCAAATCTTAGGATTAGCTCCATGAGCGATGAATAGAGCGTTGAGGGCTCGGAAACAGTGGAAAGTTGACGGAGGGGAAAGGCGTCTATTAATTCCATAACAATGCAGTGGCGAGCTTGATCAAGCGGGGTAGGAACCGGAAACCCGTTTTCGTGAAGAATCTAGAAGAAAGCTATGGGTTATCGTCGCTTTGGGAACAAAACAGGGAGTAGAAAATACCTTCATGAAGGCATATTCTTTCAATGCTGCCAATCTAGACATGTACATCCAACTTCCTGAGTTTCGGTTCCGAAGATAATCCCGGTTTTCTTTTACTTTCCTGAAAGATATTCTTCCAAGACGATGTATCTTCAAGACGTGTTGCTTCCCCGTGTCATTCGCAACCACGAAGATATCAGACTCCTTTCCGATGCCAATCTGGTTACCGACCGAGTAAACCGTCCTCCGCTTGGAAAACGAGTGTAAGGCTAAATAATCTAATCCGCCATAGGTCAATCTGTATCCATCATCTAACCAAGTTAGTTTGAGACCATTCTACACAAAGTCCGATTTAGCGTGGAACAAACATTTTGCGTTTTTGACCTTCGCGATCAGTCCAACCTTAGCAATGGCAGAGATAGATTTATTTACACCACTAGCACCGCGCAAACCCGAGATTTGGGCTATCAAAGGTGTTGGGACGACCTCATGATTCTTGCTGCCCATTTCAACCTACAATCACCCACCGTCAGTCACTCGGGATGGATTGTTATAAGAGGCCCAGGAAACCGACAGCTGTAAGGACACGCCAGTCCTCGGAACTAAGGTACCGCATTGCATGAGTATCGAGTTTCATATTTTCGTGACTTATTTGAGATCAAATCTTCGTGTCGTTTGTCGTGATGTCTAGTGGGTGTCGGCGGGGTCAAGGTTTTTTTTATTCTTGCCAGGATCTAGCAGAGCCTCATTAAGCCATAGAAACCTAACCCTGATAATCTTGGTTTGAGTCCTAGCGCGAAACAGATAGAGCTCAAATATCATATGATCATGCGTCTGGGGCATATACATACATGTATGCGTGGGACCGGAGGCCCTGGAAGAAACCAAGGTAGGAGATTACCTGTATAGAGCGAATCTCTTTATAAGTCCTCCATTACTTGATCGTAGCTGTAGATGCCAAATATAAACTGATAAGGTGCATTATCTGTTTGCATCAGTTTTTAAAGTACCTACATACTTTATACTGTGCATGGGATGCAAACGGGCGGGAAGCGAGATGGTAACTTTATTTCAACGCCATGCATATGCACAATGTCAATCACCAAAGCGTGGAAACCCTTGCTCACTAACATAGAAATAGTCTCAGAAAGGGTCAGAGTCGGCTAGTGTAACCAATGAGCCAGTTCAAGTTAAGCCACATCATAATTTATAGTCGACTCGGTCCTTTGAGAAATAAAACTTGTACACCTAGAGCCTTTGATATTGGCTAATGAAAGGGCTCGAGGTAGCGTTCAATTGTAAAAAAAAAAAAAAAAAAAAAAAAAAAAAAAAAGATTTTTTTCTGTAAAGTGTTGAGTATGAAGCGTTACAAGTGGGGAACAGCTATACTCAGTTGTACTGGGCGTTTCAAAAGGAAAAGAATTTCCAATCGCCTGAATTGTTCCTGCAGCCACCATAACTCGTTATATCTCCTAAAAAATGGATATCTTCAGGTTGAGCCTGCTTAAGTCAGGCCTGATCATTACCCCGAGCCGGCTTGGGCTTGCTAGATATAAGGTTTACTCTGAATGAACCCAATGCTCGAGGCGGCTCGTCTCTGCCCACAGTATCTGAGGCTAACTGAGGCTGAGGCTGAGACCAATAATACATTGGCAAACTACATGTAACTACATGTACATGTAGCTGTAATAATAAACCGTGATCGATAGATGTAGCTTAAAAAAAACACGAATTGTAAAAACCCGCTAATTACCTCAGTAGGATACACGATGGCACCAGTTACAATGTGGGCCAGACTTTGGTTTCCTATTCTTCATATTCTAGTGTGCTCTTTGAGTTACACGGGAAATGTTTGTTATTAAAACACCAAAAATACTTTGTCTTGCTAAATTTACATTACGATCAGGATCTAGCTGAAAGTTTTCCTCAACTCCTAAATAGCCGCAAACCATCCATCTCAATATCTTTTTCTTCCGCGTCTTCTTCATCTTCATCGACCTTGACCTTTTGGCCCAACAAGCTAGAAAACAGCTCACTAAAACAGAAATAAACATTAGTATCTGGGTTAATAGTGGTCGAGGAAATAAAAATAATGAATCATACTCAATCTGTTGTTCATGCCAGGTATTGTTTTCCAAGGGAGCCATGAAGTTTTGAATCTTCTCTTGCACCTGATATCGCAATTTTCTTCCTTTACTCGCTTTTGTATCCACGACCTTTTTCTTCTTCGAATCACGCATGGCGGTTGTCCATGTTATCGCGCCTGCTCCTGCTCCCGCCCCGCCATCTACCATTCGTCGATCTACCAGGGCCTTAAGGAGAAGTTGATAGAAATCCGCATCGTCAAAGATCTCTGGATGCTCGGCTTCAGTACATCCAGGCGCCATCGATCGTGGGGTACGAGTACGGATAATCAACCGGTCTTGATCATAGCTAAGTGTCTCATTGATTGAGGCAACAAGGGAACGATGGGTGGAAGCAGCGTTATTTAATTTCTTTCCAAGGTTAGCCGTGGAAACGCCTTGAGTTTTTCCAGACCATTTATCAAGTGTCGTTTCCCGCCAGGGCGCAGCATCGCGATCGAGTTGATGTATTTTGGTCGCAAGAGCTTCAGTAGTGGTGTCGACGGTATCCTCGTCATCACGTTTTCGTTTGTTGCCAGTTCGAGAATCAGAGAGGTCACAACGGAGATCATGAAGTATGTTCCATAACTTTAATGCGGCACCTTCAGCAGCTTTCCATGATTCTGGCTCGGCCGGAGTCTCTGGTAGGGAATTTGTAGATATTAAAGCCTTTTGGAGCTTGATACGAATACTGAGGAATGAGTCGAAAGTTTTCTACTACTTATTAGCATAGAGTTATCGCCTTTGGAGAAGGATATAATATTATTACTTGTTGTTGCCGAACGGCAGAACCTTTGTCTGCGTCTGCTTTTGCTGCTTTAGAGATGCTCTTAACCACATTCCTAGAAGTTTTTAGAAATTAAGTCGAATCATAATATTAGGGATTTCATACTTTTGCTCTTCGGCCATCATTTTTCGCAGTTGCGCTCTCCGGGCGATCTCTTCCTCTTGATTATCTTCATCCTCACTTTCATCTTCATCATCTTCCTCTTCATCATCTTCCTCTTCATCATCTTCCATTTCAATGTCTTCCTCATCAGAGTTTTCATTCCCATCCTCTTCATTACTTTCCTCCTCGTCATTATCTCCATCAACTTCATCGTTTCCCTCGTCTCCAGAACTTTCCCCGCTGGAACCTGCGGCACCGTTCATTTTTTGTATTGTAGTACTTCCCCTGAATTTGAAGCTAGCGAACTTCTCTTCCTCACTCCCTAATGCATCGTCGCTATCAATTTCGTCATCTTCGCCGCTGAGTGGTGTACCGTCCCGGATATCGTCCTCGCTGTTGAGTTCGACACCCCCAGTTGATTCAGCGTCTGATTTTTCGTCCTCTTCGTCTTCGGAATCCGCGGAATCTCGCGATTCTTCGTCTTCATTACTGTCGTATAGCTTATCGCGACTCACTTTGGCCCCGTTGTATTTTGGGTCCAGTAATACAGGATGCCCTTTTCGCAATTTGCTCTTTCTATTTCATTGTTAGGCCTCTAGGCAAAAATGTAAATAGATAATATCGATGATATGAATTTATTTGTACCCTACGGCAACATAATGTTCCCTTCCAGTATGTTCTCCCTCGTTTTCACTACCTTCGGAATCATCGCTACCTTCACCATCCCATTGCTCTTCCTCTAGAGCCTCTGGATCGAAGTCTAGGTCAAAGCTTGTAAGTAACTATAAATATGCGCAGGAATTGGTTTGATAGATTTATTTACCAGTCGGAGCAGGATTTTCCAGTAATGCAAGCTGCTCGGTTAATGAGAGCGCTGATCGGGGCTTTGTTGAAGGCATTGTGATGAACGTGGGTTGGGAATAGATTGTCGAACTGGAAAAAAAAAGGTGAATCCTGATACCCTTGGCGACAAAAAGTTGAGCCGCACTATGCATGTAGCCCATGACAGGGACTCCGTCTTGGCATGGCCTCCATGCTCGTAACGACCGGGGGTGCTAACGATTCATCTAGCTTGGGTCGAGTTATAACGATTTTGATGGGACTAGGTCTTCGACCAGTCATAATGTAGGTCGTATCAATGGCAGGAGAGGCGATTCTAGTAGAAAAAGATACAGACTTTTCTCAGGTTTCTCATAACTTGATGATACGACCCCGGGAGAGGATACGACCTAGGTCATTATCTTTTACGACCCATGGGTTCCCGACCCGGTCCTAACACTGACCGGTCGTTACCTGATACATGACTACATCATGTAGAGCAGCTACGTACCCATTCAATCTCACACCTATATACGTATACCGGGTGAGTACATGTAGACACTCGCGCACCTGGGTCAGTGGCGCATTACAACCAATTCAATCATTGCAACCAATCAATGTTGGGCCTTTATTTTTTCCTACCTACGTATATATTCAGTCGCGCACCATAGAAATTGGTCAGGTATTTGAGTGTAGTTTGTCATTTCAGATATTCTTCCGGATTCCACCGGTGCCGTAGCTCATACGGGATCATGAGATGACCACATACATACATACATACATACATACATAAGTACATGTACGTAGGCAACGTACCGCTAAATCTCGAGTTATTCGGGGGGTTGCCAAGGCCACCTGCTAAACTAGATTTAGTTTAGATCCTGTAAAAGAGGGCTGTTTTCTTGAAGATCGCTTCCTCTAAAGGTGAAGGTCCTCAGCTTTTTGCCTTGGCAACCCCCCGAATAACTCGAGATTTAGCGGTAGGTTCTTCGGATTCAGTACTACATGATGTATGTACTATACATGTACTCGTATTTCTCTGACGTTTGTGGATGCGACTGATATTGCATGCCATACAAAAATACGCCAAGCTCATGATTTTGGGTGTATGCAATAATGGCCCAGTTCAAAAACGTCAGCGAAATACTAGTATTGTAGTGTCAGATTGGATGTGCACTCCCTGTGAATAGCCAATCAGCAGAAGGCTGGGCACGAGCTAGGTGCCATATAGAGCACTTACTTACTCTACCTCCATAATCATTAGAGTGTTCTACCGGGTTGACTTCAGCTTCGTTGCTGGGATGTACAGCAAGCTGACTGCAGGAACTGTATGTAGATTTCTCTAGAGCACTACATACTCTAAATGTTCAGCATCCGCATTTAGTTAAATGTTGAAATCTGATTGGCTGTTTAGGGGTACGCAACTCCATGTAGTTAGAGACACCTACTCGTAGTTTTTTTGGCGTTTCCGGACGCAACTGCTATTGCATGCCATACAAAAGATAGCCTTGGCGAGTTTTTTTCTGTGTATGCAATAGCAGTTGCGTCCGGAAACGCCAAAAAACTACGAGTAGTTGCTAGAGTACCCGATGACATAGGTGCACAGCCCCTGCATCGCTGTAAATACCGTGGTTCCAGGCAAGGACAACGAGGATTGTAGATATAGAGCTAGATAGAGTACATGTATTGCACTTTTTGAACTTGAAGCAAAGACTACATGTATCTCAAGCGTATGTATGTAGTTAAGTTTGGTTCCTTGGGGTTGACCTAGTTAGGTGTTGAGCTCAGGGCACAAAAGCCCAGAATTAAACGTCTACCGTTCCGGATCCGACACAAAGTCTTTCAAGAATAATGGAAATACCTATGAGGGACACCAGTGACTATCGTGAGTCCATATCACGCCGCGCCAATGCGTCCATAGCCGTTCTTATCTCTCGCTAGTTAACTAACCTGCACAGTATGTACAGTTGGCACGGCACGCCATCCCCAACCAAGGCTGAAGAAGGGATGATCAGACATTCCAACTCTGAGTCAAGAGTCAACAGGTTATGTGTCTTCTGAGTCGATAGATACCATTATGGGTATTTATATCAGCTCTCTATCAGCAAAAGCTCACTTTCTTTCAAATTATAAACCAATACAATGACCTCCGAAAAACGAGTATGTGTCTTCTGTGCCTCACGGCCAGGAACAAATCCAAAATTCGCTGCAGCCGCTGAGAGCCTGGCAGAAGAGTTATATCAACAGTCATGGAGCCTAGTTTATGGCGGTGGAAACCGAGGCCTGATGGGCTCTGTTGCTAAAACATTGTTTGACAAAGGTGGGAAGGTTCATGGGATAATCCCAAGAGCCCTTATTCAACGTGAAGTGGTAAGAAGGCTCCTAAATCCCCTACTATATATATAAATGATCAATTCACTCACCAAGGTCTTTTTTTTGCTACAGGAAGGGGAAATGGATATTGGGACTGTCACAGTGGTGGAAAGCATGCATGAGCGGAAGAACGAGATGGCGAAAGTCAGTGACGCATTTGTTGCATTGCCAGGCGGATTTGGCACTCTGGATGAGCTGGTCGAGATTATAACCTGGGTACACAACTGCCAAAGTCCGTAGATATTATGAATTTAGCTAATATTGAGAAAATTAGAGCCAGATTGGGATACACGCGAAACCAATTGTTCTATTCAATGTCGACGGATTTTTTGACAATTTCTTAAAGATGATGGAAGACTTCTACAGCAATGGTTTTGTGGAAGAAGAAACAAGGGGAATACTAAGAGTAGCTACAACTTCCGGTGGGGTTATCTCTGCCATTGAATCCTATGTCCCTCCAGATGGACGTATGAAGCTTGCTTGGGATGAGAAACTAAATCCATAGCTGGATACGAGCGCGAACAATATTTAACCAGTTGTCATTGTAAATCTCTTTTATCAATATCAAATCATTGATGTAATTTAAGCCCAAATAGACCGCATGTATGGACCCAATAGTGTTTTAACGGATAAATGAGATCATTTAACATTCACACTTTTTTTCGGCCAGACAAAGTGAGAAAATATATCCTAACAATGTGTTGAGAAAAAAATGCTGGGAAATTATCGCAATAGCACAGAAGTCAAAACTTTCAAACCTCCCTTCTCATGTGTGGATTACTTATCTTGTTATATAGAAACTAGAATAGCCACAGGATCTACAAAGCTCTAGGGGATCTAAAACATTATTCGGTTGGCATCGTACATACAAGATAAAAGAAGATAGTCATTGGTATTTTTTAAACACTAACTAATGGCAAAAAAATCTAAATGAGATGACCCCCATGATCGTTATGCTTGCATTTACCCACCCAATTCCCTTTTACGCAGTAATCCTCTTTACACTTAGGTTCCCAGCGGCCTCTTTCTTCTTCTTTTGCTTTATCGACTCTCTTCTCCGTTGCTTCCACGCACGATTCCATTCTCCCCTGTTCTCATAAAACTTCTCGCTCCAGACGTCCGCCATCGTTTTATCCCCTGGCGCCACCTCTTCAATCTCCTCTACTGCCTTGGCCTTCTTCTTCCTATCTTTCTTTTTGGGCTGTCCTTCGTCCTCTTCCTCGACCGGCTCATCCTCGGCCTCGGTAAGTATCTTTGGAGTTGGTATCTTTGACCACACACTCAACGCGCCTAAAAACCTACTCTCGGTATGCGGGAAAAGTAACGGAGACTCAGTAGAGGGGGTATAAGGTGTGGCATCCTTCTTCACCGAGAGCAGATCTTGTCCACCAGGGAAACCTCCGACAATCCTCGGGGTAGACGGGACGAACCCAAGCTTTCCCCCATGACCCATACCATCATCTTCATCTGGGAAGAATTTGCGATGTCCAATTGCCGTGTCTGGCGTGGGCGCGGCGGAGCGGTAGCGATCACGAAAGGGGGCCTGGACAACTGGTTCCTCCTCTTCGTCCGAATCGTAATCGGCGCCAAAGCCGAACTTAAAAGCCGAACTTTCAGTAGTTGCGGAAGCGGGGGAGGGGGCAACTCCGACTTGGAGTAAGGTTGTATTTTTAGTGGTGGGTTTGTAGAGAGCTTCAAGTGGATGGACTGCCTGGATGGGTGGGTTTGTGACAGTAGGAATGGTGATTTGCAGGGCAGGAGCGGTAGTTTTGGGTGAGGTGGTAGAAGAAGACTGGAGTGGTTTGGTTGGCGAGACGGGGGTGACTGGGGTGATAGGTGATGTCTTTTCAGTAGCTTCCTCTTCATCAGATTCGGAACTTGAAGACTCAGATGACGAAGAGTCGGACTCCGTGGTGGCGGCGGTTTGAGATTTCTTTGAGGGGGCCTTTGAAACAGGAATTTGAGGTTCTGATTCAGATTCCGAGCTGGAATCATCCTCGCTACCCGCCTTGGCTTCAGTAGGAACCATGGTGGCTGCATCAACCATGACCTCGTCATCACTTTCCGATGCATCTGTGACATCCACGCCCTTTGGCGTATCTGCAGATTCCGGTACCTGGACTTCTGTTTGCATGATTCCATCTGCTCTCTTCTTAGCCTTCTCTTCCTCTACCACATCGCCCTTCGCATTTACCCAGCCGACCCCTTCGACATACTCGCTCGCCATTTTCTCGGCGGCCTGGTCTTTATCGAGCTGGCTAACCCTCAAAAATTGGGGAAATTTGGTGTTGTTCTTAAACTCTTTGATGACCACCTCTCTCTTACGTTTTTTCTTATCTTTCTTCTCTTTTTTATCTTTCTTCTCTTTCTTCTCCTCCTTATCCTTCTTTTTCTCGTCTTTGGGCGTGGCTTTGTTGGGAGGGAGGGGTGTCTTGAAGAGACATTCGCGCTTAGACTCGTCCTCTATCTTCTTTGCAGACGAAGATGCTTTGCCGGCATACTTTGCAGAGACGCCTGTAGGCACAGCGGGTTTTGTCCAACCACGTTGTACCTTCCTTCCTTCGGGGAGTCCTATTCCTTGGAGGATGCCGTCTTCGCCCTTCTTTCTTTTCTTTACCTTTGGTTCGTCTTCAGCCTTACTTCTCTTCCTCTTCTCTTTCTTCTCCTCCTTTCTTGCCCTCTTTGCGCTTTCGGCGTCCTCCATGTTTCCTTCTGGCTCGGGATGCTTCACCCAAGTTTCGGGTCTAGCCTCTTCTACGCGGACCTTTACACCGCGGAAAACAGATCCGTTGAGTCTTTTCTTCAATTTATCTGCCTGGTCCTTGGGCAGATTAATGAATGCGTATGAGTTCTCTGGGAACGTCTGTATAGTATGGTAGCTCAGACTCTGTCTAGTGGCTTTGTCAAGCACCGATTCGGGTATTAACGACGCTGTCGTCTCCGGTGTCAACGGTACGATGTGAAGTCTTACAATCGCGGGTTCGGTGTCGGCTTTCGCAGGGACTTGTTTTTTCGTGGTGGAGGATTTTTGTTGTGACGAACTAGCCATTCCTGATCGCTAAAAAGATATTCACCGAGATCGTTAGAGAATTGCCGGAGCAGAGGAGGAAAGAGATGATGGGTATATCGGAGAGGGTAGACCACGGAGGGGGTATTTAGAGAACTTACCGTAGTTTGACCGGGCGGCAAGGTGGAGCGGCGAGACTTTTGCAGACTTGCAGTGCCCCACTAGAGAATAATTCGATCGATCCGGTGTGGGTAAGGAACAGGTACCTGGGGAGGTATTGTATGTGCGATGGATAATTTTTTTGACGGTGGGGGATGTAAAAATATGGCATTGCGACATCGGTTATGTATGGTAATTACTCATGTATAAGGGATGACTCATAGTTGGAATAAGGAGGCTTAGCGCTAGGATTATGTAATCAGGGGATCACGTGGTACTAAGAACTATCTGTATATAAGGAGCAACAAACTCCCATAGTTGTCGCTGGAACTCAGCGGCGCAATAGTATCTTCTTTGCACTATAAACATATTCCTCACAAAGGTCACGTGTTCAAACCCTCCTCAAGTCGTCTATTCTCTCACACTCCAATTCACAGGTTATGAGCCCGGGTTCTGCCAAATAGAATCCGCACTACACCATCGCCACCTCGCTTAACTCAACAACACTTCATACAACATCATGCCTTCAGAAGGAGAATCGTCATCCAAGGCTGCTGAGATTAAACCCTCAGAGACAACAGCTACCAGTAACATTCGTCTCAAGTTTGATGGACTCCCTAAACTTCAAGGGCAATCCAACTACCAAACTTGGGCGAGTGCCTGGAGGATAACGTTCGACGCTGTAGACTGGTGGGAAGCGTTGAGCATCGAGAACCCTGACGAGAATGACACCGAACTCAGCAAGACCGAGATAAAGAAGGCTCGTAAACAAATGCACAGCCTTCTCATCTCTGCTGTATGCGAAGAAATACAACCAACAGTCGTCTCCGCCGAAAATGCATTCTACGCATGGAAGGCGCTCAAAGACCTCTACGATCGTGTCTCACCCAACACCACGATCACCCTCCTCAGCCGCGTCCTAGACACGAAGATGCAAGAAGGCGGATCACTGACCGAGCATCTCGCGACCTTCGATGCGAACTGGAATACTCTCAAGTCCAGATGCCAAAGCGCAGACCACAAACTCGCTCAGGCTCTCCTACCCCTCACCAAATCCAACGAAGCCATGGCGGCATTCCTCCTAAGTTCGCTACCCAAATCGATGAGCAACGTCGTCGACAACATCCAGACCAAACAGGATGTTACCTATGAAGACGTACGCCAACGACTACAGAACCTGGATGAGGTAGCCCCTCAAACAGGGAACAAGGTACTCCATACCAGGAGTACCACAAGCGACAAGGAATGCACCTGGTGCAAGAAAAGGGGACAGCCTTACAAAGGCCACGAGTACACGGAATGCAGAAAGCTCAAAGAACAGAACAAGAACAGAAAGGGAAGGAGAAAGGACAACTCGGCATCGGTTGTAGTAAATGACTCTACAACCACTATCTGTATGGTACGCCACAACAACTCCCAACCCCTTACTTGGATCCTTGATTCTGGAGCGACCTCTCACGTCACACCCTTCCAAGACCAACTCATCAACATCCGACCTCACACCGGCAACGTCCGAACAGCTGATGGAACCAACCACGCTGTCACCGGAATGGGAAGCGCTAGTTTCAGCTGCCACCTTCCCGATGGAAGTAGATCTTCCATACTCCTCACCGATGTGTTGTTGGTCCCAACCTTGGGAAATGTGGGATTGGTCTCCGAAACCGTGCTCGACAAAAAGGGATTTAGAACGGAGTCAGGAGGAGGAAGCAAGTTGGTTACAAAAGAGAAGAAAGGAATAATTTGGGCAAAATTGGAAAAGGGACTTTGGAATGTACAAGTAGTTAGCAATACAGTTCGTTTGACCTCTTACGATGAATGGCATCAAGCGTTAGGCCACCCTGCGACACTAGAAAACTTGTATCACGACATTCAAAGGCTGCCTCCCAAACCAGAAAGTTTCCACTGCAGTCAATGTGCACTATCAAAAAGCGTACACAAGAAACCTGCACCAATTAGTACTAGATCCAAACGACCATTCGAACTAATCCACTCAGATCTATCTGGAAAGTTCAGTATACAGTCACAAGGAAAAGCTCAGTACTATATGTCCTTCATCGATGATTACACCCGCTTCGCATGGATATATCTCCTGAAACAGAAAGAAGACGCAAAGAAGGCCATCAAGGACTACGTTACAAGGATCGAAAAACAGTATAGCACAACAATACTGAGATTCAGAACGGATGGTGGTGGTGAATACATCAACAAGGACATAACGAACTACTTCGATTCACAAGGAATAGTTCATGAACAGACCCCCCCATACACTCCTGAATCTAATGGAGTTGCAGAACGATTCAACAGGACGGTAACCACAATGGTCAGGTGCATGATCATGGACCATCCTAAGTCGTTATGGGGAGAAGCATACGCAACAGCTGTCTACCTCAAAAACAGGCTACCTCACAGTACGCTTAAGGGAAAGACCCCCTTTGAAGCCCTAAAAGGAACCAAGCCAAGTATACAACACCTTCAACCATTCGGCAAAAAATGCTACGTCCACATCCCAGAAAACTCTAGGCCAGCAGGAAGCAAACTAGCACCCCGAGCGTATGAAGGAATCATAGTTGGATACTCAGACAGTGATAAAATATACCGTATCTGGATAGGAACACAACATAGGGTAATTGAAAGTCGGGACGTCACATTCCCCCCTCCTGAATCAGGGGAAGTCTCAGTGGAACTCGACTTCATCCCCAGCCTGAAACCAGAAACGGCAAATGCACCATCAGACGACGGATACGAATCAGAAGACAGGTCTGATCCAGAACCCGAGACAAATGCAATCGAAGAGAACCGTACAGAAATGCCAGGATTGTTCCCAGAATCACCGGAACTGGTTAGAAAACCACCACCGGCTACACCAGACAAGGGAAAACAACCTGCCGTACCTATGGGACAACCGCGAGACCCAAGAGACAACTGGGAGAAAATTCCAGCACCAGTCGTACCATTCAAAGGCTTCAAAGGAAAACCACTTGTGTCAACAACACCCAAAGGTACACCACCACAACCTCCAAAACGATCAGATCGAATACGCCAGCGAAAAAATAGAGAAATTGAAATAGAAGTACGAAGGAAGGAGTATGACGAGAAGGTAGTAGAACAACAGAAGTTACTTACAAGTTATATCGAAGATGTGAAAGAAAATGGCCCAGGAGACAAAGCCACTGAACAAGAATTAATCGATCAATACAAAGAAGACTTCAGACGTTATAGGGCTGAGTTAGACACGGAATATCAAGACGTATCCAAACTCCCCCCGAACTACCATATACACCTCGTAACAGAACCTTCCAACTTCAATCAAGCTATGCAGAGCGACGATCAACACCTATGGAAAAAGGCGATACAGACTGAGAAAGACGCCCTTGACAAAGCCCATACCTGGGATATTGTCAACAGACCATCCAACCGAGCAGTAGTCAAAGGAAAATGGGTATTCAAAGTGAAACACAACGCGGACGGAACAATCGAGCGGTACAAAGCAAGGTACGTTGCTAAAGGCTTCACCCAAGTACAGTACCAAGACTACGATGAGACCTTCGCCCCCGTTGCACGATATGATTCTCTACGACTCCTATTGGCACTAGCTGCACACAACGGTTGGATACCACAACAAATGGACGTCAAGTCAGCCTTCCTGTATGGTGTACTCAAGGAGGAAATCTACATGGAACTGCCTGAAGGCTACAGACAGGACAACAAGGTTTGTAAACTTCGAAAATGCATATACGGACTAAAGCAATCACCCCGTGAATGGTATGCTTGCCTAGCAGACTCTCTTCAACGGAAAGGATTCGTCCCAGCCAAATTCGACCCATGTGTCTTCATACACAAGAACCACCATCTATACATATCGGTGTATGTAGATGACATCATGATATTCGGACCCGACTCCCCATTCAGAAAAGAAATCAGACAACTACTCAAGGCAGATTTCGAATGTACGGATCTCGGTAACTCGAAGTTCATATTGGGAATAGAAATAACGGTAACCAACAACGGTATCACACTATCACAACGCGCATACATCAACAAGATCCTGGATAAATTTGGAATGAGTAACTGCAAACCAGTTGGCACACCACTCGAACCGAACCTCAACCTTCACAAAGGCGAACCGGAAGACCAAATCGAGAAACCAACTGAGTACCAATCCATAATAGGATCACTGATGTACGCGAGTATAGCTACCAGACCTGATATCACTCATGCCGTTACCGCTCTCTCTCAGTACTCCTCATGCCCAACTGAGGACCACCTACGAGCAGCCAAGCGAACTCTCCGATACCTCAACGGAACCAAAGACTGGAACCTGTTCTACCCGAAGGGGAATACTAGAACACTCGACGGATTCTCAGACAGTTCCTACGCTTCAGACCTAGATGACAGAAAATCGTTCTCAGGATACGTGTTCAGACTAGGGAAGTCAGCCATCAGCTGGAGAAGCCGGAAGCAGAAATCAGTCGCAGTCTCAACAACAGAAGCCGAATACATGGCCCTGTCCCTCGCAGCTCGACAACTGGTATGGATTCGTAATGCCTTACACGAACTCCAACAACAATACCAGTACTTCATACACGCCGACAACACAGGTTCTATTGAACTCTGTCGGAACCCACGCATCCACGACCGGTCCAAGCACATCGACGTTCACTACCACTACACACGTGAACAACTCGAAGCCGGAACCTTCGAAATCCTCTACGTTCCTACCGAAGACAATGTCGCGGACATAATGACCAAAGGACTACCAAAACCAACTCACCAAAAATTGTCAGAATTGATACGATGTGGCAAGTGAGGGGAAGTGTAAAAATATGGCATTGCGACATCGGTTATGTATGGTAATTACTCATGTATAAGGGATGACTCATAGTTGGAATAAGGAGGCTTAGCGCTAGGATTATGTAATCAGGGGATCACGTGGTACTAAGAACTATCTGTATATAAGGAGCAACAAACTCCCATAGTTGTCGCTGGAACTCAGCGGCGCAATAGTATCTTCTTTGCACTATAAACATATTCCTCACAAAGGTCACGTGTTCAAACCCTCCTCAAGTCGTCTATTCTCTCACACTCCAATTCACAGGGGAGGGGGGTGTGAAGGGGAAAGGAGGAGGGATGTGCGAGGATGAAAGCAAGAGGCAAAACAGTCTACGGGCGTCGCAAGTGCCACTGACAAGCTGTTGCTATTCTCGCATAAAATAAACTCTGCAACTCTGCGGGATGTTATTCGCCAAGACAACGATCCACGGATGGGACACCACGCGAGTTCCAATCAGAGCGAGAAATGAAAGATAACAAGGGTGAACCTGAGACATACTTCACAACACCCTCCTCAGGGTCCATGATAAAGCACATCAGGTACCACTAGTTAGTACATGTGCAGTTACATTTGCCTAGGTGCCTGCCTGCAAATGCTCTCATGACATTAACCCGGTGACCGGGCCACACACGAACGTCTTTCGCACTTCTAAGATCAAGCCCTGGGGCGTCTTTTGGATACATCGTGGATACAATACAAGACAACCTCACCGGTCTCGTCATGTCTGTACAAACCTGTGCCTGATTACTGCAAATCCGGGCGTAGCTGATTTAACGCCTGCCCTATCTACTTGCCTACGTAGCTACACACTCACTATCATAACACGATAACTGGCATCCCTTCAATATATATATATCTGCATCCGCGGATCCGGGGATCATTTCTTGAGCAGCACTTCAAAGATAGGCGTATCTAAAACGTGGAGGTCAAACCTAACAACCGCTACTAGGTACCACTCTAAAAAAGACTGAGCTAGTGTGCATCCTTGGAATTCCGGGTGTCTTTCAGTGTGCTCTCTACTCGCGGCAGGTAACAAGTACCCGAAAATGCACGTCCTAATCTGCAATTTCCATTGGAGTAGAAGTCAAAAATACACCAAAAACTTGCAGCTGCATATTCGGGTACTTCACGTCTGTCGCGAGTACTCTAGTGGCCAGATTAGCGAAGTAATCTGACAGACATGCAGTGCCGATTACGGGGAATGAAAGCTAGCGGCTAGTTAACTAACTGTTATTCCCTACAAAACACTGTACAATACCTAAGACATGTCTCTCGCTTCTTAGCCAATACCTCTGCCTCGAGGTTCTTGGAACGTAAAGCTTAGATTCCTCGGCCAGCAATCGTCTGAAATAAAAACCCAACCCTACTGGTGCCCTTGCACCACAATAAGTCTTACTTTTTGCAACTCGATGCGCCCGCGCGATGAAGGAAGGAAGGCTACGGTGTACCATGCATGAGATATAACAAAATCACATGGAAATCGGGGGACCCCGAGGAAATACATTATTGACATAGATATAGAATGAATTATGGTTGACCAGCCAGAAAGGTTTCAGTACCAACATTCGGTACCTCACCTACTCTCTTTCTGCCCGTAAATAGATATCTACAAATCCAATTGCAAACTACATAGCGTCCTCCCTCTCGGGATATGCGGTATGCATGGAATGTTCCTTCTCTCCATGTACGCCGTGCGGCACAGAATGGTAAAGGAGGCGGTGTTTCCATTCGGCGACCGGATGAAGGACTAAATATAAGGGCGCTTTAACCATTACCCATACAGTTATTAATAATTTGTATGGCCGGCAGGTGTTTGTAGGGACATTGGGAAGGTGTAATAAGTGCGCCGAGGCGGGGAGAGGGGTTTTGCCTACTGTTGATGTCGACGTCTGAGATGACATATAATAAATGAGTTACATACGAAGATTAACAAGATGTGCTGGCTTTTGTGGGACAGGTTTGTTTCTTCTGATACTTTTCTCTGCATCGATCATATATTGGGTACATGTAGCCAGCTAGGGAACAAATTCTCACGTGTCACCAAAGATTTAAGCCTTCATTTGCATGAACATGAATGCTCAAGAATATACTTGCTTGCATATTTCAATCTGATTGGGATCACAACGAGAAATCAGTATGAGAAATCAGTATAAGAAATCATTCTACATAAATATGTATGTAGTGGGTACGTAGAATTTGGCGGGTATTCAGAACTGAGTGATATCGCATGACTAGGGCATCATCCCAGTCTTCAAATATCACCCGGCTTAGGTCTTTCGTCGGTTTTTTTTTTTTTTTTTGCTTAATTCATTATCTTTCGTCGGTTTTAACGCTATCAGCAAATTTTTGGTCACTATTTCTTACGGAGATTTCATACCTGATTTCTTTTGATACTTGACTTTGAGAATGTTTTGGTACTTTTGGGAGCTGCACTGAAGTCGGAAACCTTTTGATATTTCCCGCCATCACCATCCATTTCAATTTTCTTGCCCCTCCTTATCCCTACCCTTTTCTTTATTCCCACTTTAAATCTAGCCTCCGCGCTTCTCCGATACTCGCGCGCATTCGTGATTTGCTGCCTGATTAAGTTTCACGGTTCATTCAATATTGATGACCATGGTTTAGTGTTTTGTGGACTTAATGGTCTGGGTTAGCTAGATCAGCTTCCGATGTAGACCCGAGAACATTTGATGTTGAAAGAGGGCGGATAATATCGGCCATGTTATGGACGTGTCAGTGACTTTGTGTCCGGAGAGTTCTCTCTCCAATTGGGGGGAACTCGGGTTCTTTCGTCATACCGTATCACTCGACTCTCTTGGCCAAGCTAAACCAAATACGGGATTAAGCCCCCCGAGATCTATCTTGGGAAACCTCAAGTGTTGATACTTCTTCATGGTTCTTAAATACATCTTTGTACCATATACCATCGCTCATAACATAGACCCTGCTATAATAACCTCCAAAGATAGATATTAGTAAACGCCCCCTAGATATAGGACGGAACAGTTCATTCATCTTCTTCAGTCATCATGCTCATTAGCTCCTTGAAGCAGTCTGATAATTCTTCTACCACATCATTCAAATCTTCGACGGCATCCTCCATTTTCCTTATTTTTGCCTCTATCTCCGGCTCCAGATCGCCACTCCACCCGTCTCCTTTTTCTTTTATAATTCTGTCTATCTCTGCTAAATCCGCCCATCGCTCCATGACCCTCTGCTCACTTTGCTTACCCGGCTGCAAAGTCAACTCCGACGTGGTCAATCGAGAAATGGGCTTATTATCAGGGCTGGAGACACATGATGGCCTTTTCTTTTGTATTGGGCGTATGCCACTCCCCTCTGTATCGTCATCTTGATTATCATCGGTCTCCGTCGGTCTTTTTCGTTTGGTAGATGTTAAATGGTCATCGAGACTCGCACTTTGGGGTCCTCCATACCCCTGTTCATGCTCATTGACGTTTTCCATTCCCCTCTCGTTCGAACGAGTGATAGACTCAGTTGGTGCCTTCTCCTTGTCAGTATTCGGTGTAGATACAGACACAAGTCTCCGTTGCTCTCTGGGCCAGATTTTCAACAAATTTTCCAGCAGCTTACCGAAGCCGGCCTTCTTGGAAAATTCAGTCTGTGTTTTATTCAAGTGGCTCATCTTGGAACCCTCGATAAAATCATCGACTTGGTCGATACATGCTCTGACGAGTAGGATCCGGCGCTCTAGATCTTCAAGAAAAAGGGGACCGATCTGCGGCGTTAAAGCGGGTTCTTTGTAGCTGGGGCTGGGCGGTGCCACTAATTTTAATTCGTCCGGTAGTTTAATTGAGTGGGCAGTCTCACTGGGCAGCCCTTCTTTGCCAAGGCTGTCATCGAAGAATCTAGCTTGTCCCTCGGGAAATACTGGTTTCATAAGGTTGGTAATAGTCTCCGGTTCCTAGCAGATAGACTTGTTAGCTGAATAACCTTGCATATAGGTGAGAGACCACACCTTTTCAATATAGCTAGTCCCTTCGAGTTTCAAACCCTGAAGTTGTTTGAACAATTTGTCAATATTTTGTAGGTTTACGTCCGTCTCCGTAGGGATACAGTCGGTACATGTATCATTGGGGACTATCGGTAAGTCTTCGACTGCCTCTATGTGGATGTCTTTAGGGACATCGATTGCACCGCAGCTGATAATCGGTAAATCGTTCCCGTCCATTTCCATATTTTCCAGGCGAGGAAGATTAATCTTTACTGCTAATGGTTGATCAAGTTTGCACCGCAAAGATCTCTCGGGAGAGTTGAAAGTTGAATAGGAACGTTGACCTGGTGCCGAATGACGAACTCTTATAGTCTTTTGAAACAACATTACCCAGCAGCCGAGTAACATTTTTGCCCATAAAGCCAAAGTTTCGCGGCGGATACGTACGTGGGTGAAATCAATATCACGTAATAAATTGAAAAGTTTATATGTTGGAGCTCCGGAAGGTGTCGGTTGCGGGGTGCATACGTACAGTAACAAAAAAGGGTATGGATTCGCTATGAATACGGTATTCCCGTCAATACGCTAGTACGGTATTGTATTGTTCGTGCAATGACGGTTTAATTCCATATTCTTCGTTAAATTCCACGGTCCTATATGGTAGTGTTTTCACACCGTTTTTTCTCTGACCGTTTTTTCTCTGGTGAGCAGCTTGATGCTGGTAGGGGATTGGCGTGGGGCTGCGTTTTTCCTACTGATGTAGGCATATATAAGTATATGTATCTATAATGTACTATCGCTAATTTTTCGAATATTGGAACGGTCTGATTGGCTGCTGAGTGCAGGGATGTTGATTAGTCAGCACAACACATCAAAGTACTGAGCACTCACGAGAGGAGGAGGATGGAGCCGAAGGCCCCTCATGATTGTAGAGGGAGAATTAAATTTTATTTGATACCCATAATTCAACGTACAACTCGCGGTCGCGAGTTGGCACACCCCTAGTCTAATATGTACTACGATACAGTCTTTTCGCGATCGGTTGAACCCTGACCCTGACTCTGACCTCTGCATAGCAACCAGCGCATCCCACAAAAAATCAATGATACTGGATTAAAAAGGCCATATAATTAGATAATAAATCTAATTAAATAACCACGCCGCAAAATCAATGATACTCAATGATACTGACGGAACTCTGTATCTGCGGCGCACATAATAAAATTTAAAAAGGCCTATATAATTAAATAATATATCTAATTAAATAATCTAACACGAAGCAGTGGAGTAGGGTGAGAGTGGTTTTGGGGGGGGGGGGGGGGGGGGGGGTAGAGGGCAGCGGAAGGGCGGTGGAGATGGTGGGAACTAGAGGGGCGGGAAAGGGGAGGGAAGGTGGAAGGAGTCTCCTCCATCAATATCAATATTTAATACTCATAGATACTCATAATGCAACAACTCGCGGTCGCGAGGTGGCACACCCCTAGTATATATGTACGTATGTATTCACATGAACGGGGCGGGGCGGAGAGATTTCTTTAATGTTCCTCACACCGGCTGCTTGGGCGCGTGGTTGATAGTTTGGGTAGGTTTTTGTGGGCGAATCCGGTGCCGGTAGCCATGAGAGACCAGTTTGCGACTTGTGGTTGACTTGTGGTTGGCCGCTAGAGCCTAGAGGTACTAAGTTGTCCCTGAGAGGTCTGTTACATGTAGTTTATGTAATTTGCTCTGCTTACACTACTAACTACTAGTGTTTATTCTCTCATTGAGGACCTACCACATACTAGAGGGCTACAGCTTTAGCAACCTAACAAGGGGATAAACAGCAACGGCGTTTAGCATAATGCATTAAGGTAGTCCGATACCTCATGGCGATGTTTCGTTAGGCTTGTAGTAATGAGATAGGGTCCCACTATACCTAGGAAAGTTTGCCAACCACGGCCACCCAGCAAAAGGGTTGGGTCTGAGTCTAGTGATATACTCAACCCGCCCAAACCGCCTAACTGCGCATCTAACTAGGTGTGAGGAACATTCTTTAATATCAGAGAACCTGATGGTTTGCTCTATTTGGGGGCCTTGGTACCACAGACTACAGGTATGTATGTATAATTTTCATTGGCTGTAGCCGAAGCTGATGTAAATCTGCTTACTAGAGTACATGTGGTTCTTGGTGTTGCTAATAGAGTAGAGGCGCGCTGAGGTCTTGGCATGCGGCTCCAAGAGAAATAAGCATTTATGGGGGAGATGTCGTCATCTAGCCGAGGGAAGCCGCCTGGCTGACCTTGCACCATCTGAAAAAAACGATTTCCAAGCAGCAGACAGGCATGTTTGTAATTATTTGAAGTGCATGTCTAGCTGTAAATAATCAAAGAATCAGCATTATCAACCCTCCCGCTGTACCTGTTAGAGTAGGACCACCGCGTAAATAAATACCCAATGCCCCAATGCACTAGTACAAGGAGTACTGATACGTAGGAACAGACGTACGTACTTGTACCTGATAACCTGATAAGCTAGCCATATATATGTTCATTCTCCCCCGCACTCTCAAACACCAAAGATTGTACGCCCTTTCAACTTTGAAACCCGCCTCTACCCTCCGTATCAGCTCTCTTTACCAGAAACCCAAGCCTTCACAACTTCAATTTCTTAGGAACTTCCAAAAGACAGCAGCAGAAATGGGTTCCCACGGCGACTTCAAAAGTATCGAGGACTCCCGTCCTGATTTCGAAGCAAACGAAAGTTTCCATCACACCAAGACCGTCAAGCCCGACTGGAAAGTCGGCGGCGGGGCCAACGACACTAGTTGGAAAGACCACAAGACCGTAGAGATCGACCCCTACGGTAATGGTCGAACCAGCTTTGACAATTATAAGCTTCTTATCTCTGGAATCATTCCGCGTCCCGTCAGTCCTCCCCTCCCCTCGTGACAAAGAGTAGCTATTCTGACAACAAATCAACAGATCGGCTTCGTCTCAACCGTCTCTACCGACGGCAAGTATAATCTGGCACCCTACTCCTACACCCAAATCGTCAACCATGACCCACCAATCTTCTGCATCGGTATGAGCGCCGGCCGAGGCGCCAACAAAGACTCCTGCGAGAACCTCCTCACAACCAAGGAATGTACCATCAATATTATTTCCGAGTGGTTCATTGAGGCCGCAAACTACACCTCCATCAACGCCCCCCACGGCGTATCAGAATGGGGTCCCACGGGACTGACACAGGCTGCGTCCACCAAGGTTGCACCACCGCGCGTCGCAGAGTCGGCATTCTCCATTGAGGCGAAGTTGATTCACACGCATGATTGGTTTTCACCTAGTACGGGGGCAAAGACGGGAACATTGGTTATTGTCCAAGGCGTTAACTTTCATGTACGCGAGGATGCGCTGAACGAGCAAAAGAATATGATTGATCCCAGCGTCTTGAGGCCTGTCAGCAGATTGGGCGGCGTCACCTATGGTAGGACGACAAGTGGGTACGAGTTGACGAGGCCAGAGTTTGCGGACGAAAAGGCGAAAGAGGAGGTAAAGGGATTCTTGTGAGGTTGGGGTAAATGTATAGTGAGCGTGTTTAGATATGATATTTGTTGATTAGAGCTTGGTTTGGCATTAGAATTGATTCGCGTATACTTTGGTATGATTAAGGTTCTCAATATTGGCCGGAGTGATAGGGGCCTCTCAGCCTTTCATAGTAATGGGATCAAGTTTAATTACATAGCGACCATTGATGCCATTATTTAAATAACTGTCATGAGACGCCCCAACACCTAAAGTGATAATCCATGATTTGAGTATTGTAATCCAATGTTATGTTGAACCATCCATTTAATATTAGTGGTGTATGAGGAGGCTCGAGTTGAGCCACATAATAAACTTGAGCCCACTCGACAGTTTTAGAACTAATACTCTTATCTCTTAGACCGTTAATATAGGCTCATAATATAGTTTCAGCTAGCAACCAATGATTCTAAAAACAAAATATTTTGCTGTTAAGTATTGGGAATGAGGGGTGACGGGTTGCAAAAAGTCATATCAGCATGAAAAGCTGTTGAACCGGGCATTTTGAAGATAAAAAATTCCAGGGGCCCAAATATTCCCTCCAACTGTCAAATAATCATTATCTCACTAAAAAGTAAATCGATTCAGCTCAAGCCCGCTTGAGTCAACCCATGGTTGTAAGCTTGAGCTGTCTTGGGCCAACGGATAATAAAAATAACCTTCTATCAGCCCAAAGCTTGAGCCAGCTCGGCTGATAGGTAGATCGATCAGGCTACAAGTTATCCGGAAGAGCTTGGTTCATGAATGTGTGGTGCTTTAAGATGGGTTGTGCTGTGATGGGTACGATGAAGTCAAGCAGTTGGCCTGAAAAAGATCGATGTAGTGAGATCATGTTTTTTTCGGGATGGAGAGAGGCTGTCTAGTATGAACCACACTTGTGCAACAGTTTAAACTATATGCAACTAGTACTACCATCACGAAAGAAAGTTCATATTTCTCTACAACACCCATATTTTGACGTAGATATGTCCCATTTTATTCGCAATAAATACCACGATAGCCTAAACCTTACCACCTTCTACAAATTTCAGATAATAGCGGAAAGAAAAAAAAATTGTCTTCAGCCCGGCTCAAACTGTGCTTAAACTAGCTAAGTCTCCTGCAACCTCTGGTACACTAAGTAAAACAACTCTAACCATCGTTTTTGGTTCTCAGACAGCGGTTTCCCAGGCGTCTGGAAAGAGCAGTTTGTAATCCCCTTTAGCCTGCTGCGGAAAGTTTTTAAAGCAACCATACTTTTCCAATCCTGGAAGGCGAAGCGAACGCGATTTCCATCAAGAACAAGGACACCGGAGTACATCTATCCATTCCGATTAGGTCTGTTTAAAATAGGGTTGCTGTCTGACATTCTTACCTTGAAGTCAACATCGCCGCAGAGCAAAGCAACAGTGATGTCGTCAACATGTCCGGTCTCATGGGCGTCGTAGAACCTTGGATATATAAGCTTAATAATAATCCCAAGGAAGGTGGTTTGGCTTACTTATTGGATTGCATAATTCCGTAGAATGCTAACCACTCGCTCATGGTGTGCTTATTCACAGAGCTAGGATGTATTGCAATGTTCTGGCCATTAACAACGTTCTTCCACCCCTTCCCGTCCTTCTGCAGCAGTTTTGGGTAAAACCCAGCGGCGACAACCGCGTTTACTACCGAGTCGTTTTCGCTGCTGTGGTTCACGGCATTAGGTGCTATGAAGAAGTTGCGACGGCGGTAGGTGTTGAAACGGCAGCGGTTGAGGTAATTTCTCTCCTCGTTCGTAAGGCTGAAGAACCCTGCGTCAATGACGGCAACGATAAGTTGCTGCTTCAAATCCTCAATTCCAGAAAGAGTGCGGCTGCTAAGATAGTTCTTTCGACAGAAGTCTGATTCGGTTATGTTGGTGCCTTGGCAAACTCGTCTCCAGGAGGAGTAAGCATTCCATCCTGTAAGCAGGTCGGAATCACCTGGGGGAATTAGCCACGAAGTAACCACTACTCTTAAACACTCATACCTCTTTTAAACGAAAACCTTACAGCGTCCGCCTCTTTGCGGTACCCCATTGGCGTGACAAAGGGGGATTTGGATGATAATATAGCTGCGATCGTGGTCACAGCGTCTAGGCAGCCATATACACTACCCAGCAGTACCATTTTGCCTAGGTAAACGTCAAGCGGTAGCTTTGCTAGCTGACGACCTAGTGGTGTGAGTTCTTCGGCTAACGTCAAAGCTTTTGCCTGTTTTTCTGTTAGATTCTCGATTTTGAAGTTTTCATTTACGAAAATTACCTCGATCAGGGAGTCAATGGCTCTTCTGATGTTCTTAGGCAGAGGTGCATCAAGTGCTTGAGCAAGAATCTCTTCGATACCCCCAAGCTTACAGATTTTAACCCTGAGTGCTAGATCTTGTAAGGATAACCTCATCATCTCAGGGGATTGTTGCTCGGCCATCTATCAAGAGTTTAGTTATTAGATACTCGGAATTAGCTGATTGGATTGAATTCACCCATTTATCATGTCTATCCTTTGTAAACATATGAAAGCACAGCCCTTCCTGGACTCTTCCTGCTCGACCCCTCCGCTGTTTTGCATTTGCTCTACTTACGAACGTTTCTACTAGCCTGCTTAGCTGCCTCCTCTCGTCGAATCTCATTTCTTTGTGTTTCCCTGAATCGATGACGCATGTGACATCAGGTATAGTGATACCAGTCTCTGCGATGTTCGTGGCTATAACAATTTTCCTCATGCCTAGGGGTGGCACCAAGAATGCAGCTTCTTGGTCTTCGCTAGCAATTGTTGAATGAAGTGGATAAACCAGCCATCCTCCATCTCTTTTATTCGAACCAAAGACTGGATGCGCTGATAAAAGATCATTAAGCCTTCGAATTTCACCCATACCAGGTAGAAATATAAGGATAGCTTTTGAGTAGTTGATATATTCAGGTGAAAGTGCTACTTTCTCAAGGAGCTGCATGATGAGTTCGTATTGTATCTGGTGTGGATTTATTCGTGAAAGTGCAGATTTAGTCTCCTTGGAATAACCAGTAAGAGCTGTACTAAGAACTACTTCCTTATCAGTATCAACTTCAGCATCGTTGTCATCCGCCCAATCATTGCGATTTCGAGGGTTCCGAGAGTCCTCTTCGGCTTTGAAACCAGTGACCTCAATTGCATCTTCAAGATAGTGAGTTCTGACAGGGAATGTTCGTCCAGGGACATTCATCACAGGAGCGCCGTTGAGGTATTTCGAAAACTTCTCCGCGTCGACAGTGGCTGACATGAGAACGACTCTATAAGCTGTTAGAAAGTTCTGGTAACCAAGAAAGAATTTCTAAATTTACTTCAAGTCCTTTCTCCTTGATAGCAGCTTTTTTAAGACAATCATCAAGAAATCGCTATCGATACTACGTTCATGTACCTCGTCTAGAACTAGATGGGTGACCTCCTCCAGATCTGGCGATCTTTCAAGCATGCGAACGACAATACCCTAAGATAATTAGTTAATACCACTACAACATTCTCACAAAATAAAGTGTTTTCTCACCGTGGTTGCATAAACAAGCCTAGTCCCAGTGTGCATATTGCTTTCTAGCCTGATGGCATATCCAACAAGAGAGTTTTTGCCCCCAAGATCAGACTTGCGTTCTCCAAGTTCTTCAGATACGCGGCGTGCTAGAGATATAGCTGATATTCGTCTGGGCTGTTTTCTGTTAATGTAAAGTCGAAGATAATACGAAAGGGGATCGTACTTCAGTACAGTAGATTTTGCATGGTTTCCCCTGAGAAAGCTGATGTTCTAGAATAAAAGCCGGAGTCTGCGTGCTCTTTCCACTATGATGACGTATATGAGTAAAGGTTATGAGGAAGAGATAGAGATTTAATTACCATCCTGTCTCTCCACAAATAATTACTACTTGCTCTCGGTCAATCGCAGCCAAGACCTCATCTTTGAAAGCCCACATCGGCAGTTGCTTCCTTCCATTCAACATGTGCAAATATTCAGGTGTATTTTTCTTATATTCCCAACTCTCTCTGATCATATCTGTCTGATAAGATCTTTCCAGTTTGGAGGGGTTAACATCCTGAACCTCTTCAGAAGATTTATCCAAATCATCTTTTGTAACCCGCTTTTTCTTCTTCTCGGCAGTATTCAACTCTTCTACCACGTACTCATTACTTCCAATATCTAATAGAGCCTGTAGTCTCCTAAGAATTTCCCGTTCCTTGCGTTCTGTTTCTAACCGTGCCTCTTCCACCAATTCGGCCCAAAGTGCACGCCACAAGGTAGGAAGACGAAGATATATCTTCTCCTCCTTCTTACCGCACAACTGAAACAAGGCATATGTGGCGATATATCCCTCTGCCTGTTCCTTTGTCGGCGTTCCAAACGAGTTCATAGAAAAAGCGGTGCTGAGCAATGATGGTGAATTTACAATAACAGGTGGCCGTTCATTGGAGTTCAATATCGTTTTAAATGACGAGACAGCAGTAATAGAGGACCAGTTGATAATTAATCGACTACGCGTAGATATCGATGTTCCGGGTATCATTTCGTATCGAACCTTTGAGCCCACATCCCTGATATAATTTAGCGTGATATTTTAATCAAATTTCTTGAAGGCATTATCGTACAAGAACATACCGACTCTTACAGACTTCGTCAAGTACGCTTTTAACCAATATTGAGCCCACTCCCGTTTTTCCTTTTGGTTTATTTTTGCCAAAACTACTAACTGTAAAACCAGCTTCTTCTTCGAAATTCCTGATGCTGATCATCTCTTCTCCGTTTTGTCCGACAGTTGTTTCTTCTGTAGGTGGTGGCTCAAAAAGCCCCCCTATTAAACCCATACCAAGATCATCATCCTCAATAGAGCCATGCTCGGACGAAGCAAATTGCACTCCTTCTTTACTATCCTCTCCGTCAGATTCGACGGTTCCCCGAGACAGTAATGGCGTTTGTGGTTTGGAAGTATGGGAATTCTTATCATCCCATTTGCCTTTCGGTTGCTTTTTTGCCCAGCTTTCTTTTTCAAGCCTTAATCTCTCTTCCGCCCAAATAAGCTCTGCGCTCCTAAGGTCAAGAAGTGGATCCTGAATAAGCGCTCTAAGTTTATCTTGTAGCTTTTTCAAATTTTTCATCTGTTCGGAAGAGAGTTCTTTGGGGGCTTGCGTTGTTTTGCGCCCTTTCCCTCCTTTTCTACTACCAGAAATGGCAGTTGAAATTGGATCAAGGTCATAAATCTGCGCTTGTAGTTTGACATACTCCGGTATAAGCTGCTCAGGATTAAGCTCTTCTTCATCTTCCTCACTCTCACCAGCTTTCACAGTTATTGCGTCCACACTGTGAGTATTATTGCTTTCCAACTTTAGATTTGGAGCAGCTCTAACTGATAGATGACGGGTATCAGATATTTGCTGACGAGGAGTGGATACCCCCGAAGAAGGTTGCGTTTCTGCTGGTGTTACATCTAGAAGAGATCAGAAATTTAACATTACGTCGAGGTCTAGGGAGACAGCAAGCTTACCAGATCCTCTTTTAGAAACATTACCAGATCCGGGACTCGCATCCAAGAATCCCGGAAGCTCGTCTTCATCGCAATATAATGCTAACCAGTCTAGGATATCTTCCATCGCCGAGTCGAGGCCTTTCTCTTTATCCAGTGAATTATTATTCCTTCCGGCTAATGTCTGTAATCCCTCCTCTACTCTTCCGTTAGGAAATCCCATGGCAGTTAATGTCTTGTGCAATATCCATCCATTCGCCAATAAAGTTTCTCCCCGCCTCATAGAGGCTTTAGGTTCGTCTGGGTAGAGTTGTGATTGTTCCTCTCTTGCTAACCTCAAGATCTGCTCTCCTAGACCAACCTCCTGGTTAATATCCTCTTCTACCTTCTGCTTAGAGGCGTATCTCGTAAGATTAAACCTGAAGATTTTCTCAAGTTTTAGAGGGAAACATATGCTCCTGATTGTGCGTTTTTCTGTTTCTGTCTTGTTTACAATCCTTTGTGACTCTTTATAAACCTTAGGACCGTTTTTTTCTACAAAACGCTGCAATTCAAAATCCGCTTGCTCTTCCTCAGTTGGAATAGTGTACTCTTTCTCATCTGCATTTGAACTCCCACTTCCTGGCTTGGGGATACCCGAAACTTCAACATCCTCGACTTTGCTAGGGACGGAATCATCCATAGGAGGCTCGGATGGCTTGACTTTCGATGGTGTTGAGGTTGTAGCGAAGCCACGCGCTGTGTTTGTGGCGGACTTCTTCTTCTTTGTCTTTGCCATTTTAATGAAACAGAATCTGGGGGTGTAAAGGAGGAGGTGTTGAGGGGAAGCTGAAGATCTTCATAGGTGACAGAAGATGTAATGCTTTGACCTATTACGTCAGCGGATGATCATTGAGGCTCGAAATAAAGTTTGTGTTACTAACCCGGATGCGTGAGCTGTGATAGAAAAAACTCTAGGGATGCGTAGTTGTTCCTCACGATTTTAAACTCTCTTATCTTATCATCTAATAATATCCGTGATAGATAATTGAGTCTTTGCGAAAAAGCACCGGCTCAAAATCTAGCCGTGGACAATTTTCTGCGAGGTTTGTATCACAACGTCTTTCTTACCGCGTTTGAGTAATAACAAATCACAGTAAGATGGCCGGGCCAGCCCGAATGTCCCTGTTAATATACCTAATATTGGGCTCTAGAAAGTACCAAGTCAGATTCTGTGAAGTATGTACCTAACGCATGGCCAGCGTATTTGAAATACTGCCGGCGTATCCTATAGTCCGACCGCATTCGCAAAGCGACTCCACGTACATACGTACCTGACTAGTGGAATCCCCTCATCCGCACCGAGACAGGGTTATCCCTTCAGCGGTCAGGCTGGACTAAAATACATGTAGTCAGGTTAACCTGTTTTACACCCAGATAACATCCAGCTTTGTGACCCTGGAAGCGGAGGAAGGGGTAAGCTAGCTGAGTGATACTCTGTGATTCAACCTCCCATACCATGGCCAGGCCACTCCTAATCTTGTTCGATCTACGGTTAATTTACTTCCAATTCCCCGTTGAAAGTCCAGTCCTTGATCAAGTTTATCTAACCCTAGGTCGCTCGCTTGGTATATACAGTCAGGGTAAAAAGGGCTTCAAAGATTGCACCTATATACATGTAGCTACCCATGCTTACATGTAGTTACCCGAACCAATTAACCACACATGTACCACAGCCTGAAAATTTCACCTTGCGTAGAAACAACGTGATTTATCTCGAGAGTAGGTTTTTACTGTTGAGGTGTGTGTGATTTTTTTTGCAAAGTTATAATATTTCGACTTATTTGTAGATCTATACGGCGTCCCGAATATACAAATCTTTACGTCGCAATAGAGCGTATTTGCCAACCGTCAATTTCAAGAATTTACAAATTGTGGGGCTCCGAAATGGCAACCGGGGCTGTTAATTTTGAATTTTGGTGGGGCGGCGTGCTGTGAGATATACCAGGAGGATCACAAGTACCCAGTTTTGTTACTACCGAAGCTAGTATCATGGGTATGAATTTTCAGTTCCAACAGCGTACTTCACAGGTAGCGTGATGGGTTGTCTGGTTTTCGGGGTTTATTCTGTCATACCGTTAACCAGATCGATTTTGGCCACTGCGGGGAACTGTCAATTTTGCCTCCCGAAACTGTCAAGTTTGAAGTGTCAATAGTTGAAATTGACGGTTGGCAAATACGCTCTAATAAGGTAGGTTGGTGATGCTTATTTTCTCCTCATACATATCTCAGAATACGCGACTGCCGATTATTTTAAGCGGTTCATATAAGTACATGCCTATAAGAGTACGTATTCCGGCAAGTGAATACCCCTATTATTTGGTTCTTTTATCGCCCCATGATAATAAGAATACATGTGATACATAAAGTCGGGGTACAGAAGTTTTGGTAAAATTTGGTTGCCGTTGCAACACAGAGTTTGTATGGGAACACCATACAAAACCAGAAACACTCAAATAATGACTTAAAAATTAGACCACACATGCCTGAAGAATAGACTCAAAATTCTAGAATTCTCTGAACTCCGTCGTGAGATAATTTCCAACTGCCCTTGAAGAGTTGGAATTTTTTTGATGAGGTTGGGTGGTTGTTTCGGGTAGCGAAACATGGCTACTTTGGCTGTAAAAAGGGTATATTACCACAACTTCTGTCCTAGTACTATACATATATGTGATTTATCAGTTAGATTATACGTACACGTATATATAGGAATTGCATATTGATACGCAGTTCGAAATTCGTGCCCTATAAAGTCAATGCACCCCGTATCTTGCACGCTGAAACTAAGTAAATTAACATCCTACAATTGTACAACTCTTCCTTCACTAGATTCAATCAAATATGTCGGCTCCACTCCACCAAAGGAAATACGATCAACAAAGCATACCGATTGAGGTTGACCCTCTTCTAGTAAGAAATCTAGTTCTGGCTTTGAATTATAATACCATCAGTGCTAAGCCAAATCATAGGAAGGGGATAGTGACGCCACGAGTAGTACTTCTGACTATGAAAGCGGATCGTGAGTGAATTATCATGCAAACGTGTCTTCTGGAGCCATGCTAACTCGCATGGTGGGTGGATTGATTATTCTACGGATTCCCTCACATCATCAATTTACGAGTATGGATTCACACCCGGTTGTTATACTTAATCGATCAACAACGTTAACCCCGTTCAAGGTATCGATACGAAAATGGACGTCGGTACCATGCATATAAAGACGGGTAAACCAATCGATCGTGAACGTGTTTATATAATTGTATATATGCTTATATTCTCAATAGGACATATGCCTTCCCCAATGATGAGGTACGTATGACTAGATGCCTGATTCGGGATATCTTCTCCAGAGAGGCTCATGTTCAATTTATGGATTTATCAGACTGAACAAGAAAGGTCAGTGGCACATTTCCAAGCCTGTACGTTTGTAAAAGATGCTGACTCGGTATTAGACTAGATATCATCCATCATACCTACAGCATGCTCATAGACGACAAATTGCACCTAGCTCCTATCGGTCTAAATCCACAAAGAATTCTTGATATCGGGACAGGAACCGGGATCTGGGCTATCGATGTAGCGGAGTGAGTAGAAATCTCCTTGTTAAAAAAACGGTCACTTAACTGATAAACCTCATTAGGCGCTATCCATCCGCTGAAGTCATCGGAACTGATCTCAGCCCAATTCGACCAAGTTGGCATGTATACCAATTCTTTTTGGCTAGAGAACAACGCCCTAACTTTAGCAGGGTTCCGCCCAATGTAAGCTTTCAAATCGACGATGCAGAAAGCGAATGGACGTTCGGGGAAAGCTCTTTTGATTTTGTTCATATGCGGCATTTGAATGGGTCAATCAAAGATTGGCAAGCTCTGTTGAACCAAGCGTTCAAGTAAATTTCCCTCTTTTCCTTTTCAAATCTTTATATATATATATATGTTTTCTGAGTATACATTCTTTAGGGCTACAAAGCCTGGGGGCTGGGTCGAACTAGGGCAGTACGAGAGGTGCCTATTCTCTGATGATGGAACTGTGAAAGAAAATAGTTTCACATCGCGATTCTATATACCTTGCTGAATAAGGCTGCGGATCAGACAAGTATTTCTCGCCCGCAATACATACAGTACATGCCGCGTGTGCACAATTTTATAATTTTAGCTAATATATCGTCAACTAAATTCGTATAGACCGAGGATTTCAAATCGCAGCGTCACTAAAGGAGTTTATAGAAGTGGCTGGTTTCACCGATATACACTACTTAGAAACAAAAGCACCGCTGGGACTCTGGCCAAAAGATAAAAGACAGAAAGAAATGGGGGCATTTCTACTAATGACTACAGAAACTGCTTTCACAGCAGTCGGAATGGCAATGTTGACCAGGGTTTTGGGGATGGATCCCAAGGAGGTCAATGTATTGGTTGAAGGAACAAAGAAAGAAGCCAAAAATCCAAAAATCCATGCCTATTCGCGACAGTAAGAACTGCGTTTTTCTCATCCATTTATATGTCAATTGCTAGTATTATAACAGGCACATTTACTACACCCAGAAACCATTATAGTAGTGCCTTAATTCTAGTTCGAAATTCGGTAATCTTTGTTATGACGATACATGGGCAATGAAGTCGATCTAAAATCAAATGTGTCCCGGATCCGCCGCGGAGCCAATTATGCCCGCATGTGGATATATTGTAACATGTAGTGAAAATAGATTCAATTCAAAACTGATTTCTACTGCGGTATATCTTTAGCAACGTTAGCAATCTTAATGATGAATCGAATAAATTTTCTGTTGGATATATATATTTGAGTACGTAATATACGGTAAAGGGCAAAGGATTATGATCATGGATATTGACATGCTCTATTATAATTAGCAGGCTTAGAGGAAACATCTCTGAATAGTTTATAGCTAGATCATCTACTAACCTTTACTTCAAATCTCGCTAGAACTACATGTATGCCCCCACGGTGGTGCATGCCTCAAACACGTATTTTACACTCGTTTGTAACTGCTAACGGCTATCTGCACGTACACGAGGCTGGATGTGTGTTTAATTTTGCGTGGGTCTTCCCAGGAACCCATGTCCATGGCGCATTATGTAATTAAACCTTTCGTTAGCTTATACATGTAGTGTTGGAGCCCTTAATAATCTTCGTATATAATACAGAAACCCTGTATTTTCATCAAAGAGATAAATAGTTTCACGTCGTAACAGTTTTTGTGTGGCTTTCATAACTGACTACACTCATTTTATTCTCCCAGAAACTGACTCGACCCCCTAACTTCTTGATTACTATATAAGCAACCACAGTTCTCAAATGCACTTATTTAGCCCTCCGTTGTCGTTTTAGTCATAATCCATCACTCGAGATGTTAAGCTAGTTCGAAATATACTTATTATTAACTCATTGACTGCATACAGCCCCGGTTCAAAATAAACTCATAATAAGACGCAAATTTACACTAAAGTATCAGCGTGCTACATGTAGGTACATGTTATGATAGTGTAGTGCCCTATAGGCCCAGCCCATAACCTGCGTGCATGGCTGGATGAATCCATCTTCTTCCAAACGATGGCAAAATCCGATAACCAAGAATCCGCCCGGCACAGGATCTAGGAAGGTTCACATCGTCAAAGTGGTGCCTCATTCTATAAACATTTCTAGATTCGTGAGTCACGGTCTCTACATCTGTAGTCACCAAATATCACCGGATAATCCGCGCGCGCGAGCGCATAGCTCCCCATTTCAGCAGATTTGACGCTACCGCGCAGCAGCAGGCCTAGATCTCTCGGAGATCACGCAATTATCCCTTGAACCGTCAGGCCGAACTGTAATTAGCGGAACCTAACGCAAAATGGAAATCGTGATATGGTAAACGCAAGATTTATATGTATGTCTGTCTTGCAACGTATAATTCATCACACACGAGCTCTGTGATGGTTTCTGTCATTGCTGCTCCTACAGGCGTGCCTTATATCACGATTTCTACTTTGCGTTAGGTTCCGCTAATTACAATTCGGCCTGACTGTTCAAGGGATAATGCCCCGCAACTTCTCCGCTCGAGACATGGGGAGCTAGGCCACTCGAGCGAGCTAGCGTGGGACCGTGGGACCGTGACGCCGATCTCCCCTGGCTTCCCTGTGCTCCTGGGTACTCCTGTGCCTACGTCTATGTGTAAACACTCGTAATTTTTTGGCGTTTCCGGACTGGACTGGGTCTGCATACCACCAAAATATGGTTGTTATGCACGATTTTCGCCCATATGCAGACCCAGTTCAGTCCGGAAACGTCAAAAAATTACGAGTACATACATGCTAGCAATAAACCTCAAATCACCCCCCCCCCAGAAAAAAACACGCATCAGACGTTCCATGTGGCTACAAAAGTAAGTTAGAATTGCAGCAGCATGTGTGTTTGTAATCGGACCTTCAACACCCCTTAGGTCCTCACCCCCCACAGTGCAATGCGACTACTAATCTCTACATCGAAAGATTTAGGACAGTACTATGGAGTCGCCTCTCGTTCTGTTTACACGCTGTAGCCAGCAGCTAGCTAGCGGTGCTAGGATACAGGTCATAAAAGTGGAGCAACAACCTCCATGCCTAACTGCGGCACAGGAGAGAGCAAATTGCCTCCCGCAAGCAACGAAGGAGGGAAAGTGTCGATCAACGTAGTTTTTTTTTTCCATCTCATTCTATTTTGAGCCTTGAGATACTGCATCGAGTAGACACCTACATATACCTACCAAGTGCATACGTGTATCTACTGAACAACTAGGTTGACCTAGGCTACGGGTAGTATTCGGGTCGCAAAGTACTTATTTACCTATACTCATGTGTGTCTGGCTTTTTCTTCAACATAAAACAACGCCACGCGCATACATTGAATTTGGTTGGGAGAGTAAGGCCCTAGGAACCGTTTTGATCAACCTGTATTTAATGCCATACAAGGCACTATTTGGTACCGGTACCTGTATATAGTGCCTAACCTCAATGGCGGAACACGGACTTTTATTGATATTGGCAGAAACCCATTCTGAACATTGAAAGAAAATGCTGGTTATTTTGAATTCTGAAGGGAGAAACGTGGATAGTGGCATCTTCGGTGGCACAATGATTCATGCGAGTTGTGGGATTAAAACGTTTGCAATTCGCTGTTCACATGATTGGCCTGGTTGGAAAGAATCCGGTAGAGCAAGTACTCGTAGTTTTTTGACGTTTCCGGACGCGACCACTATTGCATGCCATACAAAAGATAGCCTTGGCGGGTTTTTTCTGTGTATGCAATAGCAGTTGCGTCCGGAAACGCTGTGAATTTGCGAGTAGACAAACGCCAAGTAGGGAAAGAAACATGGTTCAACATTAGTTACATCCCATTCATCGAACTCCTCAACATAATCAAAAACAGTTTTCTGTTCCCATTCTCCGAATATCCAACCCATCATAAAACTTTCATAAAGGAGCGTGAGCATGACAGTTCAGTAATAACTCATTAAGGTATACATAACCATAACCAAAAGAAAAACAAAAGAAAAATCAAAAACTCCTCCATCACATATTAAGAAAAATCAAAGTCACAAACAGCGAGAACGCTAGTCCACCCATATTATACAACGGACCACTAGAATTATTGGTGCTGGCAAGTTCTACGCCAGTTTGGGTCGTATTTGCGCCGGTTGTAGTCTGAGACCGTTAGTATATTGTATATTTCCGTTCATGGATATGGCTAGGTGACTTACGAAGGTAGGGGCATCTGAGAATGAACTCGAATTGGAACTTGCAGTAGTGGTCGTTGAAGAGCTGGTTGTAGTTGATGAACTTATAACTACCGTTGATGACGCAGGGGCAGACGAAGAGGAAGACGAAGAAGGGCCTAAATTAATACAAAGTCAGCTTGTTGTCTAAGTTGGAAAATATCCTCTCCACCTATAGAGCGTGGAGACAAAATTTCCCAAGACTATTCAGATGAGAGAAAACAGACTGGATGATACAGCCTCTATAGTAGAGGAGACCTGAGAAGCACTCGAGGTCGACGCTACTGTAGAAGATGGCAGTCTTGTACTGCTACTGCTGCTACTACTCGTAGTAGAAGAAGTGGCGGACGAAGAAGCAGGAGTGCTTGTACTACCAGTCGAAGAGGAAGAAGCAGAAGTAGTGGAGCTACTACTCGTGGTTCTTGATGAGGAGGACGAAGAAATAGTCGAAGAAACAGGAGTACTAGTCGAGGAGCTACTACTCGTGGTTCTCGAGGAAGAGGAAGAGGATGCCGTACTGGTTGAGCTACTAGTTGTAGAAGTGATACTACTGCTTCTCGTGGTTGTCTACATCCCAAGATATCAGTGTCAAATATATGTAGACTCTTGTGATACGAAAGAACTTACCGTTGAGCTACTAGATTCACTACCAGTCACCTGTGGAAGCGGAGTAAAGACTGCTCCCGTAGTACTTGATGTTGTCGAAGGAGCAGCGCTAGTACTACTAGACACTGGGTAGTTCTCGTTACAGAAGGTAAGGTACTGGTCAATATCCGTCATTGACACCGCGTATGCTTTCGCCGCAGTCTCGGGGGTCTCAGAGTGAAAATTGATACACTGGATGCATCTTTCAAGGGATTGCATAAAAGCTCCATTTGCAGCGCAGAGTCTCGCTGTTTTACCAGCGCTCTGAGCATCGGTGTATGCGTTACCTATAGAATATTGATTAGTATGTGTTGATTCAAAAGCATCGGATTACATACCGCAGTCATCGTAACAAACAGAAATTTGCGACACCGACTCATCGGTTTGCCTCTCTTCCAGGTCAAATTCCATACTCATCAGCCCACCAACAGATCTCTTCATATATCCCGTATCCTCAATCACGAAAATCGCATCCGTCAATCCAAACAAGGTCGGGTCAAGAGGATAGTACGGCAGTTGAATTGGCCACACTCCAATCTCGTTGGAATAAACCGGAACACCCCAATCAGTCACTGGGCAAACCGGTGGTGCCTCCACACACTCCGACGGCTGACAGATATATCCAAGCTCTGGGGCTGGTTCGCTTTCACAGCGGTCAACGGGCGAGCAGATGTAGCCTGGTGCACAACCATAGGTATAGTCGTTCGGGAGAACAATGGTCGAGCTAGTTGGCGCTGCACGGCGGGTACATGTTTCTGTTACAGTGCGTGTAAGGCCGGGAAGCTCGATCGTAGTTGTGATTGGTGGTGAGGTAAATGTTGTGACGACGGGTGGAAGTGTTGTGGTTGTTACTACTCCTGGTAGGGTGCTTGTCACAGTGGTACCCGGGCCCGTGATTGTAGTCACGATACCTGGAAGTGTACTTATCACTGTCTCTGCAGGAAGAGTTTGGGTAATTGTCGTGCCTGGTAGTGTAGTAGTAAAGAATAGCGAGGTGGTAGCCGTAGTCACTGCTGTCGTGGTATCAGTGGCCGTAGTGGTGTCAGTGGCCGTAGTGGTATCAGTGGCCGTAGTGGTGTCAGTGGCCGTAGTGGTATCAGTGGCCGTAGTAGTGTCTGTGGCCGTAGTGGTATCAGTGGCAGTGGTGGTAGCTGTAGCAGTTGTCGTCAGTAATGAAGTAGTTGTAAGCGTGCTTAAGTAGGTCGTAGTATAACTTTCAACACTTGTCGTTGTCACCACCAAAGTGTCAGTAGTTGTGAAACTCCTAGTAACAGTTGTTCCTGGCATAGTCTCAACTGTCGTTACAACACTAGTGACCAAACTTGTTGTCGTAGTTGGCACTTCGATAGTCACTGGCCTAGTGATAATAATCTCCACTTCTACAAGGTTTGTAATCGTTACTGGGCGATCGATAGTGACAGGGCGATCGATAGTGACAGGACGGTCAATTGTCACTAGAACATCCCGGGTCAGAGTCTCGGTTGCCGTGAGTGTGTTGGTTCGAGTGAGAGTGTCGGTTCTTGTGGTTGTGTCGGTACGTGTCACAAGGACGCTAGTAGTGACGGGATAACTTGAGATGATTGTTGTTCCTGGGAGTGTGGTGGTGGCCGTGGAGAAAAGGGTTGTAGAGGACCAGTACGTTATCTCAGAAGTGACTACTGTAAAAATATGGCATTGCGACATCGGTTATGTATGGTAATTACTCATGTATAAGGGATGACTCATAGTTGGAACAAGGAGGCTTAGCGCTAGGATTATGTAATCAGGGGATCACGTGGTACTAAGAACTATCTGTATATAAGGAGCAACAAACTCCCATAGTTGTCGCTGGAACTCAGCGGCGCAATAGTATCTTCTTTGCACTATAAACATATTCCTCACAAAGGTCACGTGTTCAAACCCTCCTCAAGTCGTCTATTCTCCCACACTCCAATTCACAGGTTATGAGCCCGGGTTCTGCCAAATAGAATCCGCACTACACCATCGCCACCTCGCTTAACTCAACAACACTTCATACAACATCATGCCTTCAGAAGGAGAATCGTCATCCAAGGCTGCTGAGATTAAACCCTCAGAGACAACAGCTACCAGTAACATTCGTCTCAAGTTTGATGGACTCCCCAAACTACAAGGGCAATCCAACTATCAAACTTGGGCGAGTGCCTGGAGGATAACGTTCGACGCTGTAGACTGGTGGGAAGCGTTGAGCATCGAGAACCCTGACGAGAATGACACCGAACTCAGCAAAACCGAGATAAAGAAGGCTCGTAAACAAATGCACAGCCTTCTCATCTCTGCTGTATGCGAAGAAATACAACCAACAGTCGTCTCCGCCGAAAATGCATTCTACGCATGGAAGGCGCTCAAAGACCTCTACGATCGTGTCTCACCCAACACCACGATCACCCTCCTCAGCCGCGTCCTAGACACGAAGATGCAAGAAGGCGGATCACTGACCGAGCATCTTGCGACCTTCGATGCGAACTGGAATACTCTCAAGTCCAGATGCCAAAGCGCAGACCACAAACTCGCTCAGGCTCTCCTACCCCTCACCAAATCCAACGAAGCCATGGCGGCATTCCTCCTAAGTTCGCTACCCAAATCGATGAGCAACGTCGTCGACAACATCCAAACCAAACAGGATGTTACCTACGAAGACGTACGCCAACGACTACAAAACCTGGATGAGGTAGCCCCTCAAACAGGAAACAAAGTGCTCCATACCAGGAGTACTACAAGCGACAAGGAATGCACCTGGTGCAAGAAAAGGGGACAGCCTTACAAAGGCCACGAGTACACGGAGTGCAGAAAGCTCAAAGAACAGAACAAGAACAGAAAGGGAAGGAGAAAGGACAACTCGGCATCGGTTGTAGTAAATGACTCTACAACCACTATCTGTATGGTACGCCACGACATCTCCCAACCCCTTACTTGGATCCTTGATTCTGGAGCGACCTCTCACGTCACACCCTTCCAAGACCAACTCATCAACATCCGACCTCACACCGGCAATGTCCGAACAGCTGATGGAACCAACCACGCTGTCACCGGAATGGGAAGCGCTAGTTTCAGCTGCCACCTTCCCGATGGAAGTAGATCTTCCATTATCCTCACCGATGTGCTGTTGGTCCCAACCTTGGGAAATGTGGGATTGGTCTCCGAAACCGTGCTCGATAAAAAGGGATTTAGAACGGAGTCAGGAGGAGGAAGCAAGTTGGTTACAAAAGAAAAGAAAGGAATAATTTGGGCAAAATTGGAAAAGGGACTTTGGAATGTACAAGTAGTTAGCAATACAGTTCGTTTGACCTCTTACGATGAATGGCATCAAGCGTTAGGCCACCCTGCGACACTAGAAAACTTGTATCACGACATCCAAAGGCTGCCTCCCAAACCAGAAAGTTTCCACTGCAGTCAATGTGCACTATCAAAAAGTGTACACAAGAAACCTGCACCAATTAGTACTAGATCCAAACGACCGTTCGAACTAATCCACTCAGATCTATCTGGAAAGTTCAGTATACAGTCACAAGGAAAAGCTCAGTACTATATGTCCTTCATCGATGATTACACCCGCTTCGCATGGATATATCTCCTGAAACAGAAAGAAGACGCAAAGAAGGCCATCAAGGACTACGTTACAAGGATCGAAAAACAGTATAGCACAACAATACTGAGATTCAGAACGGATGGTGGTGGTGAATACATCAACAAGGACATAACGAACTACTTCGATTCACAAGGAATAGTTCATGAACAGACTCCCCCATACACTCCTGAATCTAATGGAGTTGCAGAACGATTCAACAGGACGGTAACCACAATGGTCAGGTGCATGATCATGGACCATCCTAAGTCGTTATGGGGAGAAGCATACGCAACAGCTGTCTACCTCAAAAACAGGCTACCTCACAGTACGCTTAAGGGAAAGACCCCCTTTGAAGCCCTGAAAGGAACCAAGCCAAGTATACAACATCTTCAACCATTCGGCAAAAAATGCTACGTCCACATCCCAGAAAACTCTAGGCCAGCAGGAAGCAAACTAGCACCCCGAGCGTATGAAGGAATCATAGTTGGATACTCAGACAGTGATAAAATATACCGTATCTGGATAGGAACACAACATAGGGTAATTGAAAGTCGGGACGTCACATTCCCCCCTCCTGAATCAGGGGAAGTCTCAGTGGAACTCGACTTCATCCCCAGCCTGAAACCAGAAACGGCAAATGCACCATCAGACGACGGATACGAATCAGAAGACAGGTCTGATCCAGAACCCGAGTCAAATGCAATCGAAGAGAACCGTACAGAAATGCCAGGATTGTTTCCGGAATCACCGGAACTGGTTAGAAAACCACCACCGGCTACACCAGACAAGGGAAAACAACCTGCCGTACCTATGGGACAACCGCAAGACCCAAGAGACAACTGGGAGAAAATTCCAGCACCAGTCGTACCATTCAAAGGCTTCAAAGGAAAACCACTTGTGTCAACGACACCCAAAGGTACACCACCACAACCTCCAAAACGATCAGATCGAATACGCCAGCGAAAAAATAGAGAAATTGAAATAGAAGTACGGAGGAAGGAGTATGACGAGAAGGTAGTAGAACAACAGAAGTTACTTACAAGTTATATCGAAGATGTGAAAGAAAATGGCCCAGGAGACGAAGCCACTGAACAAGAATTAATCGATCAATACAAAGAAGACTTCAGACGTTATAGGGCTGAGTTAGACACGGAATATCAAGACGTATCCAAACTCCCCCCGAACTACCATATACACCTCGTAACAGAACCTTCCACCTTCAATCAAGCTATGCAGAGCGACGATCAACACCTATGGAAAAAGGCGATACAGACTGAGAAAGACGCCCTTGACAAAGCCCACACCTGGGATATTGTCAACAGACCATCCAACCGAGCAGTAGTCAAAGGAAAATGGGTATTCAAAGTGAAACACAACGCGGACGGAACAATTGAGCGGTACAAAGCAAGGTACGTTGCTAAAGGCTTCACCCAAGTACAGTACCAAGACTACGATGAGACCTTCGCCCCCGTTGCACGATATGATTCTCTACGACTCCTACTGGCACTAGCTGCACACAACGGTTGGATACCACAACAAATGGACGTCAAGTCAGCCTTCTTGTACGGTGTACTCAAGGAGGAAATCTACATGGAACTGCCTGAAGGCTACAGGCAGGACAACAAGGTTTGTAAACTTCGAAAATGCATATACGGACTAAAGCAATCACCCCGTGAATGGTATGCTTGCCTAGCAGACTCCCTTCAACGGAAAGGATTCGTCCCAGCCAAATTCGACCCATGTGTCTTCATACATAAGAACCACCATCTATACATATCGGTGTATGTAGATGACATCATGATATTCGGACCCGACTCCCCATTCAGAAAAGAAATCAGACAACTACTCAAGGCAGATTTCGAATGTACGGATCTCGGTAACTCGAAGTTCATATTGGGAATAGAAATAACGGTAACCAACAACGGTATCACACTATCACAACGCGCATACATCAATAAGATCCTGGATAAATTTGGAATGAGTAACTGCAAACCAGTTGGCACACCACTCGAACCGAACCTCAACCTTCACAAAGGCGAACCGGAAGACCAAATCGAGAAACCAACTGAGTACCAATCCATAATAGGATCATTGATGTACGCGAGTATAGCTACCAGACCTGACATCACCCATGCCGTTACCGCTCTCTCCCAGTACTCCTCATGTCCAACCGAGGACCACCTACGAGCAGCCAAGCGAACACTCCGATACCTCAATGGAACCAAAGACTGGAACCTGTTCTACCCGAAAGGGAATACTAGAACACTCGACGGATTCTCAGACAGTTCCTACGCTTCAGACCTAGATGACAGAAAATCGTTCTCAGGATACGTGTTCAGACTAGGGAAGTCAGCCATCAGCTGGAGAAGCCGAAAGCAGAAATCAGTCGCAGTCTCAACAACAGAAGCCGAATACATGGCCCTGTCCCTCGCAGCTCGACAACTGGTATGGATTCGTAACGCCTTGCTCGAACTCCAACAACAATACCAGTACTTCATTCACGCCGACAACACAGGTTCTATTGAACTCTGTCGGAACCCACGCATCCACGATCGGTCCAAGCACATCGATGTTCACTACCACTATACACGTGAACAACTCGAAGTCGGAACCTTCGAAATCCTCTACGTCCCTACCGAAGACAATGTCGCGGACATAATGACCAAAGGACTACCAAAACCAGCTCACCAAAAATTGTCAGAATTGATACGATGTGGCAAGTGAGGGGAAGTGTAAAAATATGGCATTGCGACATCGGTTATGTATGGTAATTACTCATGTATAAGGGATGACTCATAGTTGGAACAAGGAGGCTTAGCGCTAGGATTATGTAATCAGGGGATCACGTGGTACTAAGAACTATCTGTATATAAGGAGCAACAAACTCCCATAGTTGTCGCTGGAACTCAGCGGCGCAATAGTATCTTCTTTGCACTATAAACATATTCCTCACAAAGGTCACGTGTTCAAACCCTCCTCAAGTCGTCTATTCTCCCACACTCCAATTCACAACTACTGAGGTCGCCACAGTTGTTACAGTTGCAAAACTGGTATAACTTTCAGTAACTGTCACTGGAGTTGTAGTTGTGATTCTCTCAGTCTCAGTCAATGTGACAGGTGTCGTGGTTGTAATCCTCTCAGTTGTAGTGACGGGTCGGTCAATTGTGATGAGCACATCTTGAAAGACGGTCTGAACTGTTGTATATGTCTCGAAATCGGTTACAAGAACGCTTGTAGTTACCGGATAGCTTGTGGTGAGAACGACTGTTGTCCCTGGGAGTTGCGTAGTCGTTGTGAACGTGGAGTATAGGGTTGTCGGGACGAAATAAGTGGTCTCTGAAGTAACAACTGAAGTCACCATACTTGTGGCAGTCGTTGTGCTAGTATACCTTTCAGTGGTAGTAACAGGTCTATCAATCGTAACGTAAACATCTTGGAAAACTGTGCGAATGGTCGTGAATGTCTCCGTATCAGTTACCAGAACACTTGTTGTCACAGGATAACTTGTCGTAATTGTTGTCCCTGGCAGAGTTTCTACTGTAGTCTGATAAACCGTCGTAGGAGAATAATAAGTTGTTTCAGATGTGGTAACTGAGGTTACAACGCTTGTTGCAGTTGTGGTGCTAGTCTCTGTTGCGGTGGTCGTGTCGGTGAACTTCTCGGTGATCCTCTCAGTGGTTTTCTCAGTGATAGTGCTAAGATAAGTCTCCTTGGTGGTGAGCGTCGTTTGAGATGTGAGGGTTGTCAATACTGTTACTAAGACGCTTGTCGTGATATACTCGCTTGATACTATTGTCTTTGACTTTGTAGTAGTTAAAAGCTTAGTTGTAGGAATATATTTGATTGTGGTCTTTGTGATGTATATTGGCGTGACAATTGTCTTCCAATCGGTAACAGTGGAGGTCCGAGTCACATCTCTAGTGGCTGTGGAGACAGAAGTAGTGGTGGATACTGAGGTGGTGGTAGCCGTTGTTGTCGCCGTCGCAGTTTCGGTGTCTGTGACTTTTTCAGTAGTCGTAAAGACTGTTGTAAAGGTGTTGACAACCGTCACCGGAGGCATTGTGATCGTTGTTCCATTCGCAGTTACGGTGGTACCAGGCAATGAGGTTGTTTCCGTGATGTATGAAGTATATGTTTGTGTCTGCCAATCCGTTGTCACTGTAGTCTCAGTACTTGTATCTGTCTTGACCGTTGTCTCCAGATCCGTAGTCGTTTTCAAATCGGTTGTCGTCGCCGTTTCAGTTTCAACAACGGTGATTGGTAAGGTCTCTGTATGGGTTGAATTGATGACTAGCGTTTGCGTGACAGTAACCGGATGAGGATGCTCAGTAATTGTAACGTAGCAGGTCTCAGTAGTCGTGTAAGTGTGTTCTATCCCCGGCTGATAGACAGTGGATAACTGCATATAGGTCCATTTTGACGTGATAAACTCGGTGACAGTGTTATTGCAGTAGGTAGCAGACACCTGGTGTTGGCCACCATAGAATAAAGCAAAGGCCGCTGCTGCCACGAGCCTAGATCCAGATCCCCCCCAAACCATCGCTTTGGTTCAAGAAAAAGATACGCAAGAACTAACGAGTGTATTTTGATCCTTCAGCCCTAATTGAACGAATGTTGTCTTCCGTATTTCTTAGCGGGCAGGGACGGAGCGAACGAGGTCCTTGCAACACTGTAGAGAGAGAAGAAAAACGAGAGGAATACTGAAAAGACCTCGTACTAGTACTCAGGTAGGCTGATAAACAGTTCAGTCTTCAGGGCAGACTCGGCTTTATTACTTCATTATTTCACATGTACATATGTGTGACCATGCTAGGCACCGTACCGCCGCAGAATACGATATCTTCCCTGCTCTAGCTTCTTGGGGAACAGCTTGTGCATATGGCACATAATAGTACGATCGAGTATATTCACAGAGTGGCACACACAAAAGTCATCACATAAGTAAGTAGGTACATGTAGGTACCACTTATGGATAGTGATAAATGTAGTTGGGAGTGCGGGAATCGGTACTGTTCATCAAGAGAAAAAGATCAGATTACATCCCGGGAAATCCCTGCTGGCTGTGACCGCAGCAAGCACGCACCACAGTCTGACTACGTAGGTACTTTATTTTCTTTGCCCCACCTGCCTAGGCACTCTACCAGTGACCCACTCCAAATCGGTGGTATATTTCGCTATGGACAGATACCCTACACACATAGCTTCATGGAGCAGAAACCAACCGCTAAGCCTTCCCATACAATTCAAGGATACTGACCCCGCGAGCCCGGTGAATGAGCGAGTTTAGAGCTTTTTTATAATTCCATGTAGTCAATTGCAAGTCTACCGACAAACCCCTACTTCAGAGCCTCCATAGCTCCTTCCCCGTGGGCAATTGATAGCTCTTCGTTAAGTTTTCTTCGCGAAATAGATGCTCTAGGTACACTACCTATCAATCCAATCAGCGCACATATAACTGATTTGTGGCATTGGTTAATGCTCCTCGGATTTTGACTGGTGTTTCTATAGGTGGAAGAAAATAGATAAACTATTCGAAGGGCATGCCCATGGTAGGTAGGTACGGTGCCTATTTGAGCAAGACAACAGCTACCTTTACAGCGTGAGGTAAAATTATTGTAGAAGCATGGGGAGAGTCCTATTGGCCGAGTCAGCTACCTAAACCCTGTTTTTAGACCCTTGTTTCTACAATAATTCTCCCTCGCGCTGTACAATCTATCATATATATCGAGATAAACCCTTAGACACGGTTCTACTTGACCTGCACATACACCTACATATTACACACATGGCATAGCAGACGGTCGCTAATTCTGTGTTTCAAAAGAGCCTCCTCACAAAGTCTTGATCTCACTCATCGCTTCAAAATTGATCGAACCCGGACTGCGTTGCGTGTAGTTATTTGGAAAAAACAAATACAGGGACAACTAAATAGTTATGCACGACACAAGCTAGTCTGAGACTCTTCCAATCCAAATTGCTTGATTGCGCCACGGCGGCGCCACTCCAAAGCTATCATCTCGGGGAAGTGTTTTTCTTTCTTTCACTGCCCTCGACCTCTTTACTCATCAAGTCCAAATATACACAATCTACGTGCATGATAGACCCCACTTGTTGGTGAGCAGGCCTGCAGCCAGTCGCTTACACAAGGGGATATCGCACTTGCATGGGGTGGAGGTTGAAGATGATATCCGGCCACCGATATCTATCAGAGGGGTACATACACTTGATGCTACACAAACCAGGAACCCCGCCAAAATGGATGGATGGATCGTGATCGAATCCTACATCTCTAAAGTTCACGGGGGGTATCGGTATGTCCGTAAGTAAATTCCGAATGAGTTACAGAGAGGCTGCGGCTTCCCGAATGAACCTAGAAATTGGAAATCAGTCGTCTTTGGGGCATTACTATACCTCCTTTACCTCCATCAGCAGCAAAATATCTCTCAAAATCATGCTATTCTCTTAAGGTTAAGATCACAATGTTGAGGTGAGAAAATATTCAGTTAAAAAAAGGATCAAGAAAAGTTAGACACCAATATAGGACCTTAATCGATTGTAAATTTTTAGGAGAGAAACAGGATACGTACCTTAAACTGTTTTAGCCAGAGAGCATCCGACGCGCAGATGAAAGCGAGGCTTATTTAGTTGGGTTCTAACTACTTTATTCATTGCTTTCAACCGCTGCCCCCGCACCAGTAAATACAGTGCACATCGATCCATCCATCAGGAACTGCTGCACACACATGGCAAAAACGCACTCGCACAGGAACGCACTCGCACAGGTCCGAGAATCAAGTTAGTGGACTAGAGTAGAGTATCACAGCCAGACACCCATACCACTTGCCTAATACCTAACGTTGCATATAGTAGTAGTAAGACAGCTCTATAGAGTGCATAATATACCTATTAGAGTAGTAGAGAAAGGAATAGTTTGCGATCTCATGTACTGAAAGTCTGGGCCACCTTACTTCTCACCCGCTCATACAATCGGCGCCTTTCCTCCTTGTCCACCACCCCACCATCTTTTCTCAGAAACGACCCTTAGTCCGTTCTGTTCCTAAAAGACACTCAACAGCCGCACAGCGCCTGCCTTTCAAGAGAAAAAACGCTCAAGAGTGGTTTTGATTCAAGATGCGGCTCCTCTCACCTTCGTGGATGTCGCGGACAATACTTCTGATTGGGGGGGTTTTTCTCTTCCTAGGATTGTCAAATAGCTCTCCTACTGGTAGTACCTTAGCGCTGCGCGCGGAGTCGGAAACAACACAGAATATCTGTTTCTGGGACAGGCCGCAGAGTAAGCTCTTCTTTTGTTTTCTTTTCCTATCGTTTGAATCATTATGTGATGTGTTAGAGTATAGACTATGGGATGGGATGGAATACCGCTGATTTGATCATTTCTACCAGGTGCACTTTTTAGAGATACTATTTACATTGATGGGGGTTATATGTCCGTAACGACAACAATAGATGGAGAAACTGGCCCCGCAGAGTTAGGTATTTCCTTCTGCGTCTTCGTCCTCACTTTACATAGACTGACTCAAACATTTTTCACCAGAGGGCTTCCGCCGCCTCTACTCTATAAATCTAACACACACATTTTCCATGGATGACTATCAATTTGATATCCTCAACAATCTCACCAAGGCTCCAGGTAATATGGGTACTGATTTCCATGACGGATTCATGCTCGCCAACGACTATGAATTTATAATATATGGTGGCTATCTCCGACTCAGAGATGAATCTGCTAGTATCAACGAGATGTGGAGCTTAGCCCGGTATATGATCCAGAATGGAGCAACGCCGTTGAGCGATCCAGGAGAATTCCAGCTGTTAGCCTTGGATAATATAACGAGATATATCGCGAGCGCGGGAAGTGTGAATGTGCCGAGTGAAAATAAGGCCTATGTGTTTAGTGGCGCCACTGTAAGTTCTATGAGCTCGAAAGCTATATGTGTCGGTGTCCGTTTTCTGAGAAAGTGTTTGGTGGAATATAGGGAAAGGATTGGGGTCCATTCTTTGACCCACTCACAGCGAACAGCGCCGACTTACGCCCATATGGAAATAGCTCCCAGCTCATATCCGTTGATATGAGCATAATGGGCAGCGAGGTGTGGAGCAATGTCACCCTCCCCTCGAGCATCCACGCACGAATAGGCTCCGAGTTAGTATGGATACCAGTTGGGGCTCAGGGAACCTTAGTTGCTATCGGCGGCTCTATCAATCGGGCGCTGTACCCATATGAGAAGACTATATCAGTGGAGTCGCAGACATTTGGAGATGAATTTATTAATAAGGTTCATTTATATGATATAGCTAATGATAAATGGTATGATCCCTTTCATATGAAGGTTTGAGTGCACGTGGCCGCCGAGCTACACTATGTGAAAGATATGTCACTAACACTTAAATGTCTCTCCAGGTACACACAACAGACATTTGGTGAAACCCTCTCACCAAAGGCACAATTCTGTACCGTTGTTGCTTCATCAAAAGATAACACCACTCACCAGGTAAGCGACATGCATCCCGGATGTCAAATTTTGTCCCTTCCCGCCCGAATAAATGCCTCTAGATCTCTTAACTTTATCCTAGATCTACGCATATGGTGGACACGATGACCTTTCCGGAAATCCCCTCAACATGAAACCTGTTTCTGCCGACGTTTACGTACTATCACTACCTTCGTTCACATGGACCAAAGTATATGATGGTACCGACCAAATACACCGTCGTAAGGGCCACAAATGCCACAAAGTGGCCGATAATCAGATGATGGTTGTTGGTGGACGACCACAGGCCAATGCTGGAGACTGTTTGAGAGGAGGATTGATTAGGCTGTTTAATCTGAATACATTGCAGTGGGAAGACAAGTATGATCCAAGGGTTTATGATAGTTATAAGGTTCCAACTGCGGTTTCAGATGTAATCGGCGGGAAGTAAGTTTGAAGTATTTTCTTATTGAATTCGAAATATTCAATTCACTAATGGTTCTTATAGTGAGGACGGAGGTGGCACACTCCAAGCTAAAACCTGGGACAACGACGATATCAAAGACTTATTCAATGTCCCCTATACGAAAACAATTCCAATCTACTGGCCCTATTCCCCCGCTCCCGATACTACAACCACCAGCGGTATCTTTACCACCACCCCTGCATCCAGTGATGGAGGCAATGGTCTCCCCTCCTACGTACCACCGCTCCTCGGCGCCATACTCGGGCTTCTCGGACTGATTACAATTCTCTGCGGAGTATTGTTCTGGTTGCGACGGAAGAAGCGGGGGGGTAGAGGCGCGCCGACAGATTCGGCGGCGAGCACAACCAGGAAGAACAGGCAGACGTGGAGTTGGTTGTTGGGCGTTTATGGGGATGAGAAGCGCGAATTCCCGGATGATCAGACGCCAGGTACCGAAATGACGAACCCGTACGATTTACATTCGGGGGTTAGTCCCATGACCGAAGCCTCGAATCCAACGAACGCGGTGATAGCAGAGGCACAAGGGAGACAAGTGTTTGAGATGGCTGGTAAGTGTACCGAAAAGAACAAGCCAATTCCTCTATCATATCAAGTAAGCACGGTGAGCTGACGGCCACAACAGATAGCAGCAAACCACAAGAGCTCCACTCCTCTCCCATGACCCTGGCGGCGGCAGCGGCAAAAAGAGTTACGATCGTCGAGCCAGCATCGCCGAGCATGCCCGAAATGGGACCAACGAAGTCTCGGGAGGAGCCTCGACCGGAGTAAGGAAGCCATGGTTTTTCCCCCATTTTTTTACAATGCTGTCAATATCACACAACTACATGCATTATATGCGCCGAATCGAAACTACCCCTATGATACTATTGATCGCTAACTTTATAAATTTACTTTGTGCTCAAGGGATTTACGAGATGTTGATATGAGTGCTGAAGCTACTTCAAGGGTTAGGAGGGAGGAAACACGATTGGAACGAGATATGGACCCGCGTGTGCTGCAGAGGCTGCTGGATGATCCGGGGGCTAATCTACACGACGATTGACATGATTATTATTTTTAGTTTATTTTCTTTCTTTTCTCTATTTTACCTTCATCTTAAATGCGCTTATTTACTGTTTGAACTTGTATTGAGGTGATTACGTTTTCCTGTATAATAATCCTAGGGTATAACATGGATCGAATATGGATATGTACGGTTCACGAATTTCGTTCCATGAGCAGAAGCACAATTGCTTGCAAACCCATGTGCATCGATTATGCTTCCTAACCTTCTCATTCCTATCACATTGAGGCTGTGTGAAGCAAGAATCATCATGTGTTTACGAGAGAGCAAGCAGCGCCGCTAGCTGAAACCTGTACATGTATTAATTATAATCTTAGGGCAGGGCCGGTAGGACGTAAGTAGGTTCCTCGGGCGCGGCGGCGGGTAACTAAAATTTAAAAAAAAACCCTTCCCTCCGGTACAACCCCACAGGCGCCTATTGTCAAGGATCAATTACAGCGCCTTCTCCGATCCAGGAACAGTAGAGTAGGTAGTCAAGGAAAGGCCAGGGCGAAAAACTAAGGGCAAATGCGAAAAAAATAGCAAAAAAGAAAAGAAAAAAGGGAAAAAAGAAAGATTTATCCGAGGTGCTCTTTTGGCGCCTGAAATGAGATGTTACAAGAGCTGGGTATGTTGTGGGGGGTGGTACAGGTTACAGTCATCTTCCCGGTGGATACTAGGTTTTGTTTGTGTGACCAGTGGCATGAAGTGACTGGCCGCTAACATTTACCTCGATTAGATCGTTAGTAAGAGAACTTACAACGCTAAGCACGAACACGTCTAGTGCTCTAGAGCACTATAGTTTATATCGTGTCGTGTCTGTTCAGTTCATGGGTAAATTTCGATTGTGCCTCTTGGATTTGGGCGGAATGTTGTGTGGACGAGGCGTGTATGGAGGTAGAGTACCTAAAGCAGGGAGTAGGTAACGTAGTAGGATAGTGATGATGGTAGTGAAGTCTACAAGGATGCTATTCCCACCTGCTGATTGTGGAATAGGCCACCATGGGGCTCTTCATCTTAATTAAGACGGCATATGCTCTGCATACAGTACGCATTCTGACATGCTTGCCGAAAGTATCAGGACCTTTGAGTGAACAGTTTGTTGACAGCTAGCAACGAGTGATAATGAATGAAGAGGCTAAACTTGTTTCGGAAGAGCTCTTGGCACTCGAGATTCAGGCCAAGAAATCATTGACAGTCAAACAAGGCGTACCAATCATCAACATAAAACCCTAGAAAATGTACGTACACAGAGCGGAGCCAACTATTTCTTCCCTTGCCGTTTGTTTAGACCTTCTTCCCGGAGCTTTGTACTTTTCGCCAGTCCACCTTCTAACAAAGTCTCCCACTCGCTCAGGGCAATAGCAGTCCATTTTATTTCTCTGTGTAATTTTGCGCCTCCACTCAAACCTTGAACACTTGAAGCCGTATCTTCTTTTTTCAATCGAGCCTTTAAGGGCCTCAGTACCAGCGCCAATTCCGTATCCTTCACTGGTAAAACCTCCGCGATCCGGGTCCACATCTTCTTATCAAATTCCTCCTTATCCCACTTGTCAATAAGTGCATTGTATACACCCCGCTTATCAAATTTTATAAGTGCATCCTCTAGTAGTTCCTCTCGTGTGATAACCACCTTCATCTCATTCCTAGACTTATAGGAGGGAAGGTACTCCGTAGACCACCTCCGACATAATAGCCTCTTCTCCTTCAACCTCCCCTCGTCCCTTCGGCCAATAAGCTTCCAGTTCGTCTCTGGGTGGTATAGAAGCCTTGACTCCGCGCAGAAGCTGAAAAGCTCATCTGCCGTCTTAAAACCCTTCTCGTATTTCGCCCAATCGCATCCGAAAAACTCGATTGCATGCTTAGGACGTGCTGTAAGAAATATCATCTCATCCTTATGATTACGCGCCTCGATGCCTTGTGCAAATATGTGGAGACCAGCGTTGTTGACTGAGACGCCGAAAGGTTTGCCCATGACGCCAAGGATGTTCCAGAGGTCTCCATATGCGTGGTGGAAGCACTCCCACTCGAGACCACCGCGCCTGCAGATGTGCACGTCGAGTTGAACGTAGGCTTTCAGCTCGTCATCCCAAATAGCAAAGTTGGAAGTTGGAGATGCCTCGATGAACTCAGTTGCATTCAGGGCATGCTTGAGCTCGGCGGCGGATACTGGAGTTTGTGAAAGTGGCTCCTCAACCAGAATGTCAATGTCCCCATAATCAGTCTTTCCGGGTGCAGGTAGCGGAGAGGAAACATTTTTATAGAATTGTGAGAGGGTTTGTTGAAACTGGATGAGAAGTCTTGGATAGATATGCATTGGTATGCGTGGGGTTGGGAGATTCCCCCCATATTTGGACGCGCTGAATGCGCTACCGCCCATCTTGATCTGATATGATCTTAAGTGCTTGTTTTAAATGATATCTTGAAAATAACGGCCAAAAAGGGTTGTGCTGTTTGACGAGGCTTGGCGGTAATGAGGCTGAGAGATCTCGATGTGCTACGTAAGTGAACAGTACATGTAGTTTGTATGTAGCTCTCCTCTTCTAGTTTAGAATAGATTATCACCATCAATAGAAGCGATCAAAATACAAGATGCTTCAGGTTGCAGTATTTTATCAGGGAAGGTTTGTATACCTAAGTCGAGTCATCGTTATAAAGTTTGAACCATGATGACTCACTCACTCACTCTACTGCCGCGGCCGCTTTTGGTTCTTTTGAGCTACATGGAAGGCATTTGCACTTAAATCTAGAAAGAGGACACCAAGGGCACTTACACCCGTGTATTGTGTTCCAAGAAATCAAATCGTTTTGCAGACTATATGTAGTTAACCGCGGGGATGAGAACTGAATTAAAGTGCAATTGATCGTCGACCAATGAGCCGATACGGAGAAAAGTTGAAACAGTGAAATAATAATAGAGAATACATGTTTATACGTACGTATATACCCCTATATATAAAGTAGTTATCGTGTTCTGTATACATGTATCTCTATTCGAATTTCCATCAATTTGAACTGATCACAATGATATATGGCTGAACAATGCGAGGCGAACTCGTAAATTTAAAGTTTGTTTTACCTAGAGTACTCTAAAACTGGTAGTTTTGACTGTCTATTTTAATTCTTTAAGGTCCAATACCACAGCTGTGGGAACAGGCACGCTGCAGCGACAAAAAACAATTGTAAGTGATATTTCATGATGTGGTTTTCATATACATCTACTTTCCAGAACCACGTCTTAGCAGAGATATGGGTTTGTAAACAGCGGTATATAAGAATAATACGTCACGTATACATGTAGCTGTAGTAGAAGACCTAATCCTGGCCGTTATCAAAAGGATACCCCAGATTACCCCCAGGATGATCTGTTATCGAGATAGCATATCCCACGTTACAAACCTAGCCCCTGCTTGAGCATTATTTGGAAATATGACGAGATAAATGAACGGTAGACTGAGGCTCTTCAGCGTATCTGTATCTATTCTCGGTACGAGGCCATATTTACGCTCGTTATCCATGCATGAGATTGAAACGGTCCCTGGCAGTAACTGAAAATAGTGGTACTGGACTCCTTGCGCCCCAGAAGAATATGTCATAATGTACTACCTACATAGAGTACATATGAGCTAGGGAGCTTTCGATCACAGATCCTGAACACGTGCATGTGAGTCATGTTCGTTGGCACGAGTTTGTAGATGAGTATGTACCTGGACAACTGAACCTTTCCCGTCGGGAAAATGACCAGAATTTGACTTGAGATCAGGTCGATCTTCCGCCACTGTAAGTACAGTTAGTACATACAGTCACTCACGGGGTGAAGGCGGATCCTGTCTGATGGCGGTCAGGGATTTGAGGCCAATAACTGAGTTAACTTTGGGACGCCAAGGGGAAATTACTGCAAACACAACCACCAGACAGGATCCGCCGTCACTAGGTGAGCGACTGTAGCTCTTTACACACGATTGATAAGAGGCCCAAAATCGGGATTCTAGACCGCAATTGTAAGCGCGGCCGGGAAGCAAAATCCTCTCTCGATCTTAGGTCCCTCGGGTCCTGGGCACTGCGGGTAGAATTTTGTATGATTTTTCACACAACCGACACGCACTACTATCGATCTTCGTCTGTGCCACATATAAGCTTCAATACTTGCTGGGGGTTGTTTGTTGCTCCACTTTTATGGCCTGTATCCTGGTCCTGGCAGCAGCAGCTCAGGGTTGGGTACCTGTAAAGGGTTGGGGTGGATGTTGATTAGATGGTACCCGCCCGTAGCCTCATGACCTTTCGACATTCCCTTTGTAGGAGTCAATTTGTACATTTGGGAATCGTGATGTTAGGCATATGAGGTGCTTAAAGTGCGATAGTATTGCGTTTGTTCGTGCTCTTTCTTAATCGTTGGATTTTCAAAGGGGCCTAGTTATGCTAGTTTCTCGGTGGCTGTCTCATAGGGTAGGAGAGTAGATTCCTACCCTGTCTGTAGGGTATCGGTATTCCAGGTGGGGATCGGTGGCGCCATCTCACAGTGGAGTCTGGGAGAGCTTCCCTATTTCTTGGAGCGAGAAAGGGTCTCGTCTACGTGACTTCTGGCTACTGCACGGTAACGTCAAATCTACCGAGATGACATATATTGAGCAAAAACACAACCCTCTCAGGATCAGCTACCTAGTTTAAGCGAGTCACACCCAACCTCTCTCATTCTACTTTTAGATAGGAGGCTGACGAAAACGGAAATGTGAAATAGAGATGAGCGGACTTCTTTCCACACTTTGCCACCCAATGGAGAAGTTGAGTTCTGCGAGTAGAGCCTCGCCTTCGGCAAAGCGGGACGTGCTGCTAAACACATTCAAAAGGCTATATTCGGTCCGCTATGGGGCAGATAGGATTGATTATCCGGCGCGCGCTCGTATCAGTACTTAGCGAGTGATGGACTGTGAGCGGTAATGGCGACTCGCGAATCTAGGGCGCACCAGTGGGACAAACGTCGATCCAGGGGTACAGCGATAGGAATGATCTATGGAAAAAACAGTTATATGGTGCACAGATATTTCGCCATACAATTTCACCCCCCCCGTTTTTCCATAGATCATTCCGGTCGCTGTACGTGAAGAATTGGAGGGTCGATGCATCCGCGGGAGGAAGCCTATGACGTTCCGGTGCTGTGCCCTGTATCAGGTGTCAATTGAAGGTTGGTGGGGAACGTATAGTTAAGGATATTGGCCTAGAATCCTGAAAGTCGTATAGTAGAACCAAACCTAGTCGCTCGGACAAAAACAATTGATCTAGGAACTACAAAAAGTACTCAAACACAATCTCTTATTTGTTCCCACGTCACTTTCTATTTCCCATGCATACAGCAGCCCAAACCGACTTACATAGTTATTCGTGGTACGTATAAGATCGGTCATCATAATGAATGTCGTAATTACAATGTATACATTTGGGGTTAAATTGGCCAAGCTCACCCACTGGCATGTGAGAAACATCAATGACAAAAAGGAAGTATCTATATTTAACAATATTCCGAGTGACAGTTTGTGACTACAATCCACAATTAGGATAATTTCTTTCTTCTCTGTAACCAAAAGATTATACATGTAGTATCAATGAGTGGAACCCTCTTGAAGTTTGTCAAGACGGGGCCAAGGTATTATCATTAGATCTATAGAAACGGCGTATGCACTACCCCATTGACAGCGTACTCAGAGTTACAAGTTACAACTAAAACCGGGAACTAATAAAAGATCTATAATATTCATGCCAAGGATCTACAAGGCTGCATTACTGGTTTCGTCACTAGATTTCCGCTCGATTTCGAAGTAACGCCTTGGAGCAAGGGGGGCCACGAGGTATGTCTCTTTTCAGCCTTATATACATATAGCCATATTTTTATTAGTATATGTATTATATTATCATAATGAAACTTTCAATTCCATATATCTTGGACCGGTACCTCACAGAGTATGTTCCGCTTATCAGTTTAGTAAGGAGAATTCTGATAATGGGCGGAATCCGGTTTGGGATTGCAGTAAAAATCAGGGAAGGCGCTCTTAGTTGGGCTTCATAAGTAAGTCTCAAGCTGTAGCCCAAGTAGCTAGTGTCTTTCTTTTTTTCTAGATTAAAGTAAAGTACATCCCTTTGCAATCCGGAGACCCTCCAAGGTATCCACCTTCGATCGCCTTGAGCAGGCTCATATATTAACCTTGTATCAAAATTTGACATTGCCATTCCTTCCTCGTACGTAGTAAGGTCTTTGCGTAGAATGGTCCAATTGCAGCTTCGGCCCCCGCACGCCTTATGGTGTGAATGACCTTATCGATAGGGTTCAAGTGCTGCAAGAAGATTCTATTAGTAACGGGTATTAATTTGATTCATCAGATATCCTTAGTTACCGTCGATGATGCTGCCGTGTGGTCTTCTATAATCACACCCCTTCGTTCACTGTATAGTTACTAGCATTTTAAAGCGTAATGTGATACGCTAGTGATATAGCGATATGTATGAGGAGTCGGGTTGAACTTCTTGATTAGATATGTCATACTTCAATTGATCAAAGAATCGCCAAGGCCATTCCATTGTTCCTGAGAGCTGGCCGATATCGTAGAGTTTCCTGTCCTGATCTTCACAAGATGCATGCTAACTTTGAAAGATACTTGATCCAATACCCCGATAACTGTGAATGGTATATCACCGGTTAGCAGTCTGCTTTTGGTTATAGGCTGGACACCCACTTGCCACCGTTACTAGGAGTCCGTCCCAGATTTTTCGAATTACAAGTGGAGATTACAAATCTTTACTATATACGCAGGCCTAGTATAACAGACCATTACCCTATTAGCAAAAGTTTAATCTGCGAGTTCGGTATCATAGCCAGAGCTCTTTTCAGTGTGGTCCACGAGGACGCTCGAGGAGAGGTTTGGGGTGTCCTCGAGATGCCTCGTCCTCGTTGACCTCTGTCCTCGTCTGTCCTCGAAGTCCGGCACTGTTGTCCTCGAGGTGTCTCGAGGACGATAAAAAACGACCCTGTAGAGCAGAAAGTGATATTTCTTAAAATGAAAGGTATATCTTATTTATGATCTTATCCGATTAGGGTACATCAAGTGTGTATTATAGCCACGAATTGTCCTTGGAAGTCCTCGAGGCAAGGACAGGTACTGTCCTCGAGATTCCTTGTTCTTTTGGGCCACTGTCCTTGTGTGTTATCGAGCACATGTCCTCGAGGCAAGGACACAAGGACGCTCGTCCTCGTGGGCAACACTAGCCCTTCTGTATATATGCGGGGGACAATATGTCAGCAAGATAATTTATCCCGTGCTCTTGACAAATGTTTAGGAGAACTTCGAGATAGACTAGAATACTCTGGTACAGAAGGTTAAATACTATGATTGAGTCGGCGGTTCGCAAAGTGATGTAGAAATACATGTACTTATATTTCCGGAGTGTTCTGTGATTTTACCCCCTTTTAATAGAAATATTCATAAGAACTGATTTTAACGGTATATACTGGTTTTGAAATCATGAATTAAACAAAGGAAAAAAAAAAGGTTTTTGAAATCATAGGATATCACTCGACATACTGATAGGGTGCCTGAATGTGTTAATGCTTATTGGTAATATAAGAATATAGAGACAGTTGTAGTCCCCTTTCGGCCTGAAATTTAAACTATTTATGTCAGCGTTATATTAAAATTTTCGATTTTTATAGTAGAATGAGGTTCCCCATCACGGAAAGGGAATGGCCATAATTGAAGGAATTGGGTTTTGCGTTTTGCTACTCTTTGTTCCTCTGCTGATGCTTTACCATCGCAGATAGCCTTCCTGGTACTTCCCGAGCTTTGTTTTTATCACGGAGCGGGCTCCGAAAACCGCCTAGACATAGGCGTTTACACCGAAACTTTTAGCCTTGGACAGAGCTGAAATTTCTTTTGGTCTTGATCTCAGCCCGAGTGACAGCCAATGAAGAAAAGGTGGCGAAGCGCTAAGTGCCCGCCGATAGTGGCGGAGCATTTTGTGGCGTTCTATGACGTATCACTCATTCTAAGCTAAACATCACCAAGCAAACCAAGTAAACCAAGCGTTTGGAGCAGATAGATAAAGAGGCGATCCCTTTCACGATCCCTCTCAACAACCTGCCCTTCCGAGTATAACAAAATGCTCGAATATTTCACCTGGAAAAAGATTAAAGCTCATAAGGAAGCCGCAGCCGCCTCTGCCGCGGCCCCAACCAGCACAGCAGCCGAAACAGTCCCTGCTGGCCCACAAGAAGTTCTTTCTAACAGCGATGAGGCTTTCCTCAGACAGCAGCTTGAAAGTGCTGATGAACCTGTGGTGATATTGTCTGGCGGGGAAGACTCAGGCGCTACCACCCCTGGGGTAAGCCCTCTACCGCCCGCGCCCACTCCTGCGCCTACACCTGTAGAGGGTAGATCAGCGACGATGACAGGGGAATGGTCTGCAGCAGGTCTTAAAAATCGATTCGGAGAGTTGAGGAGGACTGTATCGAGCGCGGCCGAGAGGAGGAAGAAAGGAAAAACTCCAGTAGATGTGAAAGGAAAGGGGAAAGAGCCAGAGACATTAAAAGTGGAAAAACCCGTAGCGGAGGGAGGTAAGATATTGAAAAATTCTGTTTTTCAACTAGGAGCATGATTAACGAGGATTTAGTTCGAGAGGAAGACGAGCTTACAGCTGCACTTGAAGGTCTCAATCTTGCTGCTGAAAACGTTTGTATTCCGATATACCTCAAAACCTGTCGAAATTCACTGACTCAATTGCAGGGCCGTGTATTCTCCATGTCCACAGAGACCAAAATCCTTCTTGACAAATTCATCCTAATCCTCAAAGACATTTCCAATGGGGTCCCAACTGCCTATCAAGACCTCATCGATCTCTTTGACAACTCCTCTAAAACGTTTGAAGATACCTTCAGCACTCTTCCATCCTTCCTCCAAAAGATCATAAAAACACTCCCGAAGAAAATGCAAGCTAAGATGGCACCCGAATTGCTACGTACGGCGGCTGCAGTTTCCCCTGCAGCCGCAGCAGAAGCGGAGGCTTTGGGAGGGATGTTTACGTTGAAGGAGCTAGTCACGAAACCAGGGTTGCTGATGGGTATGTTGAAGAGTGTGATGAATTTCTTGAAATTGAGATTTCCAGCAGCATTGGGAGGAACGAGTTTGGCAATGAGTATGGGCTTGTTTGGTAAGTCTCCTCAATTGGTTCTTTCGTTGGTGGGATGATGGCTGATTGTGGGTGCCAGTCGTACTATTCGTATTGTGGTATTGCTATAAACGCGGACGTGAAGTGAGGCTAGAAGCTGAAGCTTCCGCTGCTGCTGCCGAACTTTTGGACGGCGTTGAGGGCGGTGGTATTGAGGGTTCCTCAAGTGCCCCCCAGGTTATCGTTGGGGATAGCACAAGGAAGAAGACAGCTTAGTCTTTATATCCTAGTGATTGGTTTTTTTGTTTTTGCTATCGCAGTTTAGCGGGTGTCAAATGTCGGGGGATGTCTCGTTGGCAAATGTGGGTTTCATCATTATTATAATAGGATTTAAATTTAAGCTTTTTCGCTCTCACCAAGAGCTCAGTTCCATGTCAGCCTAACTGTGAACCGTATAATTCGTATCGACTTGGTATCTCTATTATACCTAGATGTCCTCTGATTTATAACCGCTCACTATTCGAACCGTATGCCTTAAAGAGCACATCAATAAGAACAATTTCATCTGAGTCATAAAGTCGATTAGTTTACATTTGCAATTTTCAACCCAAGCATTATCGTAAGTTATCATTTAAGGTAACGGCGGATTTACTAGTTTGGAGCTAGAAAATGAACTTCAACTTCCAGGGAAGAAATATGTGAAGATGAGTCATATATTTTGTTTTGACTGAAGCATACTATCGCACAAAGATCGCGGAGGAACTTAAACCCGGGCGGGGTTTGTGACTCCCCCCCGTCCGTGGATAAGATTGCAATTGAGAAACTTACAAAAGACAGACAGAAATCCTCTCCTGATCAAAAAGCGAAAAAGAAATTGAAAGCGAATAATGAATTAAAGAAAAAAAAATCAGAAAACGCCCAATAGGATAAAAGAGATACCGGAAATCCTCCTAGACCTCTCGCCTTACACCAACCAAATCGACAACTCAATCCATAACTTCCTATTCCGAATATCGACCGAATAATCTCTGCACAACTTCTCACAATATCTAGTATAAACATCGTATCAGTATCGATATATATATATATCTCAGACATTTAACACCAATCACACAGAAGCTCTTACAATGATTTACCAACACAAAGTTTCTTCAACCATCACCCCATCTCTACTATCCTACCTCCCATACTCCCTCCCCTTGCTTGGGCGCCTCGAAAATTCACAACGTTCTTCAGCGTCTCTGATCCTGGCTACGTTTCCAGAGTCATCTTCTGGTCCTTATGGGTTGTTCACAGCAGCGTACATTGATCAATCCCGTCGTAGGGAATCGCAGGCGTGGTTCTTTTGCTCTGCCGGTGAGCTGGAACTTAAGGTTGCCAAGACGCAGATGCGCGATATGCTATCTTATATCAAGTCCCGTCAGCCTGAGCCTACTCAGGGTAGAGATGAGGATAAGGAGGAAACATTACTTATTATAGCGAGCTTAAACTCGTTACTCGTGAATGTGGTCCAAGATATATGTACTGCTGGAGGTGTCAGACTCTCTCAAGAGTTTATGAAATACCTTTTTCATCATTCTCCACCACCACCACCACCTTCACAAATTGTTGACGGACTCGAGTTTGGCGAATTGAGACCGGAGGATATGGGCCGTGTTATAGCTACATCTTCGATTAGGCGTCACAAAGATACTTTATTATTGCTGAAGAATGTTGCATTATTTAAGGTCACTGGAGATGAGAGAATTCCTATTGCGTGGGCATTTATTGGTTTCGACGGGTCACTAGCCACCTGGTGGGTTGAGAGAGAGTGGAGGGCGCGAGGATGCGGAACGGCCGTTGCGAGAAAGGTTATGCAGCATTGGAGAAACGGAAGCAATGAAGGAAATTTGGCTCTCTGGGGGCATGCGGATGTGGCTGTGGACAATTGGACCAGTAGAAGAGGTATGGTAGGACTTGGCGGGGTAGAGGGTTGGATTGTCAGATGGCTCTATGTTGACCTAAATGGGCTTGGAAATAAGTAGCGAATGGGGGGGGCGACGAAGGTGTAGAGGTACGGTTTGACCGGGGTGTTCAGATGGGGGTCTCAAACAGTTGAAGGGGAAGAATTCGAATTGTAGAGAGCGATTGAGAGCTTGTGGTCATGTACTGAGCCGGCTTATCATGGGTAATTGGATTTCAACAAGGTCTTTGGTTATTTCGAATCGGGTGCGGTCATGAGATTACAGTGAAACATCGGGGAATTCCGAGTGGGTTATTATCTAAGTGAATGTTACGGATGATGGATGATGTGCCTAAATCAAGGTCAGTTTTAACAAAAGCGGGCACAAAAAGTTAGTAAACTAATTTTGTCAACAGAAATTCGAAGTGTGCTGGAAGATCAGTTGTCCGACAAGGTATTGGGGGCTGTTCGAAGTATGTAGGTAAGGATTGAAATGACCGAGATGAACTATCCGTGGAACTCGATGATGTTTAGATGAGAAAAGGAAAAACACGCATAAGGAAACAGCAAGTAAAACGAGAAATTAAATGAGCGCAGGCAATCAAATTTCGCTGAAAACCTACGATTCAAAGGAAACAAAGCACAAATATATATCCCAACAAAGGGGAGGTCTGTAACAGTTCCAAAACCTGATCATACTACTCAAACAAAATCACACCACTCCATGATGATGGTGTGGACTCTCTCGAAGGTTGTGTGATCGTCTCAAGACATAAGTTGCGTAATGGCATTCTGGCACATGCACACCCTCCTCAAATGTGTACTTTAGCTACTGGAGCTTGAGTTCGTGGAGATATCCTCCTTTAGCGAGTTGCCGTTACAGGCAGTTTCAAAGGCATAATTTGCCAAGTTTATATTGACTAGCATTGGCACTTGAGGTCTTGAACACATTAAAGCTTCCGTAACTGAAAGTTATTAAGACCCAAATGCGAGTCCAAGTAAATACAAACCTGGGCACGGTCCTTTCTTTATGAAGCCTGCTGCTGATAGATTTCGGTCAAAACTCCGATTGAGGACATCTCGGAGGCTTTCCTGTGATTGTCAATGGCTGCAGCAGCGTCATGAGCATCAAATACAGTTGCAATCTGCAACAGTTTGGCAAAATGGCTTGCTGGGCATGGGGTTCACAACTTCAAAGAGTGTGAAGGTCCACAGAGAGAGCAACATGCCGCGGTGAGAAATACGGACGGGCCGTATGGATGGCTGATTAACTGACGATCGCGACATCATCATTCACAGATAGACAGAGCTAGAGCTGCTACTGCATAAGCGATTTTACCTGCCTTACCTAAGTACCAGCTCACGAGGGCATCTACCGTTATTTTGATTTTGGCTCCATAGATTAACTACCTTAATAGGAGTAGAATTCCTTTGTAATCGTAGTTATGACCCTCTAACAGAGCTGTTAAGAGAACTATTCTCTTTGAAACTTAACAGCCTGAGTTGGGGGTGGTCGTAGACTCGTAGGTGGTGTGGTTACGACAACACGCGTTCCTGGGGTGAGCTCCCTCAAGGTGATGGAGGTGGTGGGTGGTCGCTTTCAATTGCCGCTAAATTTACCAATTCCAGTCCCATGACGTTACACAGATGGCTCCCTCCTCTCCGTCTTCTTCTTCCCCACACAAACCGTTTCTTTTCCCAGCCTGTACTCAGCGGCTCCAGGTTTCACTTGCTAGCGATCGATAGACTTTGTGGGTGCTCCAAGTTGTCTGGGCAGTCAGTTCGCCAGTGCAGCCGTGCTCTACTGTACACAGGCTAGCGTACCGGTCACTCATGACATTCCGTTCCAGAAAGGCGGGTTGCGGCGCCCAGAGTCGAGCTTGGGGGTTTTAGCGCCTTTTACCCCGCATTTTGTCACACGACCAGGGTTGTGAAGGTGGTGTGCTCTGTGCGCTCCTCTGGGCGGTGGTGTGTGGGTGGGTGGTGTGAAAGCGAAGCTGGAAACTGGATGTGGAGCGATGCCCCGCGCTAGGCCGGATGCGATATATTATCATAACATGTTATTCACTGCAGATGGAGTAGCAGCTTCATCATGAATGGCGTGGGAGAGTGAGAGGATGGAGGTCTCCCCACTCGGAAGACGGGTATCAATCGCTACCTCTATTTACTTACTTACCCCCTTCTCCTCCCACCCTCTTTTTCTAATTCCTCATTCTCTTTCACATCCACCGATCTCATTGCATTCGAACATCTACATCTCGTAGCAACACTTTTTTTGATCAAAGAAATAGTTATGGCTTCCACCGAATCAGCTATCCCGCCAGCTCAAACCGAGGCCGAAATGCCCACTTCGCCAAAAGCAAAGGGTCATCGTCGAGGCAGTTCATCTGTAACGGATGTATATAAGCCTGCTGATTTGAGTATGTCTACTTCCAAACACCTTATTGTATGAGCAGTTTGCCACGAGACTAATACAGCCAACCAATCCACAGAGGAACTTATCGGCACAGAAGGAGAATTGAAACTAGCAAAAGAAATCTCTAAACTAAACTGGTATTTTTCCCTTCATCCAATATTCTACCCATCGATGTCAGACTAATAAATACAAAGGAAAATAAATACCCACCCCTCTCACCTAGACGACTGGAAACAACTCAAGCAAATCCCAATTTCTAGCCCCAAAGTCAAGCTATTAGATGTCTACTTCCCCATGGGCTTGCACGTAACTGCCCGTGCGAGTGCTGCCTCCGCCCTTGGCGTTAGTGTTTATGATGTGCTGGCCGCAATCCATAAGCAGTTCAAGAAGAAGGTAAATTATATCCCCCCTCGCTTCCCCACTTCCTTACCTTTGAATCCTATATTAATGTACTGTGAATAGGCGGATGACGAGCTAGAAATGCCAGTTCTTGGCAACCTCGAATGGGGCCGATCGGACGATTTGACATCGAAGGAGCACTGGCCCGCTGTTGTACTGGTTGCGCAGAAGAAGGAGGCACCGGCATCTTCAGGAAAGAAGAAGAACAACTAAACTAAACACTAATGGCATGGATGAGTTAGTGGATTTTGATTGCTCTTGTTTAGACTAAGGCTTTCTTATCTCTCTCCATTGTTTACTAGTTGGGGCATTTTTTTTGATATCGGATATGAAGGCGCTCTGTTGTGATATTGTATTTAGTTTTGGGAGTTGATTTTTGTCACCAAGAAAATCCCGAATACATTCATTGAGGAACATGTTTTGTTTGCAGTGCCTCCATGTGCGTGTGAAACAGACAGGGGCCACAGAATAACAACCCCACTACCAGATATCCCTTGCATAACAACTAATGTTCACTATATGAGAATGGATGTTTGGTGTTGGAGATTAATTTTGTAAACGGAAAGGACTGTAAGAGCAGTCAATTAGCTTAAACTCGCTACCCACTTATAATTATGAAGAGAATATGGCGGATCCTATGATTTCTTCCAGCGGATCCCCCCCCCAACCAACCTCGAAGTCGAACCCCTGAAAGAGCACGCACTCCTAGTGGGACTAGATAAGTTTAGCCACAAACACGAGTTGAAAAGCACTTCTTCATATGCATCTATGATCCAATCCAAGTCTTTTCCTGAAACCGCTAGGCTTTCTATTCAGCTCGCTCGACTTTCTGTCTCTATTCTTGTTTCAATCCTGGTAAAGCTTGATACACTTCATTTTGAGAGACCTCCCAATAGGCGGGGGAAATTCACTTTTGTGTGGACACCCTAATTACCGAATTTATTGCCAAGGTTTCCACCGAAGCCTGGTTGGTCGAGTGATATTACATGATTCAATCTTGCTACAGCGCCCCTCGTAAAGTGAGACAATAAAGATCCAATCACACCGTTAGTCTGTCCTCAGCAATCTCAGAGAAGCTCCTATCAGAGAATACTTATGTAAAATCCCTGCTCGAGCCTCGTTGACTGGTATGGTTTTCACAACCTCCAGATCGATTGTAAGGATGGTGACGGCTTGGCACCATGACTACTAGTTCGTAGCTAAGTTAAATCTTCTAAGCCTGTGCCAAGCCGTCTCTAATTCTCCCCTCCATAGTCAGCAAGGTATAGCTATCGCTACCGGGACCAGTTCTCCTCAATATTTAGGTACTTATACCGCTGTACTTGTACGTTGTAGCATTACTGATCTGCCAATATTATAGCTACCCCTTTTAAATTTCTTCCATACTTAAGTCATGCATTCTCCCTTATTCATTTTATTTTTTCTGACTAAAGTTTGCAGCTTCACACCACGTATATATTGGATGCAGTGCACCGCCTGATTAAACCGAGTGATCTTACATGATTACCGACCTTCAACGCCAACCACTCAAAATGGCGGCGTTCCATCTACCATTGTACAGGATTAATTAAATAAACGATTCCCGTGACCACCAAAACAAAACAAAAAATGACTCCATGACGCCATTCAAAACAACATAACCAGAAAGAAACCAGGTCACGATGGAGTACAAACCTACTAGCCGTTTAATTTCCTAAACTCCTGACATTACTCGCCGCTTTTTTCTTCAATTCATCAACTTCCATCCTTTCCTTCCGCCTTATCTGCAACTCTCTCTTAAAATTATCCGTAAACACCTTCATTCCTACCCACTGTTAGAACTATTCGCCATGATAGGGAACCATGGATATTAAATACCAGTGGATGATTCGAACTCAATTTCAAGCCACTTCAAATCATCAAATCCGTCTTCGTCCTCAATCAACATCCCCCCTCTATCAAGTCTGATACCACCGGGAAGATCTCGGTTACCAGCTATGCGTGCTTTAATGTATTTTCGCCCTCTAAATGTTCCGTATGACATTGGTTTTATCTTTACCGTAAGACCGTTGGCACTACTCTCATCAATCATTATATTATCCGTTACTAGCCTCTGTCAGTCAATACTCATATATCCGTATACGGTAAGGTACGCACTAAAAACACTCAGTAGCTCGCGGCCCAAAAATACCACGATCCTTGACGACTTTGGTCTCAGCATCCATCCTTTCAGTCTTCCTTTGTAATTCCCCACTGTGGATCCATCAGGCGATGAAGTACTGGAACGTATTAGGTTGCTGCATTCTACTTCTCTCCAGATTTGAACGCGACAAAATTTTGTGCTTGTCGTACCCTCAAAAATACCATATTTGTTGTAGCGGACAGCACTAACGGTTCGAATATCAGCGAGAACGGTCTCGCCAAGGAAGACGCACTGGAAATAGAACATGTCTGGAGATGTTAGTATGTCAACGATCCTTCTTGGGTGCAGAACTCTGGACCGCTAGATATCTTACGCACCCTCGATGTTCGTAAACTTAAAATACGTATTCTCTCTGTTCGGCGCCACCCTGTTTCTTATAGATTTTGTTTGTTTTCCCAGCTGGAGGGAAGATCCCCATTCCGTCGTCTTTCGCATAAAAATTACCGGAATATTTGTCTGCATGTGATAGCCGTATTCTGGCACTAATTCAGCCTCTTCTGGATTAACTGTTCACACAATAGTCAAAATTTCGCTCTTAACGCATGTATAAGAGTATATATACTAAATAGAGCCCCCGCCTGCTTGTCGTCCCACAGAGTCAATACCCTCAGCTCTCCAGTACCTCTCGCCCTAAAGACTCTCACCACACATTCCTCCCACCTTGCGTCTTGCAATGTGTAAGATTTTGATGCCAACAAACGCCTGTTCATGATCTCTTCCTCTTCCATCCTCGCCCCATAATGTGGTATTGCTGTCATCACTGCTTCTGGAAGAAATTCCGAGTTTGAAGCAGATCTTGGGTTGGGCATTTGGTAGTTAACCTGTTTACGAAGAACAGGTGTATTGCCTCGCCTTTGATCAGGCAAAAGTGGTTTAGCTTCCCGTACATGTTCCGACGCTATGGAATGCCTATTGAACCCATGAAGCGACGGTGAAGAGTTTCCATTCAAAGTCCCGGGTCGACTCTGGCTTTGACTGCGTCGCAAGCTTGATATTGACTCCGGTGATTTAGGTGATGCCTCTTGTCTCCACTGCCCGGATATATTGTTGTTATTATCTCTGCAGTCGATCACGATACCAGACTCGGCATAATTGTTACTACTTCCACTTGACTGAGACAAGTTATCACGCGCTTCATAGGTGTTATATGTATTTGGATGCGCTGCAGTGTCACTCATCGATACCCCATTCTCAACAGGGGGCGATGCTTCTTGAACCAGCGTTTCTGGTGGTTGAGGAGGGTTGACTATCTCGACCTCGGCGTCAACTACATATTCTTCTTCGCTCAGCCATATTTGAAAGTCGCCGGTTTCGGGGAGTAACTCGAAAGGTGGGAAGCCAATTCTGACTCAAGAAGTGTCTTCGCGGCGAATGCAAGCTCCTATAACCCAGACCGGCGATGATCAGAACTAAATATTTAAAGGAGTAAAAGGATTTGTTTGCCTCATACATACATTCGCAATAATTGCCATAACCGCCTCAAACTCTTTAATGTCCGCGCCTACATAGTCTCTACACATTTCAAAAACCCAAAACGCCTTGGAAAGGGCAATAGCATCTTCACCCGAGAGAGTTTTCGAGCTGCGGGTGTGGTCTCTTATGCTTGATGCAGCCCTGAATGTCCAGTACATTAGGATCTTAAGTACCTTTTCTATAGGTACCTCCGTTGGGAAGACTTGGCCAGAGAGGGAGGCCGACGCGCTAGTCATGAATTTGGCGATTAGTTTGTAAGGAAATCTGTTGGCGCCTGTGGATGAGAGCAGCTCAGTGAAGAGCTTGTAGAGATATTCTCGGGTTAGAGGGACGGTCTCATGGAGTGCCTCTATTTCGTTTCTATATATCTATCTCATTAACACTTGTGTTCTTACCGGTATCTACCACTGCAACAAGTACTAGTTATTCATAGACAGAGAAAAACTAACCTTTTAAGAGCTCTCTTAATAACTACTGAAATTACCCAATTATGATATTTCACCGCCTCCAGCGCCCTCCGCAAACCTGCCTCTCCCCCATTATCCCTCACCTCCTTACCCCATAACCTCCATGCCTCTTCGGATGCGCATCTGTCCGCCTTTAATCCTCGTAAGGTTCCTTCAAGTCCCTCTAGGCTATAATCCATCCCGTTGAATACCAGCTGAACAGCCCTCTGTGCAGCACGCTTGTTGTCATCGCGGAAGATGGTGGACATAGAAAATCGCCCTTCAACAGACTCGGCAACGACATCCTGGATTAAGTTGCTAAGAGAAGAAAGCGCATTACTGAGTACGAAATAGAATTTTGGGGCATATATTACGGAATAGAAGTAGGTTTTTTGGAGTTTGGTAAGAAGAGTCAGGGCAAGAAGGTGCTCAGTGAGGCCTAGGCCAAGGTCTTCATGAAAGCTAGAGGACATAGGAGCGCAGAAGGAACAACTTCGGTAAGAAATTCTAGGTATCGATTCAGGTGGTATGTACAAGTTACGCCTGGCCGAAGCTTGCAGTGTTAATGAAGCCTGGCGATATGTTGGTGATCAGTCTTGGTTGATCACCTTCAAACGAACCAATAGAAGACGTATGATTATTTCACTATGTGAGATGAACGTTTGGCGTTGGGGTTAAGGGCTAGAGATACAGAGTAATTAAATGTGTGTTTGTGATCTTCTAGGTCTTTAGCCTTGAAATGCCATGCATATGCTGGTACTCTATCTATCGGACAAAAAGTCATATCGCACATACGTAAGCTTGGGCTCGTTATCATCCCCTACTACCTTTGGAACTTGCTCCGCACCGAACCGCGGGGGACTGAGAATGAGCCTTGATTCTACAATAGCTCCTTCAGGCTTACATACTACATACGTATGTGCCTAGGTCAGTAGCTGTCCCGATCCTATATACAGCTTGGGTTTCCCTTCGAACGCTGATGATATGTATAGTACTAGGACAGAAGTTTTGGTAATATACCTTTTTACAGCCAAAGTAGCCATGTTTAGCTACCCGAAACAACCACCCAACCTCATCAAAAAAATTCCAACTCTTCAAGGGCAGTTGGAAATTATCTCACGACGGAGTTCAGAGAATTCTAGAATTTTGAGTCCATTCTTCAGGCGTGTGCAATCCAACCCCCAAAGCCATGATTTGAGTGTTTCTGATTTTGTATGGTGTTCCCATACAAATTTTGTATTGCAACGGCAACCAAAAGTTACCAAAACTTCTGTACCCCGACTGTACCTAATACTACTCGGGGCTGGCAAGAAGAACCTGAAAATTCAAGCTGCAAGCAGGGGCTCAATTTGGTGTAGCTTTTCGCCAGCCGCGAATCAGAGGTCGTTACCATCAAAAGTCATTTTCAGGTTCCATTACCTGCCCCGAGTAGCATACAAAAAGGCTCAGCCACAACAAACTTGGCCCTCATATATCAGTATGGTCCCAACGATATACCGGACCTCAATCTGTTGGAGCAATTGCTATCCAGGATCGATTTCAAAGTACTTACATGACTTTGCCATGCTAGATTTTGGCCTGTGGAAAACTGATCTAGCTCCCTATATGTAGGTACAGCTTGTAAACAGATTTTCCAGATGGTTGGCTCCTGGCCTTCTAGCGTTATTTTCCGCGTGCACGCCTCTCTCGGATATATATATGGTGCTACCTGCTCATACTGCAGGACTCTATTGATCGATTCCACTCGATGAGATCACGATAACAGTTCTTTACGGAAATTAACTTACGGAGGGGTGCCGACAATTTAAGAATGCATTGCGTTTACCGGTTAGGATGTGGCTGTCTATGGGCGTCTTTTCCTAGTCCTAATAGGTACTTGAATAAGGACTCGGTGTACTCGGGTACAGGAGAAAGAACCAGAAAATGCAATAGGGTTATTTGTTGTAATTACTGGTTTCATGTGTCTAGCAGGAGGAGGGCGAGATAATTCGGAAGATGGAACACCGTATGGTCACGAAAGCCTTGCGGACGCGTTCAAAGACTCGAGTCGGAACCCTTATTCTTATGCGAGTGCGATGTTGAGCGTGCTGTTTGCTTACGAAGGCTGGGAAAATGCGAATTACGTCCTGGCGGAAGTGAAGCGGCCTGGGGGAAATGTGGCTAAGACATTCAAAAGGGCGGCGCTGTTTTCTTTCAGCTTGGTCACTGTGCTTTACGTGCTGGCGAATGCTGCTTATGTATGAGCCCAATTCCTTGAGCGTTGAAGATCAGTCCCGAGTAATCACTGATGTCATCAAAAATCAGTTCTCGGCACTGGGCTCTGATAAGTTAGAAACAGTAGGGATCTCAGTTGCTGCGAAATTCTTCAAAAGGGTACCCGAGACCCGAACTACCCTACCCATCCCCCCCTCACTCATTAACAATATTTGATGCTAGGTTTTCGGGGATAGTTCGTTCGTGACTCGAGGACTTCCAGTTCTTATAGCGTTCTCGGCTTTAGGAAACGTCGTTGCAAATATATATACCACCGCAAGAGTAAAACGGGAGATCGCAAAGCGGCGGATCCTTCCTTTCTCAGCGTATTGGGAAAGAGAGCATCCTTATTACGGTACACCCGTTGGTGCGCTGACTCTGCATTGGATCTTCAGCGTTCTCGTGATCATTGTTGGTGAGTTCTCGATGTCCCGGCCTTGTTAGTCCCACATATATATACCTGGAAGCTAACCGCACTTCTAAAGCTCCCAACTATAGTGGCGATGATGAAGCGTACAATCTCATCAGTGTCCTCTGGACTTACGCCCATACCTGGATTGGAATATTCGTCTCAATCGGTCTTGCAGTACTCGCTGTTGGCCAGCTCGAATGGAGTCTCATCATAGTGGGACGTGAAACACTCTACTCCCTCATTAGTTTCTATATTCTTCTCAACCTTTTCGTCATTATCTTAATGTGGTGGCCGTCTACGGAGCCAGTGCGTATCCCATCTACGACTGCTCCCGCAATTGGGACTGGTGTACTTGGATTCGGAGTGCTGTACTGGATGGTGATTTCGAAGGTGATGCCGACGATGGGACTGGCGCGACAGGAGATTCCAGTTAATGAAAGCACACCGAGGGGGATGGCTGTTTATAGCAGTAGCAGTAGTATAGTTGTCTATGAGGTATGATAGTTCTTCGAGTTATATGTATTGGTTGCTTTTGTGCAGATTGCTGACAGAATGGTATTTTTAGTGGGCGAAGAGTGGAATAGCTGAGAGGTTGTCAAATTGGTGGACTCTGAAGTTGAAGAGAACCGCTAGTTGATCCGATCATAAGACATGTCTTTTTTATTTGTATTACCTGCCCGACAGCCTGTGCCGTGTTACATTAAGCTGTCACAGGAGTTTCTTTTTCCTATATATATATATGTAATCAATCTAGATTTATGAATCAATGTAATTAGAAATATTTATTTGAGTATTCAAAATTAAATTTATATATTACAATCTAGACCTTTTGGAATGCACTTCCCAGGACATAAATTGTGCCCGCGCCCGTTTTGAATTTAAATCATAAGCCATCACTCGTATTCGCGCGGATCACGAAAATCCACTTTGTTGACCTTTGGCTTCCGAGCCTAGGAGTTGAGTCCTCTTCTTTGGTCTACGCATCCCTTCTTTCAATTTATCAATTTTCTTTATAACAGCGATATGCAAAATCTAGCTGTACTGATGAAATAGAAGGTGACTTTGGGTGAAATTGGCTCTCAGTGTGAGGGTTCGGCTCGCTAGGGGTTCGGCTCGCTAGGGGTTAAAAGGTTTCTGAACGGGTAATATCAACTATCATCAATAAATACATATCCCAATGGTTTTTTGCTTGTGATTTTGCCCCGGGATTGATATCTACCTATGATTTTCCGGGGTTATTTGGTGGAAGATAGTTATTGGTACGTAATTTTCGGTATTAGCTAAGGGCTATAGTCTCATTATTTTCAGAATACTTAAGAAATCAAAAGAAAAGAAAACAAAAACAAAAACCGATGATACCGAGGTCGAGAGAGAACCTACGATCGTCTAAGCTGAAATTATGGGGATTCTGGACTCGCAAACTGTCTGCTGTAGATACGCGTCTAAAATTAGAATCCCTTTGTCTGCCCAGTTTTCGTAGTCCATAATGATGTGCAAAAATTTAGCTGCGAAGATAAGTTAGTGATATTTCCAAAAGGGGATAAGAGAGGCCACAAACGCTGATTTGCGGGTGAAATAGTTCTCGGAGTGCGGATTAGGTTCGCCAGGGGTAAAACGCTTCTGGACAGATAAAGTCTGCTACCGTCGATCAATATCTAAGACGAATGAATAGCTAATTTCAACTCCATGTCTCATTATAAGAGGCCGAGCACGCGGGGTTCCTCCACAAAATGGGTCTTAATATCTATCAGGCTAGTACAGTCGGCCGGTGGTCACGATCGATCCAAGAGGGCCGTAATAATTCGTCTCGAAAATGGTACCTGAGAGAAAGTCTGCCTACATGTATTTAATATCCGGGAACTCAAAAAGTCTCCATAAGACATCGGGATTTCGTCATTCAAATTTGTCTAGTAAGCCACTACTTAACTAGTGTGTTTCTGGAAATATTTAATATGGTCGGTCCATATGGTCTGAGAGTACTTAGTAAGCCGGCCATTGCATGGAGTGATATCCTGTGATCTCTGTCTCAGCTGGGACAACGAGGTACTCGGAGCAGGTAACAAGAACCTGAACATAAAAATGCGCTAGCAGGGGTCAAAGTGGTTGCTACCAGAAAAACGATGTTCAGGTTCTTCATGCCTGCCCCGAGTAGAGGATGGTGTTAGCGTTAGTCCAGCTACTCGGGGCAGGTAAGAAGAACCTGAAATGACTTTTGATGGTAACGACCTCTGATTGGCGGCTGGCGAAAAGCTACACCAAATTGAGCCCCTGCTTGCAGCTTGCATTTTCAGGTTCTTGTTCCTGCCTCGAGTATGTGGAGACTGAAGTACAATGCCCAGAATTAAAGTTCTAAAGGTGGTTTTATCAACAGCGCTGTTGTCGCACGGGATATGTAACTAAAGAGTACATATGCATACATGAATCTAGCTGCGTATGTCAAGCTGGTCTTGACACAGGGCCAAACAATCTGTGGTGAAGCCAGACCAAGCTAGAGCAGATATAAAGTATACCAGTGTCCGCACCAATGTGTTCTAGAATTCTTCTACTCGAGACATTGCCGCTTTGTCCTCATGTGTGATAACCATCAAATCACAACATCGTGCACTACATGTAGTCATTAGCTATTTGCTTGTACCGCTTGATATTAAGTAAGTGTTTCTCTTCTGTCTCAACGCCATGTGTTTTTTTCTCTCCGGGATCTCTTGCATACATATGTATATCATGTAGAGTAATTGCTGTAGTTAACGTGGTCTCAGAATCCCGGGTATACATACATACATGTAGTACAAGCTCTACTTAGTCCGCGTGTTTTCACGACCGATCCGAGCACTCGGGCGACGGCAGGATTCCGAATATGCAGGTTCTAATTACCGTCTCCCCAAAGTTCCGTAGCGCTTACATGTATGATGTAGTATGGATGTACTAGTCGGTGCTCTCGGCATCCTACTACTGCTATAAAGGGTATCAACTTTCAAGAGACAAGAGCAGCTTGTTGTTGGAGCTTCGGTGCGTACATACATACCGGTTTCTCATGTTTGGCTCCTCGGACGTGTATCTAACCCTACTCGGACGGGCAGACTTGATCCTTATTTGGTGAGGTAAATTCTGAGCCTACACAAGTACATGCACGTATGTAAGTACATGTAAATTCAAACCTGCTCTCAACGTCGTCTTTGTTTTTGCCGAGCAAGGCTAATTACAATGAAAACTCATGATGTAACTAGTGACCTACTCTATTCCTTCTGTGGAGGGTCGATAGAGGAAGTTCACACCGCCGCTGCAGCTTTGCGTAAGCCACGGGTCGCATGCCTGACGCAGCCTGAGTTAGAGTGAGGGCATCTGAATAATAATTTGAAGTACCCACAGGTACCTTTGTACATGTTGTTAACCCATCTATCACTACGTTTGTCAGCAGCAACCATCCCTGCACGAAAGAAGCAATTTGATGTCAGATGGATTTTCAATGCAGCCGCGCAGTTGATCCATCCCGACGATGGGGCTGGTGTTGTCTCTGTTGACACCACCCCTTCTAATTCCCCTGCCGCCTACCAGGCTACAGTCGCAACTCTATATGCCGGATTGCCAAGATTCTAAGGGTTTCGTACGGGATAGTAGAAAATCCGGGATAGCAAATTGATTTTGCAGTAGGAAAAATAATATTCTCAGAGGATCTCGTACGGGACAGCAATGGATCCGGTGCATTGAGTTCCGGCGTATCGAGTTGCGACTGTACTCTACTCTAGGTACATGTAGGTACCTACACCCCCACCCTCCAGTTCAAGTCCAAGAGACAGGGGGGCTTATGCGAGATCCAAGATCCTGGGACAATTCAGCGCTCTACTTTACCGAATAGTTCCAACTACATAGAAGAGAGATGACATGGAGTGTGCACATAACTTTTCCAGGCCTCGGATTTGTCCGGGAACTGGAGATAAGCATAAAAACGAATAAAAAAGACAGGACGTCAGAGCAGAATGAGTTACTGTTACTTGTTAGGTGTACAAGGGAGTTGAAAAAATAACGAAAAGGAGAACGATGAAGATGGGGCATCATCCAGCAACCTCTCCCCGTATTTGTCGTACCGGTATTAGAGAATGGGCTTGCGCAGCTAGCTTGGACCTCCCCCCAATGGCAGGGTAGGGAGGTGGCGGATCTGTTCTCCGGCTCGCGCTAGAAGCTGAAGCTCTAGTCTTCTAGCGGGGGTATTAAGAACATGTGTTCACCATCTGAATAACCTCCCCTACGGTACTACTCGCAGTGAGGTTGTGGTGTCTACTACGTACTGTACTTACCGCGACAGTCACATCGTACCATCTACATACCAAGCGTTGTTCCTTTGGAAAAGTTCTATACCAATCTATATTCTACCACACTGGAAAATAGCGATATATTCAAGACTCACTTCCTACCCCTCGAGCGCCGTGCCGCTCATCCAACACCACCATTGCCATCATGCCCTCCGAATACCTTGCCACCCAGCTGGGCACCTATGCTCTTGATTTCCTAAAGATTGATACCCGTCCCACCTTCATAGTTTCCATTCCTGCCGAGTACTCGACCCCCGCGCAGCCCGGCACCGTCCTCTTCGCCAATGATGCACTACGGGATATCGAGCGCCGGGGCGAACTAGCCATGTCCCCAGTCCTGACTGAAGGCTTCCTGAACAGCGGCGGGGGATCATTTCCCTCGGGCAAGTGGAGGTTCACGGCTGTGCCTGTGGGCAGTGGCACCATAAAGAGAGGGTCCATTATGGTTGTGACGGTGGAGAGTATACTGGTGCTGGAATGGGGTCTCGACCGCTGGGCGAAGGAGGTGAACGGGTGTGAAATGGTACAGCAGGAGAAGGGTAGGGGTGAAGAAGCAAAGATCGCGAACATGTCGCCCGTGCCGGCGGCCAGTATGACGAATGGACATAAGAGTACTAGTTCTGCAGCTTCAAACTCATCTAGTTACGAAGGTCAGGAAAACGAAAAGCACTTGCCCATAACGAAGGTAATAGTCTCGCCAGAGGATTCAGATTGCGAGGATGAGAAGAGAATGCTGGGAAAGGAGCAAAATATTAAGGATTTCCAATTGATCGCTGGTGAGCCAATGTCTGGGGCGTTATCGATTTCTCCAGAGCCGAAGTTCAAGATGTCGCAGCAGTCGAGCGCTTTTATGGATTGGACACGAGGTATATCGCCTCAGCAGACTTCTCAGCATTATTACAACTTGCGGCAAGTAGACTGGTATATATGACCTAATTCCCGTCCTCTCGTGTTGGCTACAGGTGATGTTGATAGTGTGCAAATGTAGGAGTAAAACAAGCTACGGCCCTTATAGCGAATGGTCGCCGGTGCTCCGGTTGGTTGCGATTTCGATAATGACTATGCCGTATCCAACTGCGTTCTACTGGGGCTCTGACTACACCATATTATATAACGAGCAATGGCGCACAATAGCGCAAAATAAAGATCCAGAGCTGCTCGGTAAGACATTCAGAAGCGGATGGCCAGAACTCGCAAACTACTTTCTACCACTATTAGACGCTGCCTACCACAGAGGCCAAGGGATAGTCAAAGAGGCAAAACAGTTTTGCCTTCATAGAGGGGACCTCATTGAAGAATGCTACTTTGACTTTTCAATCTGCGCGGTAAT